AAAACAATGCGCGATGCGGTTTCTGTTCAAAATACAAAGCTGCTTCCCGCTACGAACTTGCCCCGCCCAGCGACAATCTTTAGAAAGCAATCTTGTTTATAAATATAAAAGTAAACCAAACCAAAAAGATAACCAAATTTTCAAATTACTGATATCCAAACTTCGTTAGACCAAATACTGCCTACCACCTATTGTCACTCTTAAAAACTAAAAAATATTGAAAGGGCGATACTACAAAATAATATAAATGACATCAAATCTTTGGATTTGGTGGGTCTTAGTACTTCAAAAAAAAAATGTTTTTGTGCTTTGCAGCCGATATATACATATAGATATATGCATTTTTTGGGTCGTTTACGGGGGCCATAAAAAAATGCTTATTCGGACAGCCGGGCGGCAGCATTATCGGACAACCTTGCGCGGACGCGCATTTATCAATAGAAGTAAAATATGTAAAAAATGCGGCCCGACAACAACACCCAAATACCAGTCGCCGGCCGTCTCTTCCGATCACAAGTGACAATAATTTTAAGGCTCTTTAATACTAATATCAATGTGGTCACTAAAATTTTTAATTTTGTGGCATTATCGCCGGCCCCCAGAAATAAATCTAAAATATCAGTTCAGATTCGCGAAATGCCATCTTATTGGTCATGACGTCAGCGCTCGTAGCTCTCGCTTAGCAACCGCGCGAGCTGACAAATATTTCATATCTGTAATATTCGTTATGGCTTTTGCTAAATATGTTTTTTTTTGACATTTCTTTCAATAGAATTTAATCATTGCAGATTAAATTCCCTTTTATTTATATAATAATTCCTAACTTACTTTTCCTTCAAAGTTTTAAATAAATAATAAAACAAATTCCAAAAAATATGATTCGGTTCGAAGTTGACATTCCAAATAAGTCGATCATTTTTCCGAAAGATTTGCGGTAATTGTATTCAAATTTAAATATGTATCATGTACATTTTTTCATTTGCAAAGTCATAATACCAAAGTTTTGTTTATGAAGAATTCTAGAAAAAAATCTAATAATATAATAATAATCAAAGGCATTGCTTGTCGATTGCCTTTACTTGATATCCAAGTTTTTAATAGTATATTTGAAAAATATAGCAAGGTCCTAACCTTCAATTATGTTTTACTGATGTGACATGGATATTTGAAAATGGTACAGTTGGTCTTGGCAAGATATTAATATAAAAACCACCAAAGTTCATGCGAATGGTATGCAAAATATCTTTGCAAAACTTAAATTATAAATGTCACTTTACTTAGCGAATAGTTCAATAGATTTTAATTGTAGCTTATAGCACCTAATATTTAAATTGTCTGATATGTTGTATAATATTTTTATGTGTATTAGTTTTTGGGTACATTAAGTTATTTACCAAGAATATAAAATTAATTATTAAGAATATAAAGCAAGTACATGGTATAAATCGGTCTGGCGCCATCGTAAAAAAGAAGTAAAATAGGCGCAGTCGCGTGGGAGTCGCGTTAAATTCGAGGAATGCCATTTTGTAACAATGCCGCCGCGTTTCGACCGTGTAAAAAAGTAAAAAAAAAAAAACATACGCGACAACCGAAAGGACATGGAAAGGCGAACCCAATCCAATTCCTCGCGAGATATCGTGCGGCACGCTGAATAAATAAATAAGCGCATATAAATACTCATCAGTCCGACATTTTTCCAAGATTATTGTGCTTTTTCTCTTCCGGTAAGCCTCGTACGTACTTAAATATTGTAGGCTTTAGACTTTAAAAAGTGAAAAAAAAGTATTTTATTTATTCTTTCAATAAAATTGCGCTTTGAATTTTGTTTATTGTCCTTGAAAGTTATTCGTTTTTCGCAGAAAGGAAATGAAGCGAAATAGTAAAAAAGTATAAAAATATCATTCACTCGTTGAGTTTGGTTGATTTATTTAACACAAAAGCAAAAGTATCGGCAAGTTGATTTTTGCTGTTCCTAAAAAACTCGCAATGTAAAATCCTTCTTTGTAAAAAAGGCGTCAAGACCTGAGTACATGTTTCGAGTATTGAAGTGCACATCTTCAGCTAATTCGTCACCCTGAGCAGTTTGAGTTATTGTTTGGTGAACGCAAAAGAATCCCGATTTTTTAAATTAAAAATTTAATAGCCTTTATTAAAACAACAAGTTTTGGTTTAGATAATATGCAATAAAAAGAATCCAAATTCCCTAAATAAAATGTCGGATATTGAGAATCTAAATGGGTGTTTTTTTTAACATAATCTCCTAGATTGGTTATATGGCTTGGTCAACAAATAAAAAGTACCTTAATCGTTTTTTATTTTGCTAATTTTTCCTTCCAATAATATACAGCGTGTCCAATATAAAGTTGGTATGACATGGGGATATTGGAAACGCATAGGAGATAGAGTCGCTTAAATTAGGAAAGTTTTAGAGAATTTCATGAGAAACTTAAATCTGTCCCCAAAATGATTTCAGCGAGCATCGTTTCTGAGAAATAAAGCTCAAAATACGCCAAACATGATCTCGGGATTAGTACGTTCTTAGAACACTTTTATAAAAAGAATATGATGACATAAAGGGAAACAAATTTTTTTATTTTTTATTACATGTTGCATTTGTCATTATTCTTAGGGCCACAAAAGCAAAATTTGATTTGATGATGATTTTTTATAGTGAGCGGTCGCTTGCAACAGACATTCGGAAAAAACAATAGTTTTGTTAGTTCAATTATTGCTATAAACTTATTGACAAATGCGATCTTTTGGGACAGTAAATATTACTATCAACAATATGTATTAATTATATGTATTGTTTATGTATGTATTAATTATAATAATATGAGATGTCAATCTCATAATAGGTGGTGTCTCATAACAGGCGCCAGCCTATTCTGAGCACTATATTCTCTCCCGGAAGGTGAAGGTGAAATATGAAACCAGCTAGCATTGGTTTTAGTTGCTGTCAAAACACTGTACGTGTATGTGGTTTTATGCATTTGTGCAATATCAAAGTTTTTGTGGCGTTCCCTTTGAGGTGGTCTTTTTGTTTAAAACTTAAGAAAATAAATAGGTTTTACTTGTTTGCTTTAATTGTTGGCTGGAAGTTGCTTTATTGTTGGGAATAAATAAAATAAGGTTCCTAATATGAGATACAACAAGGATCTTATTATGAGATTTCTCATATTAGGAGCGCTTTTAGTTTTTTATAATTTTAAATAATTATTTTAATGCAGTAAGAAATATGGAGATGGGGTAAAGGACTCTAGACGTTCAAAGTGACTACTGATTGCAAGGAAAGTATTTTGGTCTTCGTAGGGGAGATGTTAAGTATATGGGTGTTTCAGTTAGCATTAAAAATTGACTTAAAGGCTTTTTAAACAGGCACTTCCAATTATGGGTACGTACACCACAGGCAATATCAGCTGCGAGGGTTAAAGAACTGAAGAGAGAGAAAAATATTTTTTCTCCACAGAGATTATACAACGTTGACGAAACAGGCATCGCGGTTGCACAACATAAACAAAGTAAAATCATTAGAATCAAAGCGAGAAAACAGGTTTCTGTCAGCTTCTGATACTTTTTTCCACTTTTATTCGTGTTTCCTCGTAACAACATGGCGGAACATTTAATGGAAGGTGTGCTTCCTAGAGCACCATGGGCCTGTCATCGATCTGGATGGATTCAATCAGATTTTTTTACCCAGTGGTTTTCACATTTTATTAAATTTACTAAACCAACAAAAGAGGATTCAATTTTGTTAGTATTCGATCGTCACTACTCCCCTCAGGCAATTCAGATTCAGAAGCATTACATTATGACCACTGGACTGATGAAGACGATAACAATGACGTTTGTTTTGCCAGGGTAGATTTTCCGAAGACACTCGAGATCAAAAGTGGGCCAGATGTACCGTTTGTCCGAGAAAACACAAGGGAAAAAGAAGCTGTGTTTTTTTCTATAAAATATCAGTGTCGTTACATCGCAATTTTTGTTACTTTTAGAATAAAACAGTAATTTTATTTTAGTTCCTCTCCTTATTTTTCTAGGTTTCATATTATTTATTGGGAGCCCAAAATATTCTTTTATTAGGAGATCAATTTTGAAAATAACAGAAAGTGCCTTTTTTTAGTTTTTATTACTTTACAAAAATAACTAATATTTTCAATAAATTTAACATTTTAAAGTAACAACGGTCTATGCTTTGTATGTATAACTATTTTTAAACATTAAATTATTACCCCTTTATTTAAGAAATATAAAAAAATTGTCTTATATTAGGTGCATTTCCTCTAAATTTAAGACAAAAATAGAACATCCCACTTTTGAGGCTAACTCGTTTGCCCAGAACATAAAAATGAGATGGCATATTTTAAGAAAATGCTACATCATATTACGCATATTAAAAAGTTGAACTGAGGTGGCTTTTACTTGATGAAAATCCATTTATCAAAATAAATAAGAACTAAAAGTTATCGAAACAATTGTCATGTCAAAATATATAATTTCGTGAAAATCTGAACGTTTAGTTCTTATTTATTTTGATATTAAAAAGTCCATCTATTGTTTTTATCACCGTTTCAAAAATTCCTATATTACCAGAATAGACCGGGCGTCTATATATCTGGTATGGTTACTATTCTAAGTAAATCAAAAATGCGTTTGCATGATGCATGATAGTAATGTAAGTTAGGATATGTTAATACGGAAAATCATTCTTATTGTGAATATGGTTTGTTTTTAGCTGTACTTACCCTTGTGAACTGTTTTTTTTGTCACTTGTATTATTTTGTAAGTTTTTGCTATTTCCTTACATAATAAACCAAGTTCGCAAAAGAATAGCAATAGTAGTATTAATCTGTATTGTTTCATATACATTTAATTTTTTAATTGAAATTGCCGAATCGTCGACCGCATGACATTTATTTTTCATAAACCCAGTCAAAAATCCGCCAATTCTTTAATATATATATTTTTAAACCCTCCCTTTTTTTTCGTTGTTTCAGATATTATGGACGGCCCTGTCAGTAGCATTAGGTTTAGAATTAAGAGGCGAATACATCCGCGGGGTGCCGTGCATCAAACGCAACCAACAACTCATCTGCCCGACAGCGGGGGACTCGTATCCGCTGTAAGTATCGCGACGTTGTCGCGCGTTGCGCCTTTCCTCCTTGTTTGCGGGATTGCCCGAGTTGTCCTTGAAAGACCGTGCGCGCTTGGGTAAAACACGCGAAATCGTGCAGAGACAAATTTCGGAAACTGACCCTCCTTTCGCGTCCGTGAGTGAAGGGGACGGCCCCAATTACTAAACGCGGCGTGACGTAATGACGCGGTAATGACCGCGGGCAGCGGCGACGGCTGAAAACGAAAGCAGCGCGATCGACGTGGGCGGAATTCCTATTTTTACAATTCCGGAAACCGTGAGGCGGTTAAGTAGAAACGAATTTTCACCGGTCGGGGTTTGCGTCCACCGGACATCCGGGAGCTTATTTACCAGTTATGTTTTTCAATTTAATTACTTTACCTTACCTTTAGTTTCAATGTAATGTGACTGCAGCATAATGTTATTTGAATGTGACTTATAGTTTAATTTGTTCTATCACACGCAGTTTGTCAAACTTGTGAATAGATGGCGCTTCTTAACTTCAAATTAGCAACAGCCCGAATAACTATTCAGTGGATATGTTTTCAACTTTTGCTTTATGTAATGTAAAACCCTACAAATAGTAGTAGTTATTCATGAGTTCTGACGAATATATTGAAAATATATAAGTTTGCGCCGCAATTTCCGATTTCCAACTTCACGGTTAATAAGAAAATTATAGCTCTCGACTTTATCCACGATATTGTTTGCCTAACGAGTTGCCTCACTTTTTTGCGAAATCCTTGAATACAAAAGTTTTAGGTGTCGATACGAACGGCCTTTAACAAATGTTATTTGGGAGTAGATACGTAACCTTTTGCCAAATCTCAGTTCGGTTATTTTTGAATACTCAGATTTCGGCAAGCGAAAATCGATGAAAAATAAACGGAAAATCGAGGTAGTCGTCTTCGGATCAGGCTCATATTTTATGGGCAGAATAGCATTTACTGTACTTAAAAGTGAACGAAAAAAAAATAGCTGTATGTTCTCCGTTCCTTTTGGAACGAGAACTTTTGAAGCGTCGGAGCCAAAATTTTAAAATTTTGCTTCTTACAACCCACAGAATATCCGTATTGCGAGCTCAGAACCATTTTTTTTTTAATTTTACGTGTTTTTTTTGGACTTTGCTTGAAACAAGGCAACTGTCCGAAACTTGAAGCTATCGATTTTGAATTGCGCAGAGATATAGAGTTTGATTCCCTGATGGAGTACTTAAGAAAAAAACAGAGGTCGACACTTCCGATCACAAACTTTTCCTGCATGATGTACAAAAATTGCACATAACTAAAAAACACTATGAATCAATTTCCGGTTTCTTTTATTTAGGCCGTATCTTGGTCTAAAATCTGTGGTTATAAAAGTGTTGCATGATATTTTCAAGTTTTCAAAAATTTAAAATTGGAAGCCGAATAAATGGTCTAGCTAGTCTTCTTTCTTTGTTTCCCTTCCACAGAGACCGAATAGAGTTGTTCATAGACGAGAACAAAGCGCTGATGAAACGAATGTACGGCGAGATCGACATGCAACAGTCTTTCAGTTCGTCGGGGCCGTATCCGCCGCCATCTAGCGGTAAGAAAACGAAACGGTCGGCTAAGACGCATCTCGATCCCGGCCCGGATCCCGGCGGAGACGACCGCTCAGATCCGGGCAAGCCGCGGACGCCGCGTCAAAACTTCCGGAACAACAACAACATGGGGAACGAGAGCGGAAGGTCAGTGGCGCGCCAGTTTGCCCCTTACACGCGTTAAAACAGGGTTTCGTTTTGCACAGGATTGACGTGTGCGAGAGTAAGTTGGAGATCGTCACCCCGTACTGGGCTTCGAACTCGGCCGGTAAAATCAGGGCCATAGTAAACACTCAACATTTCGAGCAGGCCGTCCACCAGGAGACGTGCTCGTGAGTATACGGCGACTAGGACGTACCGAAACGTTTTCATAAAACTGGTTTAGATTTGATTAACACGATTTCTATAAGAGCTAAGCCGCTAGGATTAACGTGGTGGCGGGTAGTCATTTGACTAAAGTCCATTAAGTCCATAACTTATCTTTAAAATAGTTCAAATTTAATTAATTCGAATTTATAGAAGAGCTAAGTGACAATAATTAATCTAGAAGAGGGTTCGGACTATCGTCTCAGTTAACGTCCATAGCCAACCTGGGCGTGTAAATTGTCTACAAACAGTCAAAATCAATTAAAGTCCATTACGTCTATAATTTATGCTCAAAGCTAAATTAATTAACTAGAATTTTTGGAGGAGATGGGCGATTTGGGTTAACACGGTGGCATAGACGAGGCTTCAAATTATTGCCTCATTTTGAATGGACAGTCACTGACTGACTGAAGTCAATAACGTCCATAATTTAGGGTTCAAATTTAATTAACTCGATTTCAAAAAAGGAGCTAAGCGCTAAAATTAACACGGCACGGCTTCAAAGTATTGCCTCAGGTAGTATGTATAAATTTGCATTGGCTTTAGGTAAAATTGACCAAAGCCATAATTTATGCTTAAAGCGGTTAAAATTTCATTAACTCGGTTTTTGAAAGATCTGTGCCGCTAGGATTAATATGGTGGCAAAAAAGAGGCTTAAAACTATCGCTAAACTGAATAAAATCTTTTGTCAAAGTGGTCCTATAAATTTTTCCCAAGTTGTTCAATATTGTCAGTTAGTGGTGTACTAAAAATAAATTATATCTTAACATCTGCATGTGTAGTGTGGTTTCTTACCACCGCACAAAAACTCCTACAGTCTTTAATTACAATATGGATGGTACTATCCTGACTAGACTTTGCACTGTAAAGAATTTGGGGATTTTATTTGACCTCACATTACTAAAATCGTTTCCAATGCAATGCAAATTTTACGATTCGTAATAAGAAATAACATTCATTTTTCTAGCTCAGCTTGTTATTTAACTGTTGCGTTAGGTCTATGACTATGGCTCGGTGGTATGGTCACCCATATATTACTGCCACGCTCATTGAGAGTGTGTAGAGAAGGCTACTGAAGAATCGAATGTCCAGTGAGGCTGATTATGAGCTTCTGCTGGGAAGGTCCGCTGTATGGTCTCTGAGCTTGCGCAGAAACTTGCAATCTGTTTCATTTCTCTACAAGTTAGTTCATTAGGGAGTCGATTTTCCGTTTCTTCTGGAACAATTACATTTTCAATATCCATTTCCAAAACCCTATTTACAATATGTGTGTTACCGTCAACAAACTACCACTGCTGTGGTAGTTTGTAGTAGTGGATGGTCTCCAAGAGATACTTCCGCAACTTCGATTTGGCATTGGGTTACTGACAAGTCTTATCCTTTTGTTTCTTCTTCTTTCCGTTTTTTTTAGTTATAAGATTAGTAGATTCAAGAATATTTTTTATGTCCCCTGTGTAATGATTTATATTTCATATATATGATATAAAGGCGAGGGTCCTTCTGCCGCATCCCGCATTTCGATCTCCGCATGTTTCTGTCTCTCCAGGCCTCTTCATTTATGCTTCGGTTCCTTAGATTTATGATAACTCCATCCAGCAATGTGGTAGCTGATCTCCCTCGTTTTCTTTTATTTGGTGGATCATATTCAAAAGCTTTGCTTGGCCATCTATTTTCTTCCATTCGTCTAACAGTTGTTTTGTTTCAATTTTTTCAGTTGTTCTGTGTATTCGATTTGTACGGCGTATAATCTCGTCATTTGGAGTGTGTTTTAACCTAGATATGCGACATGATCTTCTGAGAAAATCCATTTCTATAGCATCTATTCTTCGCCTCGTTGATTCCTTTAGCTGTCAACATTTGGATCCATAGTCATTATTATTGGTTATTCGATTGCTCTATAAATTGTCAAATTTGTTTTTATAGATATTTCATTGGGCCAAAGTAAACGATTCAAAACTCGCATACTGCTCTGTCTATGTTGTATTCTGCGTTGTACAGATGAGCATTGATCGGTGTGTTTTGACTATGTTCATTTTCATTTCTGCTAGATTGTAGTTTTCTTAAGATATAATCTATATCCTCTTGACCATTTGCAATTAGTACCTGTTCATCAGGAAAGAATAATGGTGACTAGTGGTCGCTAACCTTAATTCTCATACCCGAGCATTTTTGTAGCATTTCTGAGAAAGGCAACATCCCTGTTTAAGACCTTTTGTCTGCCGAAATAGTTTTGACAAGATGTTTTGGGTCTGTGGATTCTTGTACATCTTGTGTAGAGCTCCAATATATCCTTTATTTATGTCCCTGTTTAAGACCTTTTGTCTGCCGAAATAGTTCTGACAAGATGTTTTGGGTCTGTGGATTCTTGTACATCTTGTGTAGAGCTCCAATATATCCTTTATTTATGTCCGTTCTTATTAGAAAAATAAATAACAGTTTTAAGAGTATTGTGTCGTAGGCTTTCTCGAGATCAATGAAAACCTCTATAATTTGTTGGAGACTATATATGTTGTCCATACAGGACCTTCCTGCTCGAAATCTGCTCTGTTCTTCGATGTCTCGGTACTCCAGTTCAATATGTTTCTTCAATATCCGACCATACAACCTTCCTACCGAGCTAGTGACACTAATCCCTCTGTAATTCACACATGCTAAAGTGTGCTACACATTTCTATCAGTATGTGTGGTCCGTGTTTCACGAACTCGATAGAAATCTCTCGCGGTCCTTGAGCCTTACCATTCTTCATTTCTTACTTCCTTCTTATTAATTGCCTGAATTTCAATGTCGCTATCGACGGTAACTACGCCAATATTGCCACAAAAATTCGTTTCTGTTTTCTGTCAATGGCGCTCTGTAATGTTCTCCCATTTTTGGTTTTGAATGAGATTTATATTTCCCTTTTTTTCTGTCCCTTCGTACATTCCCATACCTGTGCTACCTGGATATCTCCCTAGGTCTTCGTACTTTCTTTCCCATAGTCCATTTTTCTGTTTTGATACTGCTCCTTTTGTCTCCCTGTTTAGTCTGACATGTGCTTTCCGGTCGTCTTGGTCTTTTGTTTTTAACCAAGTAATGTCAGCATTTTTCTTTTCGTTTACAAGATCTTCTAAAACTTCCTTTGCTGATACGTGGATTCGCATCTTGACTCCTTGGCACTTCTCTTCCGCTGTTTGTAATTCCTCTATACTTTCTAGTTTCGCAGCTTATTTAATCTTAATCTTAATTTGTACAGAAATTAAGTTGATTCATCGATTAAGCTGGTAAGTTTTGGTCAGTTTAGGTTAGCATGGTTTTTCATCTTTATTGTGGTGGCACACATTATTATTATTATATTATTACTATTATTTGCAGCAAAGCGAGTACAAAACGGTGTTCAGGCGAGTGCGGCTGCGAGCAGAAGTACAAATGGCACCGCCTGCTCGCCTACGACCCCGACAACGACTGCAAGGGCATTTTTATGGACTGGTTCCTGTTCCCTTCGTGCTGCGTATGCCGCTGCAACCCGTGAGGCGTTCGTTTCGAATCGGCGCTTGCGTTTTCCTCCAGGGGCGACCCGCGGTCTACCCCCCCCCCCGACTCCCTCCCCACTGTGGTTGTACCGAACTCGGACGCGTTTGTTTTTTTTAGCATGTAGTTTCGAACCAAAGCGTGGAAAGGTCCCGTGGACGTAATGTTTTTAGTTTTATTTAGGTAGGTAAAATAAGCGACGACGGCGGCACCGAGACGGCCCTGTGTTAAAAATTCGGCGACAACTGAACGAAAAACGTGTTTAAATTGGCAAATGCCGCGCGTTGCTGGGTCTGTCGTTTTCGAAAAACATAACCGCACGTAAACCAGCAGCGTGAGGTGACATTTCCAATTTCTATTCTGTGCTCTATTCCGCCTGTTTAACGCACAACCGGGAAAAAAATGACGTGCCCGGCCGATTTGGTAAATGTGGACCTTTATTTAAGTAGATATTTTCTTAAAAAAAAACAAATTGCAATCCTCAGATCTGGCAACGTCGCGTGTCCCGAAAATATCTAAAGATAAAGTTTTTCAAGGACAAGGTTCCCTCTCCCGGGCGCATATAGAGTTACCCCCGGCCCCCACTTTAGTTACCCCCGTTACCCGGAACCTTTAGTTTTTTACGTGTTCCTGTACATTTATACACATATACATATACACGAGAGCGACTTCGCTGCCATTTTTTTATTTCGTAAAATTTTAATTAATAAATTATTGCGTTGAACACGGGTTTCGTTTTATTTCGAATACGTACTCGAGCGGAACAATCGGGGATTCCCGAAAAAAAAGCCTTATCGCCCTTAAATATTTATGTGATGTCAATAAACACTCGACCGCCCAACCCTTTTTTATTTATTACTATTATTAGTAACTACAATTCGCAATCGGCTGCGATTTTATCGCATCCGTTATCTGAATCGAACGTGGTACCATTATGAGATACGACTTATGTTCACTAGACGGCTATGGGCTTCCTTTAAACTCCCTATAGGTGGATCCAAATAAACTAGATTTTGAGGAACAGTGTCCAGAGGACACTTCGTCGATCTCACGTAGTTTATTAACTGTCCCAAAAATCCCCCGCCGGTGGGTCCCAAAAAACTAGGCTTATGAGGAACGTATTCCAGAGGAGACTTCGTTGATGTCTCATCATTTCTATCTTCCAAATTGGGTTTGGAACCATTTAGGGACGAATTTTTGTTTGCAGAAGCAGGCCAAGGACTGCCCGAGGGCACCAACTGTCCCAAAAATCCCCCGCCGGTGGGTCCCAAAAAACTAGGCTTATGAGGAACGTATTCCAGAGGAGACTTCGTTGATGTCTCATCATTTATATCTTCCAAATTGGGTTTGGAACCATTTAGGGACGAATTTTTGTCTGCAGAAGCAGGCCAAGGACTGCCCGAAGGCACCAACTGTCCTAAAAATCCTCCGCCGGTGGGTCCCAAAAAACTAGGCTTATGAGGAACGTATTCCAGAGGAGATTTCGTTGATGTCTCATCATTTCTATCTTCCAAATTGGGTTTGGAACCATTTAGGGACGAATTTTTGTCTGCAGAAGCAGGCCAAGGACTGCCCGAGGGCACCAACTGTCCCAAAAATCCCCCGCCGGTGGGTCCCAAAAAACTAGGCTTATGAGGAACGTATTCCAGAGGAGACTTCGTTGATGTCTCATCATTTATATCTTCCAAATTGGGTTTGGAACCATTTAGGGACGAATTTTTGTCTGCAGAAGCAGGCCAAGGACTGCCCGAAGGCACCAACTGTCCCAAAAATCCTCCGCCGGTGGGTCCCAAAAAACTAGGCTTATGAGGAACGTATTCCAGAGGAGATTTCGTTGATGTCTCATCATTTCTATCTTCCAAATTGGGTTTGGAACCATTTAGGGACGAATTTTTGTCTGCAGAAGCAGGCCAAGGACTGCCCGAGGGCACCAACTGTCCCAAAAATCCCCCGCCGGTGGGTCCCAAAAAACTAGGCTTATGAGGAACGTATTCCAGAGGAGACTTCGTTGATGTCTCATCATTTCTATCTTCCAAATTGGGTTTGGAACCATTTAGGGACGAATTTTTGTCTACAGAAGCAGGCCAAGGACTGCCAGAAGGCACCAACTGTCCCAAAAATCCTCCGCCGGTGGGTCCCAAAAAACTAGGCTTATGAGGAACGTATTCCAGAGGAGACTTCGTTGATGTCTCATCATTTCTATCTTCCAAATTGGGTTTGGAACCATTTAGGGACGAATTTTTGTCTGCAGAAGCAGGCCAAGGACTGCCCGAAGGCACCAACTGTCCCAAAAATCCTCCGCCGGTGGGTCCCAAAAAACTAGGCTTATGAGGAACGTATTCCAGAGGAGATTTCGTTGATGTCTCATCATTTCTATCTTCCAAATTGGGTTTGGAACCATTTAGGGACGAATTTTTGTCTGCAGAAGCAGGCCAAGGACTGCCCGAGGGCACCAACTGTCCCAAAAATCCCCCGCCGGTGGGTCCCAAAAAACTAGGCTTATGAGGAACGTATTCCAGAGGAGACTTCGTTGATGTCTCATCATTTCTATCTTCCAAATTGGGTTTGGAACCATTTAGGGACGAATTTTTGTCTACAGAAGCAGGCCAAGGACTGCCAGAAGGCACCAACTGTCCCAAAAATCCTCCGCCGGTGGGTCCCAAAAAACTAGGCTTATGAGGAACGTATTCCAGAGGAGACTTCGTTGATGTCTCATCATTTCTATCTTCCAAATTGGGTTTGTAATCATTTAGGGACGAATTTTTGTCGGCAGAAGCAGGCCAAGGACTGCCCGAAGGCACCAACTGTCCCAAAAATCCCCCGCCGGTGGGTCCCAAAAAACTAGGCTTATGAGAAACGTATTCCAGGGGAGACTTTGTCGACGTTATGTTATTTCTACCTTCCAAATGGGGCTTGGAACCGCTAAGAGATGAATTTTTATTAGCAGAAGCATGCCAAGGGCTGCCCGATGGCTCCAACTGTCCCAAAAATCCTTCGCCAGTTGGTCTTAAAGAACTAAGTTTATGAGAAACTGTCTCCAGAGAAGACTCCGTCACTGCCTCGTCATTTCTATCTTTTAAATCAAGCTTGGTGCTGTTTAAGTTTTGCTCACCAGAAGGCCAAAGGCCGCCCAAGGACTCCAATTGGTCCCCGACAAATATCAAGCTGCTTCCGTTGCCGCACGGCAGCAAGTTTCGGTCCAAATCTAGATCGCCGTCATCTTCAGCATCCAGAGTTTCCCACACGCACACGGTACCGTTCGACGCCAGGCGATTCGCATGCGGCAAAAATCCGGCTAGCAAATCGAACCAAGGCTTCCAAGGCGGCGACCAAGCGGTCGAACCGCCACCCTCGTCTGACTGGGGAGCGGGACTGGTCGGTTTATTTTCGGCTGGAAACAAATGTGACCAGAACCCTCCTCCACCAGGTCTCGTGGGCTGCTTAGACGTGGTGACGCGGGCGGTGGTGGTGGGGGTGATGGTAGTTGATGGTGGTGCGTTTTGGTTTACCGGGGGCGGTTTAGACGCCGCCGCCTCGGCGACATGTATTTGAAAATGCGACGGGAACTGTGTCACGGTCTCCGATGTGGATGTCTTTGGCGTGGAGGACGTGTAGTCCTGGTGGTTGGCAGGCCACGGTTCACCTTGTGGGACGATTTGACCGAGCTGCCCTAGGCCGCCGCCCTGTCCAAAATACGACGGGCGTTGCGGTTGGTACTCGAGAGGCGACTTCTTCGTCGATATTTCGACGTTACTCCCTACGCACGGATTATTTCCAAATAAAAATGAACCTCAAAAAATCTAAATTACTAACCGTGGGAGATGGCTGCGAAGGCCACGAGGAGCACCAGGAGACGCATTTTCGCGGGGTTCGGATCGCGAGTGACGACGGCGGCGGCGGCGACGACGACCGGCCATCGCAGAAGCAGAACCGTTTTATTTTTACGGAACTGGTTTTGCGTGAAAGACTGTCGTCGACCCCGTCGCAGGTGGAATTGTTTTCGGTAGCGAAATAAACACGCTTAAACAGGGTGATTTCAAAAACATGCACCAACGCTCGTCTGGAGATTCATCATAAAAAAAAAACTTCATATAAACGAAGGAAACTCCTTACCGTCTTACCGTCTTAGCCTACATGCCTGCGATGAAGCTAAATCATTTTCTTTAGTGTCAATTTTTTAGAATTAAGTTTATAATAATTATTATTATTAATAATTAAATAAATGCTAAAAAAAATACAGCTCGACTTTTGCTCTTTTGAAACTCCCTGTATATACACTCGCCTCGTGAACATGGTAGGCCAAAATTGCTCTTAAGAGGAGCAATTTCTATGAGAGATACCTAAAAACGAGTAGATATGGTAGACATATGCGGCTATGAAATCTTCATATGAATAGATAATATAGTTTTTCAGCTTTGAGACTGCAAACATTTGCATTTTAGGAGAGGACGTTTCCAACACATTCAATATTTGGCCTACCCCCTGTGTAGAACAAATTAGGGATTCTCTTCTTTCGTCTTTCTGTGTCTCAAGCAAGTAGCATAAAAAACTACGGAACTGAACTTAATATTGTTCGATAACCATAACTATTACTCCGTAAAACGTTAATCATGAATCATCTTGTATCGGAATTTTTATCCGAGTACTTTTGGTACTTTGGACCGTCGACTTAAGCCCGGTTTATTCTTGCCAGATAGTCGACGATTGAGGAGTTGCTGATCACCCGCAGATTATAAAAACAAACAAGTCGACGTAACCTGCTCGCAATAACATGGTTTATTAAAAAAAAATCATATAAATAAGCGAACCCTTAACTCAGAAAATTCGCGACAAAAAGTAACACGCCGTTACCGAGACGAACGAAACTGCCAAATCTGTTGCCGAACTATCACCCGGATCCTCTGTCGCATCGGTCGTTTCCGTCGTTATTGTTGTAGTTTTAGACGACGTTGTAGTGGCAGGCGACAGTGTTGTTGTAGTTGTAGGCAATGGTGTTGTAACCGATGTTGTTATTGTACGTGATGTCATTGTATTTGCAGCTGATGTCGTTGTAGTTGCGGCTGATGTTGTCGTTGTAATAGTAGATGTCGTTGTAGTTGTAGGGAATGTTGTTGTTCTAGGTGATGTTGTAGTTGAAGACGATGTTGTCGTTATAGGCGACGTTGTCGTAGACGATGGTGTCGTTGTCGTTGTAGCCGATGTTGTCGTTGAAGTCGATGTCGTCGATGTAGATGTTGTTGTTGTTGTTGTTGCAGGTGATGTTGTTGTATCCGATGTTGTCGTTGTACGTAATGTTGTTGTTGTAGGAGACGTTGTCGTTGTAGGCGATATCGTTGTCGTTGTGGGCGATGTTGTACTTGTGGGCGATATCGTTGTCGTTGTAGGCGATGTTGTTGTAGACGATGTCGTCGTTGTAGGAGACGTTGTCGTTGTAGGCGATGTTGTTGTAGCCGATGTTGTCGTTGAAGTCGATGTTGTCGATGTAGATGTTGTTGTTGTTGTAGGTGATGTAGGAGACGTTGTCGTTGTAGGCGATATCGTTGTCGTTGTGGGCGATGTTGTAGTTGTGGGCGATATCGTTGTCGGTGTAGGCGATGTTGTTGTAGACGATGTCGTCGTTGTAGGCGATATCGTTGTTGTTGTGGGCGATGTTGTAGTTGTACTAGATATCGTTGTCGTTGTGGGCGATGTTGTTGTAGACGATGTTGTCGTTGGTATGGAAGTGGAGATCGACGCCGTAGAACCAGTGCTCGTTATTGAGGTCGAAGCGAAAGTCGAAGTTTCCGTATCCTCACCGACTCCCAAACCATAACCTGACACAAGTAAGGCTATGATTTAAAGTGTATATACACTGTATTACTCGATGATCGACTTTATATGACCACATGGCTTAACCAAATCGAAGCTTAAAAGTCCATATAAGTGTTAAAATGTCTGCTTTTCAGGATGCCATTCTGACAGTGTTGGTAATTGCGGCGAAATGTAAATCAACCACAATTGTAGCATTTTAATGTTTCTTCAAAAACGAAATAAGATGCGGCAATATATCTGCACGAATCGCAAAGCTGGCCCCGGGACCCCCTTGGAATTCAAAATTATGATACAGTGAATGGTAAATGTAAGAAATTAATTAAAAAAAAACGAAGAAAAATAAGTTACTCTAAAAGCAGATATTTAGGACACACGTTTAAGTAAACTATTACGTTTGAATTTGGTTCACTAAAGAGAGCTCACCGAATTACGGCCTTTCGTTAGCTTTGTTTGCGGTAGGGATTTCAAACCAATTTGGAAACGGTGCCGCCGTCCTATTGCGCATGTCTGATTAAGAATAAATTCAGGTTATTTTGTTTATTGCGTACGATTTCGAAACCGACTCCATTACTGAATAACTCATCTGTCATGCTATAAAACGCCGTGTTTTACCGATGTATTATTATGTGTAGGTGTCAGGTCTCTTAATCAGTTCCTTTTTCTGTTGTTGCATTAAAACTATTTGATAAAAACAATTTAAAAAACTTATCTTTTTGAATTTTTATCTCAGGTTTTCATATATTTGTTTGTTCTTGGATTGTCTAACAGCTTGTCCGCTAGATAATATAGTAATTATGCTAAGTATAACAAGGATTAATTAGAAAATAAAAATGAAAATAATCTCAATAGAAAACATAAACACTAATATTTTATTGCTAGTTTTTTGCAAAAAATGTAAGTTCCAGAAAAAAAGCGACAACAAAAAAATACAAAGAACGAACAGTTTAACAGATGCTATTTATACAAAAAAAAAACAAACTATTCCAATTCTCAACTAAACTTATTTATCCGCCAACACGTGATTGGAAATTCATGATGCGTTGTATGGTCTGTCTCAAAGTAAGAAGTTTTTGGAACACCGTGAAATGCTAACACTGATATCAGCCGACAGCTGGTCGACATCCACCCGATTTGTCCCTTCCGTATGAATAAATTATTGGTGGTTGGGTGCACTCATTAACAATAGATACACGAAGGTCCGTAATTAATTGTTGGAGTAGAGATAGGATCAGTCAAAAGTCAGGTCAATATAATTTGAAACAAAACCATACCACTTTATTCGAGCTACTCAGGCGAATAGTACCGAACCGAGACTGAACCCTTTCCGCGAACGAAGCTATTAAATAACATCATGTATTTACCTGCATCGACAAGTCCCGCACCATCACCGATTGTGTAGATCGCGGGATCTAGGAAATTTAACGTGTTAAAGCTTATTTTTCACCCACGCCGAAAAAACAACCTACCGGATAAAACTAAACCGATCGTCAGCAGCACGACGAACGTTGGGATCAGCCCCATTTTACTAGCGGAAAACAAACAAAAATTAAGTAAATCCCAAAACTCGAACACCTTTATATATTAATCCTAAAGTACTCCAAAGATTTCAATATTATCAAATCGACAGGTATATAGATAAAACAATATATACGAGTATTGATTGATTATTTAGGAAATCGTAATAAGCACTGACTAGTTTTCTGGCTTAGATTAGACTTACGCAAAAACTTAACGGACAAAAAAAATGCCGCCGCCGTCGCCGGATATAAATTCAGAATCGGATTATTCGAAGTCGGGCGTAAACTGGGGGCGCGCGTAAAGAAAAAACTTTCGATAACGCGAATAAACAATTTAATAATGCATTCCTGTACGGGCTGTTTGTCGTATATGCCCATAAAATATTCAATTTCGAAATCGATGAGTCTATAGACCGAGGGAACTTGTTTAAATTTACCTAATTTAATATTACAAATATTTAATAATTTTTTAGTAGCAGATGACTTCTTGGGTAGGCAACCCAACAAATACAATCCAAAGTATAGCCCTTCATTTTTATTCCGTTCGTCTGCGCGGTTGCCTCTTTGCAAGTGATCAACCAAAATGTGTATGTGTGCAGCTTTCTTGTACGCATATAATTTTTTTCGAGTTATCTTCGTCTATACATTTTAAAACGTTTTCGGTAAGCATTACAATTTTGCACAATGTAAAACCCCAATTGGCCAACCGCTGCGTTTTGTCTCAACGGAACACAATCTGGCAACGCCGCGAGAAAGTTTAAGTTGACAAGCAAGTCACTTATCTGTGGTCGACAAACAAACGTATCTTATAAGGTTAAGGTATCGCAGAAAGTTTTATTTATTTATAGCGTTTTATTTCGTTTGAATTGTTTAAACAGCAGGGCGGATCCGTGGTAAAAGTCGCGTCGGCAGCGTGCTCGGGCTACGCTTTTAGCGGTACGTCGCCCCTAACGGACATTCCTCGGACGTTGTGACTAATAACGGGGTCGACTCTTTGCGTGAATCAAACACGAAGGTCGCCAGGGGCGTGCCCACGGGACAACTATGCCGACGCAGCTCGCGGATGACAACAACGCGAACGAAATCCGCGCCAAGATCGCCTATAGCGGCGAAATTCTGGTAACCTACATCGACCGGAACATTACTCTCGACGAACTGTGCCAGGAGATCAGGGAGATATGCAGGTTCGGGCAGGACCAAATTTTTACGATGAAATGGGTCGACGAGGAAGGCGATCCCTGCATCATCTCTACCCAGCTCGAATTGAATGAGGCGATCCGATTGTACGAGATCAACAAAGATTCCGAATTGGCCATACACGGTAAGTCAGTGGTTCGACTTGGGCGGTTTTATTATTGAACGCTGCGCAGATCATATTGTTCGGTCGAGTGTTGTTCGTATGCGGCTTCTTCTTCGCTACTCGCATGCCCCAATATAGACGAAAGTTGTCTTGACCATTTTCACAATTGCACTCCCACGCGAAACCGTTAAACTATTAAACGGCTGGTTCGCTGGGCGAAAGGGGTACTGGGGGAGCGCGTGCTCCCACACATGCTGTTCTATCGATCGAGCAGCTCGCTGCCCGGAATTCGCCCTCGTCTACGTACACCCGAGCAATTTCAGTCCAAAGGCTATTTACGATTCGGCGCTTTAAAACTGACTGTTGCCTGGATTATTCATAAATTTTTACGTATTGGTAAATTATTTTTTTGAAATTTTGAAAAAAAAAATTAATGTAAACATGAGAACGAGAGGAACGGAGCATGTTTAACGTTTGAAGTGCTGTATAAATTCCACTAATATATTAATTTTTGTGTTCGCTAAATTCAATTCTCATATACTTTGTCTCTGACAATTATCGAAATAACCTGACGATAGCAACAAAATACCTGACCATAGCATCAGGGACGGACTTTTAAGGTGTTTTAATAATATATTATTTGATATTTAGTGTGCACTAGTACTAATAGATAACACGATGACACTAAATTTATAAAAATGATCAATAATCACATAAACAACTACGTTTTTATTCAAAATCTAATTTTGTTTCACTCTCAGAGTTCTCATTAAGCTAAATTACAATGTTTACTATGTTATTTTCCATGCAAATATAAGAATCTCGAATTTTTAAAATCTGCAATTACATTTTTAATTAAATTGTTAAATTTGTTGATCTCCCATTGGATTTTACTTCGTGCTACAAATGTTTTATGGTGTTGAAAACAATTATATTGTCGAAGACCTAAACTAATATGGCTCATCTATTATATATTATATTATATATTATTTCTAGGTAGATAGAGCCCTTAGTATCTTTCGCAGACAACAGCAAGCAGTCCGGAATAAATCCCTTTTTTGATCCATCGTGAATTATAGTGATGCGGTTTCTTTCATTTGAAGATGACAGCCGAGAGTTTTTAGTTTCGATACTGTATCGCACGTATCGAATCAACTTTGATCTAGGTAAACGAAATACTTTGAGACATACTATACGTATAGGGCTAATTTTGGTTACATTGAAATTCAGTTCTTTTTAACAAATTGTTTATTCATTTTTTTCCAATAAACGTTTTTCATGTTCCTGATATGTTTCTTAAACACACTTTTTATTAGTGTTTTTTAAATAATATTTTTTAAACCATCCTTTAATATATGGATGCACTAGTCTTAGGATGAAGGACTGAATAATTAGAAAGAGGCCGAAGTGCTGTGCTGCACATCACACGCCGTTTTCTTTCACTTCCAAAATAATATATTAAAATTTTCTAATATACCCTTTCTGGAGTTTACTTGGAATTTTCTTGGTGAGCTTGTTGATTTTTTCTAAACTATTAGTCTGACTGGAATTGATTTCCTCGCCGCAAAGTTCTACATTTTTATTACTTCTCGAATATTTTTTTCCACTATAGGCTTATGTGGTGAATACGTCGGTATAGTGTGTCTCATCGTATCTCGTCTTGGCTTTTGACGGAACCTCTCGCACAAAGTAATTCATGCGTATTGTTACTCGTTTTACTAATGTATTTAGATAATTATTGGTAAGTTGTCTCTATTTAGTGTCTTCGTATTTTCTAGCAGTGATATTGTTATTTTATTGTAAAGTCTGTGTCACATGAGGAAGGAGTTTTAGTCAACTGATAACTTGCAATGCCCATTACAATTACGCTATTAGAAGGAATGTTTGGAACTAGTTTGCTTTTAAACCAACTTTCAAATCAATCAGCGGTGGTGTCTTCATGGTAATACAGAGAAGAATCTTTAATATTTTACGCAGACAGAGAAAGTCCATTTGGAATCCAACAATCTTTAGGGCCAGCATGCAAAATAGTTATTCTTTTACCTCTTTTTGATGGTGCGTTTGTTTTACACTTATCAATTGAGTTAACCTAACCCTTTTCCGGGGTATCATAAGTGTCGAACCAGGTTTCATCCAAGTAAATAATTGGCCTTTGTTGTTCTCTGTAAATCCTAATTTTTCTAGATATTCCAGTCGCCATTTCCGAATTCTAATAGATTCCATTAAAACTTGCCTTTTGTCAATTTTTTTAAATCTAAAACCCGTGTGTTGAATACACTTCCATAGGATAGTTCTGCCACATTTAACACCGGTGGTTTCATCTTTTTCAAGCCTCCTAAATAAGATATGTAATATAGGCACGCTTTGTACCTCGTATAACTGTTAAATTTTACGCCGTATTATATCTTGATCACTTTCATCTACACTCGAGAAAATGTCAGCATCGCTCCTTTTTTTCCTCGCTGAAATGGGATTATTCACAATTTTCCATACAGTTGATGTTGGAAGTTTCGTCAATGTGGCCGTCACATTGTTTATAACTACCTTAGTCTCAATAGAATAGTGTTTTCTACATTTTAGCGGGAGCATCTCCTGAGATACAGTAAACTCGCATATATTTTGCATAATTCGCACACGATTCAACACACGCTGCATTACACACGAAATAAGAATTATTACTAATAAACTTAAACTAGGTAGTATACCAAACCAAAGAATATTAAACAGAGGTAGGTATAAAATTATTTTCTAGGTACGGACCACAATTTTATCTGAATTTAAATTCCGAAATTTTAGGTAATAATCTTGTTGCATTGTATGTTAATGACAACCCTTGGATAATCCCATTCAAAAACAATTGGTCACTTTCTTATACCATATCTAAATAAACATAATATAAGATTTAATCTTTATATATTTTAAACACGTTAAAAGTCCATCCTTGATGCTCTGACCTATTATAGTGACAGGTCCGGTGTTTTACTGCCGTCGGCAGGTAATTTGGATAATTACCGACATTAATCAAGACGATACACTTTGGGACAAAGTATAAATAGAATACGACCCTCAGCTGTCTGTCGGTACGCGCGTGCGCGAAGCTTCGGCACGGTAACCGCTGGGGTGCACGGACGCGCGCTCGCGCTTTAATCCCCGCATAGAAAGAAGTCGATCAAATGGACACGCGGCGGTTCGCACAGGCGCGGCAGATACGTCGCGATTGTTTGGCCAGCGCAGCGAGACCGACGCAAGCTTTAACCCCGAAACGTTGTCGTCCCCCGTCGGTTTTCGGTTCGGTCGACTCTCGTTTGTTTTTTTTTTCGCCGCACCGTCCCCCGCCCCAACCGCCCGCCCGTTGGTCTCCGTGAAGCGTCCGGTCGCAGCTTCCTCGTGAAAACGTTATATTATTATAGTGTTCGACATCGTGACTGTGTTGGTGAATTTGAGGGGGTGAAAAAGCCACGAAAAAGGAACCCCGGACCCTTCGCTTAGCGTCATCTGCGATAGCGGCGTCCAATTTTTTACATATCCGAAATATGCAGGTTTTTTTTTCTCGGAAGAAAATTGCGAAAGTTGAAATTTGATTTGCCACCGCAGACGCTCAAAACGGTAAGCGATGAAAAAAAAAACAGAAAATTAAAAAGCCAGTTTGCGTCAACAGCGTTGTCAAATCGACCACCATTTCCACGTTCGTAGTGGCCCGTAATAGCCGAAAATTAAATAAAAGAACACGAACGCGGCCTTGTCCGTTAGCAATTATCAATTCGTTGGGTTGACCGAAACAGGCCCGTTACATAATCTGCGGTATGGTTTTGCTATTGTCGCTTATTTTTTTGGCCGACAACTGATATCGTTAATTTTACGGTCGATATTTTATGATGTGTTCAACAATGTGAATAAGATTTTCTATTTCAACTCATAAAACGGTCGCATTTTCACTAAATATGTAATAAAAAAGTAAATGTGTAGTAGAACTTCGGTAATCCTGATTAATAAAAACCGAGACAATTCGGATTAGTAAAACATCCGGATTATTGAAATCTTTTTAAAAGCCACAAAAATTCACCCAAAAGACATCGTTGTAGCATTTTTTAACACAAATAATGTAAACATTTACTAACACCTAAAAAATAAAAGAAAAAGAACACCCACACGCAGTTCTTACACCTACCGACATAGAACGACAACGAAAATAATGCAAATAAATGGTTTGGATTATTGTAAAATGTAACGTGCCGAGGCGGATATCGGTAAATGTTAATAAACTTAACAATTTGGACTTACGTAAGTAAGAATTAAAAAGTCTGCAATTTTGTTTGTTTTATACTGCATTGTCTTGCTTGCATTGCGCGTTCTCTCTTAGTTCGTAAGATGGACAAAACATTCATTTCAACACCATTTTCTTCTGCCCACTGTATGCATGTACCAAAGCAACGAATAGCTTCCTCATGTTTAATTTTTAGATCATTTCTAACACCTTCACTGTCCCTCACTGTACAGCGGTAAGTGGTCATCATCGCCATCGATCCACTCGTTGATCTCTGCTTCTTGCGTAGCATATTTCTAATTTCGGCCGGCGGTAAATAAGTAAAGGCAATGGGATGAAAGTTATTCTTTCCTTAGACCCTTTACACCCAGGTGTCGAATTCTTTTTATGATGTACCAAAGTACGATTTGACAACATTTTTCAGAGCAGTGCTGATTCGTATGCGTTGTAAAGCTGATTTGGTTCCAACTGCGTCTCCCTAATTTTGTTGGTTAATGTCTGAAAAAAACGCTTAACAACAATTGGGTCATTAATAATTTTTTCCCTCTACTTGCGTTAAAGTTGTTATCACCATAAAATTTTGCATAAACTTGTGTCGCGTTTTCTCTTAAAATATGGGATGTAATGGTTACATGTTTTTCCTGCTGCTTAATAAACCACCCGTATAACTCAGTTTGCATTTGAGGGCTTCTCCTTTTCGCAGAGTTTTCTTACGTCGCGTTGCAGAAAAGCAATTTTCGATGTAGCTGAAACAAGGCGATGACATTAGTATAGAGGAATTCAATCACCTTGTACCCAAACTCACTTTGTACCCAAAATGTCAGAAAATAAAATAAAAAAATATTTATTTTCATTTCATTACATACTTTCGTAAATTCATGCTAGCTGTACAACAGACATACGTCTTTATTTGCCCAAATTTCTGTTTTATATCCGAAATAGTCGACGTACCAACTCGACATTTTATAGCCAATACCTTGTCACTCTAGTTTTTCTAAATTATCATATTTTTCCGCTAGTATTAAAGTTTTGTGTGCTCGCTTTGGTGCCATGATACTTTTTAACCTCTAAGAAAATCTCGACTTGTCTTTAGATTATGATTATAGAATACATAATGTAAATAAGTAATATTTAAATTTTGGCCGGATTACTGGAGAATCCATTTCTTCTTTCAAAATTCGAAAAACTTAAATCTCGACGAGATTAGACGTTACACAGGATGTTTCAAAGTAACTGATCGTTGAAGTGGATGCGTTAGATGATTTTAAGAAGAAGAGTTCCAATAAACCCACGTCCAAAATCTAACTTTTGAGATGCAGGGTGTTAAAAATTAGAAAAAAAGGTTTTTGATGTTTTTTTTTTAATGTAGCGGTACAGGACGTGCCCTAGATAATTTTGAAAAAATAATGCCATCCCTTGTTTCTTTCAATATAAAATTTATTATCAAGTCCTCTTTCGTGTAGGAACCAACTTTATTTCTTTACTCTTTTTGATCCTTGGAAAAAAATAAAAGGCTTTAGCAAGCATATCGGCACGTGACCGTTGACGCGTTTCTTTTTCGTGGCAACCCCCCAAAGTAGCTCCCGCCCCCTCGTTCGCGCTTAACCTACAATTACCGTTGTAACGAAGTGAGGTCATGTCGGCGTCGGCGACCAGCTAAGCGCAAAAAAAAAGGATTATGGCGTGGGGTTACTGGAGCGCGACCACGGTGTCTGACCGGGGCCGCAGTCCCCGGCGTAACAAAGAAAATCCCCCCGAATCCCACCACGGCGCGACGACGAAACCCGCAGGCGACGACCCTCCCTGCGCCTCACATCCCCAAACTGCCGCCCCGGGAGCGCAAACGATGATACCCGTCGACCTGGAGGAGGTCATGCAACAACCCCCACACCAACACCACCATCATCACCAGCTGTCTCGGCGTCCGAGCCTGGACCTGGGCTCGATGGTGGGACCCCAGAGCGCCCTCGCCGGCATCCTCTGCGCGGCCCACGGGAGTCGGCAGCTGGGGGGCACCCTCTCCGCGGGCAACACTCTGACACGGGTCGGCAGCCGCCACACCGCTGTGGAGTACGCAGTGCCCCACCACTTCCATCACCATCACCACGCGTACGTCGAGTACCACCACCATCAGGGGCAACTGTCGTTATCCGACGACGACAGCAGCTCGGAGCCGGGATACGACTCGATACGCGCAGGTTAAAATTAAAAAAAAAAACACCATTTTTTACACCTATTATAGTTTTTTTCTCCAATTTTAAGAGTTAAACAATACTAATTAATCCCCCAATAATAAGTCATAATATTGCCAAATTTTCATAGTTTGGATTCCAAGAAAACTGGACACCTGCCAAAGCGAAAATTCGAAAATTCAATACAAATCAACAAATTGGTTTTTTTCCCTCAATTTTCCGCGTATCAAAACTCAATTTTGGTTCAGTTAGTCGTTTCGATATCGCGACCCATTAGATAAACGCGCTATCGCTTTATCTCTATCGTTGTTTTGACCGATATCGGGCGCATCAGATAAGGCGGCTCCAGTACTGCGTTCGCGCGTCCCATACTGAGTCTTTGTTTTTTGGGAAACGCCGCGTGTTCCCGTGGTCGAAATGTGAAAATGGCGTCCGACAGACACAAACCGTGGCACCTGAGGTTGCTGGAGGAGGCACTGAAAGTCGCGACGGTTTACGCTTACCAGCCGACCGTCTATTACCTCCTCGAAGCTTACCCGAGATGTAAGCCGAACCCGGCGTCCACACCCACTCCGACAATATTATCGGGTCGATTAATTGTGAATAAATTTCCATTTGGCACCTTAGGTTTAAGTTTACTTCCAGTCACAGACAGAAAAAATAATTTGGCATGTTCGAGAATGTTCCCGTGGGTTTACGTGCGAGGCAGGCTAGTCGAACTGTTATTGTAATCGTTGAAGCGCTATATAACCTTAGACGTACTTACCCCTACGACGGCCGCAGGAAGTTTCTCGTGACTTTCATTCCGCAACTTGTCTTATCCGCGAGTCAATTCGATAAAAAACACGAACGCGAATCGAAATTTGAGGTACTCATTTTTCGCAACCGGCCTTGCTTCTGTTCAGTTTAATTTTTAACAAAGATACAGTTAAGTTTTTAAAGAAACTTCCACAGGCTATTGTAATGTTTTTTACAAAACTTCTGTTGAGTGGAATTTGCTGAGTCGCGGTTAAGATTGTTAGGTTGCTTATAGATTTCTATAGAGTATCGGATTGGGTTCGGCGTCTAATGATGAGTTTATTTGTCTTAGTCTTAAGGCTCTTTCGTGTTCTTTGAGCCTACTTTATATTTTTCGTCCGGTTTTTCAAATGGAATTTTGTCTTTGAGGGACCGAAGATGTCGAGAGATTTTGGACAAGTGGTAAATCTGGTTTTGACATTATATTGCTTTAGAACTCTTGATATGTGGTCAGTGATGTTTTGAATGTAAGTGGTAAATGTGGGATTGCTTTCGGGATTATTGCTATTGGAAGATTGTGTTGTATTTTGGGATAGAACGCTTAATATCTTGAATGTAGCAATTATTAGGGAGAAGAGCATAGGTAAGGTGTGTTGATTCTGGGTGCAGTGACTTGGGCTGAGATGGTTTTTCGGCTCTGTAAACAAGAGAGTTGATACCCGATGGTGATGTAACAATGCATTAAGGTATCGGTCTGTGTACGTAGTTTTCTGTAACACAATGACCGGATGTTAGATCCGATTTTCTATTGATAAGAATATCTAAAAATCGGAGGTTATTATTAGTTTCTAATCCAATGGTAAAATGTATTTTAGGGTGCATAGAGTTTAAATGTCTAAGAAAATCTACTAGACATTCTTGACCATGAGGCGAAATAACAAAAGTATCATCGACGTAGCGTTTCCATAATGGTGCTGACAATAGGTCGAAGGGGTAATCCTGGTTTGTGAATCTTGGCGAGTCGTGAATCATTGCGAGTCCGTAGAGACGAGGAACTTTAGAGTCATGAGAGGTTAGAGACTTTTTGTCTGTCCAGAAGTTTTGTAAAAAATAGAGGTGCCTGTTTTGCTTTTGCGTTACGACGGTTCTACTGCCCACATAACTCGGCGTCCCTCACCAACCAACTAAATAGTCTGACTAACGTTTTTCGATACTTCCCATAGAAAGTGGCTGGTTCGAGCAATTGCAGGACAGATGTTTTGCGTTTCAAAATACCGCCATTGAATAATGAATTGTAATTATTTAAGATGAGGTGACAGTCATGGATAATAATGGAGCTTTGTTTTCACTTGTTTCTCGCGTTTAGATCATGCGTGATATTATGAGCTGGAAGATATTTTCTTCTCTTGGGTTTACTTAACAGTCCCCACTGATATTGAATGGACTGTATATTTTTCTAATTTATTTATTTTATTTTTAACATTAAAAAAGAGCTCAAGAATGTTCTGCGACGCAACATAGAACGCATGTGGAACTGGTAGAGTTAAATCGGCAATAACGAAGTGAAAATACCTTAAAAAACAAGCATCAAACAATGGTTGGCATTTGCGCTCAATATACCGGCACAAGCCATTTCAAATCTCGCTTTAGCCAATGAGACCTTCCAACTTACATGGTCGTCGATATTTCAGATTTAATTTAGAAGTTTAGAAAGAAAATGGCGCAAAATGCAGGTTGGTTTGTGAATATTGGGGGCATGCGCGGATAATTTTACAAAATTAACGGCTCCTATATTATCTAATCTATAAATACTTTCAACAAATAACACCGCGTGGTGTCCCAGCATGGCTGCTGATGGTTTGTGAGTTATAGAACGTTTCGCAACGCCCCCTTTAAAAGCATTTTCTCGCCAATCGACCTGAACCCAGACAAAATTTAGCTCACCTCACCCAGAAAGTGCAGCATTAGAATATTTTTTTGTGGGGAAGTGGCGCTTAAAAACTCAACGCGTTAGCCTGTATGTAGGAAAAAAAAGTAAATCGGTCGCCGCCGCTGGCCCGACAACCAACAGTTTTTGCGTTATCTGCGATAAAACTGCGCGTTCCTAACCTCCTATATATCGGACGCGAATATTCGACGGCGATAAATACAACCAACGGGCGTATAATGCCAAAATTAACCGAATGCCGGCCAATCGCGCCCGCCTAAATGTGTTTCACGTTCTGCTCGAAACTTATGGCGAAACATTTTTACTTATTCGAGGTCGTTTTCTCCGCAGTCTTCCCCAATGCGCCGCCTCAGCCCGGGATGCCCTGCCAGGGAGAGGACAGTGAGTATTTTTTTTAAGTAAAAAATCGTCTTTGGACCGCGCACAAAAACGGTTGGTTAAGCCGACGCGAAACCAGAGCGTTGCGACGTTGCCGCAGTTACTGTTTACAGGGAGCATCTACAGGAGGGGCGCGAGAAGGTGGCGCAAGCTGTATAGGGTCAACGGTCACATTTTCCAGGCGAAAAGGTTCAACAGGGTGAGTAGCGCTGTGACAATAAAAATGTCCTCCGTCTGAACGAGTGGAACCGTGTTGCAGAGAGCGTTCTGCGCTTATTGCCACGACCGTATCTGGGGCCTAGGGAGGCAGGGCTTCAAGTGCATTCAGTGCAAGTTGCTGGTGCACAAAAAGTGTCACAAGGCGGTAAATGTCGCGTGCACTAGCGACCACGGACCGGAACCCGATCCCGCCCCCGTCAGGGACGAGCGAAACGGGGACGCGGTCCGCATCCTCGCCGCCCCCGGAAACGATCTCGTTTCGGAGGCTGGATCGGGTAGGGAACGCGAATACGCGGAACAGCCTCCGGACATCGCCGGCGATTCGGTACCGGTGGAGGACCCGACCAAACCGTCGGACGACTTAGAGGCGGGGTCGCAGCGCCAATACTCGCTGAACGACTTCGACTTGATCCGGGTGATCGGCCGCGGCTCCTACGCGAAAGTGCTGATGGTCGAGCTGAAAAAGACGAAACGTATTTACGCAATGAAGGTGATCAAAAAGGCTCTGGTCACCGATGACGAGGACATCGATTGGGTACAGACCGAGAAGCACGTGTTTGAAACCGCGTCCAATCATCCATTCCTCGTCGGCCTTCACTCGTGCTTCCAGACGCCGTCCCGGTTGTTTTTCGTCATCGAGTTCGTCAGGGGCGGCGACCTGATGTTCCACATGCAGCGGTAGGCTGTTCGCGGAAGCTCGACCGCCTTTGACGACGACGTCCTGTTGCAGGCAGAGACGCTTGCCGGAGGAGCACGCGAGATTTTACGCAGCGGAGATATCGCTCGCCCTCAACTTTCTCCATTGCAAAGGCATCATCTACAGAGATTTGAAGCTGGACAATGTGCTGCTCGACCACGAGGGGCACATCAAGTTGACCGACTACGGCATGTGCAAGGAGGGCATCCGACCCGGCGACACGACGTCGACGTTCTGCGGCACGCCCAACTACATCGCCCCCGAAATACTGCGCGGCGAGGACTACGGCTTCTCCGTCGACTGGTGGGCACTAGGTCGGTGGTTACTTTTATTCTACAGAATAAATAAATAAAGTAGAATAATTACACAAAGATAGCGAAATGTCGAATTTATGGGGCACCCTCGAAAATTTTACTTTTGATGGTAAAAGTGAAGGGCTGCCGATTGAATCCGTTAATAAAACACATTTTACACACATCTGATTTTTTTCTCTTGTAGACATGAAAAAATTGTATAATATATCAAAAATATAGAACAACCTAACCTAAATCTTGAACTAAATTCTAAAAGAATAACAAATATTTGACAGATTTTCCGTCATTCTTTGGTTAAAGCATTTTTTGTATTCGTTGCTCATGCTCCTTGGTTCTTTTCAACCAAGCAGTTATTGAATTATCATTCTTTTGATATGTGTGATGTGTTTGCCTTCTTATCCGCATCTGAAAATATTTTAGTTTTGAAAAAGACAGGTTTTATAAATCTGCACTTTATAAAAAAAATTAAAGAGAAGAGACTGGCTTCTTATACATCCCCTCTCATGAAAGTGATCTTCTGAAAGATTTTCATAATACAAAAAAAACATTGATGTAGGTATACTTTTATGTATTTGTTCACATTTATTTTTTATCTCTTTTATGAGAGTAGGTACCATCGCGCGCAAAAAAACTTGGCCAAATTTGACTTTTCAGTTTGACAGCAAAGGCCCCTTAAACCTTAAAATTTTCCTAATTTTTTTTTGCTCGTGATACCTACTATCATCATGAAAATAAGTCTAAAAAATAGGGAAAACATTTTCATGAATTAACTTAACCATTTTAATGTGAAAATTTGATTCCTAAAATAAATACTTTGTTTTTGGAAAGGAGGCGCGGGGGGAAGGGTGATTCTTGGATCCATTTATTTATTTATTTATTAATTTATTTTATTTTTTTTAATTAGGCAAATATATAGCTAAAAATATAATTTTGTTCTGGGGGATTTTCTCTAATACTGCTTACTGCTAATATTGTAAATTTAAGCAATAAGATAAGAAAAGAAGTCTATAATCGAAAAAACATATGCAGTCCAAGGTACATAGGTACATGTGGCGCAAGGGGATAACCTCAGGTCATCTAGTTAGCGCATATCTTTGGAATGTCGTGTACAGTAAATCCGCAAGTTGTCCATTCAGAGGATATCCCTAGGATGTAATTTACAGTATATCCTCAGCATGCTAACGTATATCTTAAGAATATCCTCCACAAGTCCCGGGGCATGCGACTTAAATGGGACATTGACCGGATATTGTGTGCTATTTGGGTTTCGACCAGGTCGGCCACTTTATCAATAAAATAACAAAAAAATAAGACAATATCAACTGTTTCCGTCACAAACGTCCCGTTTTTATCGCCCTAGGTGTGCTACTCTACGAGATGCTCGCTGGTCGGTCCCCGTTCGACATAGCGGGCGCGTCAGAGAACCCGGACCAGAACACGGAGGACTACCTATTCCAGGTGATCCTGGAGAAGACGATCCGGATTCCGAGATCTTTGAGCGTCAAAGCCGCGAACGTACTCAAGGGGTTCCTGAACAAGAACCCCGCCGACCGCCTCGGTTGCCACAGCACCGACTCGTTTGCCGAGATCACCGGCCACCAGTTCTTCAAAAGCATCGACTGGGACCTGGTGAGTAACGTGGGTATGCGGACGGGGTGACGTGACGTCGCCGTATCGTCTTTCCAGCTCGAACAGAAACAGGTACAGCCGCCGTACAAGCCGCGCCTCGACTCCGACAGAGACTTGGCCAACTTCCCGCCGGAGTTTACCGACGAGCCTGTCCACCTCACCCCCGACGACCCGTAAGTATAACTTCGCTAATGTTGAGATTGGTCAATTCACCACTTTTTGATTTACTAATCAAAAAATGTTTTAAATAACACCTTGCAACTGTAGAGTGTTATCTATCATTATTTATATTTTAAAAATTATTTTGGTCACCACTTCGTAATTGGCGGGTCATTTGATTACTTTTTAATTTGCTAGTCAAAGAATGTTTTAAATAACATCTTGGCGTCTATCATTGTTTAAAAATGTATACCACAAACAAATCAATTTATCGATATCTATTATCTCTTCAAGGAATAGCCGCATACGATACTCAGCAATTCGGGGAATCTCAATAACAATATCCACGTAACGCACTATATAAATACATATAAATTTGAAGGTATTTTAAAAGTTATTTTGGTCAATTGATACAAGACAATTTGATTTGATCGGTCAAGCCCACAAACCTAAACCTTACCCATCGTCACCTTCATCGTTTATTGATGCCCTGCCTATTTGACATCCCAGCCGCGTGATAGAGAAAATCGACCAATCGGAGTTCGAGGGATTCGAGTACGTGAATCCGCTGTTGATGTCGCTGGAGGACTGCGTGTGACACAACGTGAACTGCGCGCTGCACCCGAGCAACCTGCCGCCGCCGCCGCCGCTCCTCCTCCACCGTTACCCGCCGCCACCGTTCCCGCCGCCGCCACCACCCGCCGGCGTATACGAGGGCGACGACGACGACGACGGGTACCTGCAGGTGGAGGTGGGACGTGCGTCCACCAGGTCCGTCTTGCAAAACATCTTTTGCCTTCCGCTCAACTAGTGAGTTTTTGCTCGCGCGATCACTCGGTAATAGGGCTTTTCTCAAAATGGCGTCACACGCTAAAACCGCCCCCCGTCCTCCTAAATTCCTTTCGGGCCAAGGGGCGGAGAGACGCTTATTACGACGAGCAAGGCTTAGAATAATAATTATTAAAGTATTAAACAACAACAAATTGCACTTTGAAATATTTATTGAACAAAAGGTAGTAAAAAAAAAGTTTTCGCGCGAAAAATGTCTTCCTTTTTACCACCCCCTACCCTGCCCGCCCCGCTCCCGCGTAGTCCGGTCCGGTTGGGGCGCCCGTTGACATTTTCGCTACGTCGGTTTTGACGTAAAAAAAAAAAAATTCCGCGTCTACAACTAAACCGCTGTGATATTCGAAGGCATTCCACGAATTTTTTCGGACTATTCGGGCGGTGGGGAGGGAAAATGGGACGTCGACTTTGCGTTATGTTGAATCATATACCGGCGGCTTGTAATTTTTTATTAGTATTATTTATGAGTTGGTATTATTGTATCGTATTATTATTGTACCAGAAGGTAATAATCAGTTTGCATTTTGTATGACTTTTTTTTAGTTAGCGGTTCTTTGTATTCTTTATAATAAAGGTCTACTTAAATGTTATTTTGCAAATTTTTTTGTAGAGCAACTACCACAAAATGTTTTTTTTTTTTCATTGTAAAAGACATATATGTATTGTGCCAATTTGCCAAATCAAATCTGTTCCTTACTAATCCCTTAAAATATTACTCTTATTTTAGAATAAGATTTGTTTCCCCGAGTGATTTAGTTGCTTGATTTCTACTAATAGTTTACTCTTTAACTTGCTCATTCTTGTTTAGATTATGCGTCCCGTCATCTCTAAGTGCTTTGAAGATCTTTTATTTTTTTTCGTCAGTCCTACTACTTCTTCATTTTGGAAATGACAGATATATTATCACTTGCTGGAAGTGATTAAAGCGACATTACATCAATTTGCCTTTGGAGATTTTTCACAATTCTTACGTTACAACGTTCTCCTTCGATTTGGCATTTAATGTGGTTTTGGTATTCGCTATTCCTGGTCAATATTTTGTACGATTATCTTGATTACAGACGTATTTTGGTGTAAAACTTGTTGCATTCTCATTTTTACTATTGTTTACGTCAACGTTTTGGAATTCGTCAACTATTTGTTGCTCACCGCTGGCGTGACTCGCTTAATTTTGTTAGTAAGCAGCTTTTCACCGCCACCACTCAACTGATCACCACCGTGCTATTGAATACAGCTGGATCATAGATCAGCGTCCACGAGTACAGCCACTATTAGCACGAGCCGCAAATTATAACACCTTTGTTTTTTTTTATTCGACTGAATTCGAAATTCCATTAACATTTATTCTTTCATATTTTTAATTATTATTATCAATTTCATAAGTTAGTTAACTTTTTTATTTAATTCATTTATTTTGTGGTACACAAACAACCTTGAACGCTTCAAATAAATACTGGGTGCAACATATTTTTTTCTTTCTTTTTTCTAACTTAATGTTTCTTTTCTTGCGGATCCGTATATATTTAATTTAATATTAAATCTAGTCTTTGATCTTGAACAACAGTTTAACACCTTTTAGTACAGACTAGTGATGAATGTAATCACGTGGCGCTCAAAACCACCATCCTAACCCAGACCCGACTCCACTGTCTAAAAGTATAAATTTATCTTTTCTTTCTTTATTTCTTTAAATATATTTCACATTATCTTTCCCAGTTGAACGAACTATCCGCCGGTGGACCGTCGCACTTTTAACAGAAAGTTTCTTTTCTTATATGCGACGTTGAATGAACAAAAATGCGTAAAAATTTTTGAAATCGTTTATTTTTGATCGAATATACACGTGGAAATCCACTCGAGGGAAGGATTAGTGATTTAATATAGAAGATATTCAACCGATACGATTTTCTCCAAAAAACAACAGGACCTGACAATGTCGATGTCGTTCCGTCTTATTGCGTTTTCGACTTGGCGCGATCCACGTAGCCTTGCACGGCACTGGATCGGAACAGTAGCACAGACAACAGAGATCCCACGCATGCGCCCACCCAATAAACGAGCAAGTGCTCGACGAAAGTGTTACCCGCGCATCCGAGCTTCAGCGACGTTGCCAGTGCCGGGTTAAAGTACCCGCCGGAAAAGTTAAACGCTGAAATCACAAAATTAAATAAAGTTGGGACGGATGAGTACGGCTAACCTAAGACGACCATTGCGGTCGCGAAAAACGCGTCGAGGAAGTTACCGAACCTGGCATGGGTCTCGCCGACAACCCGTGAAGTCAGTCGGCACGCGCAAGTCAGGATGCACTCGATCGCGGCGCCGACGGCGGCATCCACCTGAAGATCGGCCGTGCACTGTTCGTAAGCCTTGCCGAGGTGCGTCTCGGCCATTTCAAACGACCACAGTAGCTGCACGTACCTTTGAAAATGTTCATTCTTCATGTTCAAATCTTTCATAATTAGTATTACTTTAAACACGGATTACTTTTTAGTATACCCAAAACTAAAAATCCTGGGGTAGTCTATGGGTATATAAATTGTCAAAAGTTTAGCGGAAAAACATGTCATACTTTTTCTAAGAACATGTTGTCGAGTCTCTTAATCGATCAACCATCGACGTATGTTGACCGATCCTTACAAACGACGGGTTAATGTAGGCCCATATACTCCAAATCGGGACACCAAAATTCCCGATTCAGTCTGGACAGGCCTCATAGCGATTTTTTTTCGTCGCTTACAATAGTCCAATACGAAATGTGTAAGTATTTAACTCAGATTATTATGCCTAGTTTTGCACTTTGCGCCATTTTCGTTCGCGCATTTCCACACACTTCACTCGTTTTCTGTAAAAATGCCGCTTCCAAACTTATTGTCGATCTGTCACTGGCCATGTCGGTTGTTGAATGCCGCAAGGTCATTGTTAAAAATGAGATGTTTAAATCTCACACATGCGCACATATGCGCATAAACTTTCTGAAAATTTTTTTCATAGTTGCGTCAGAAAGTCCTGTATTATCGGCCTGTATATGTCTAGTAGCTATATGGAGAGGGACTACGAACTAGGCATAATAAAATTGCGTAGGCCCGGAAAATCTCACAGATAAGGCATAATAAGTTAAAAAGTTACACATATTAGGCTGCTGCTTACCTAAAAGTTACCAGAGCGGCCACTAACTGAGCGCCGACCGTCATTAAGGCCGTCTTTGCCGATTTCGCCCCTTCTACCACTTCCTCGAGGGGCACGTAAGGGCACGCGGACGCATCTTCCCAGGAGCGTGACCACCATATCGTCAACAGAAACAAGAAGACAGCGTATGCGCCAACGCCCCAGTTATCCGCCACTGTCGAATAGCAGGCGTAGCATTAGGGACTAAACGACAAGTAAGTTATTGATAAGCAACAAAACAGGTGTGGAGTTTTCGGGATCTACTACGAAAATCATGTATCGGGACCTCAAATTTATCGGGAAACAGGAGCTTCTCCGATAAATCTGCTGGCTCCGTGTTTAGTTTAAGCCGCATCAGTGCTCCGGATCATAATATTTCAATTACTCAGTCCGGTCTCAAGGCGGCTACGCAATTTACGTGTAGACTCATTAAAACGGAAGAAAATATATCCGATCTTAAGTAAAAGGAACGTGGCGAGCCGTCGCGTCGTCTACCGGCAGACTGGTCCACTAAGTCCGCCGAAGAAAATATGCTGGTAGTTCACGTTCGATCCACAAAGGTGGCGCCGTTGTAAAACGCCGCAATGTTTACGTCATTTATACACCGAAAAAAAAAAATTCAAACCGCCAACACCAAGCATAAAAGGCGTTACATTTGGATTTGCGGCGCGTTAACACCCAATTCTACGTACCCACAATCAATTCGAAACAGGACGCGCACAATTCCAATGTGGCGATGAACTCAAACACTAGCAACCGGACGGTACCGTCGGCGATGAACGATTTCGTCAATTTTCGTGAGAGCGACGCTATCAGTAAAGTCAGCCCAATGAGAACCGACGAAATAATCAGTGGGTTTAGACCTTGGACGTTTTTCCGCTTGCTAGAAAATACACCACACTCGCGTACAATAGATAAGGGTGCGTTATCGGTCGTCGTGTCAAACGCAGCGGCGCGCTCCTTTTTTTCGCAAAGGCTCACCTATATCCGAGAACGCCCAGTCTATTGGCGAGCCTCTTCAGCGTCCGAGCGATTCCCGGCTTGGCCATCGTTCACGCTCTCGCCCCCTACCCTGATCCGGTATGGCGTGTTGATCGCAAAGAATCGCGGCATCGTCTGAATGAGTTCCCGATCCGAGCCTGGTGGATTCTATTTTGAGTCGCGATAATTATAGCTAGCCGTCCCGTAGGATTCGGTGGCGACGTAGTCATTATATACGAGGCGCGTTCTGGGAGAAGTAATCCCACGCTTGCAACCAGGGTATATACTATTCTTTGAACATTTTTTTTTATTTGTAACTCCCATTCTGGTTCCGCATCTAGTTCTTTTTAGGTCTCTGACAATAAGCTTTCATAAAAAATAATTACGTTTTTCATTAAAAAAAAATTAATTAAAGGCTGGACCGGACTGTAGGGTTGATGTGTCTGGTCCCTTAAATACATTTTTTTTATTTGTAACTCCTATTCTGACTTCCGCACCTAGTGCTTTTGTGGTCTCCAGCAATAAGCTTTCATAGAAAAATAATTACGTTTTTCATTAAAAAAAAAAATTAAACGTTGGACCGGGCTGTGGGGTAAGTAGAGTAGACTCGGTGAGTCTGGTCATTTAAACTTTGTTCATATAATTCGAGAGCAAAAAGGGCATAGATCGCAGATACGTTTTTCTTTATTTAAATCACGCAGCGTGTAATAAAATTGGTCGCCGCGTTTAAGTTTTGCACAAACCCTCGTAGGTTAACATGTGTTGGAAGCTGTCGACGACTCGCTGCACGTGTTTGAAAAAAATCTGCCGACGTTTAGGCTTGCGACTAGTTTAAACTTGTAATAATGTGCTTGTTTTACTTTTTATAAAACTTCTGGATTCCTCCTGCGTCGGTTTTTGTTGACTCGACTTGCTAACGTTTCGCCAATAATCCGGTTGGCTTCTTTAGAGCTTGACTGAAACAGTTTCGGTCATGCTCTGAAGAAGCCGTCAGGATGATTGGCGAAACGTTAGCTAGTTCGACTCAACAAAAACCGAAGCAGGAGGAATCCAGAAGTTTTATAAAAAAAGTATTACAGTAAGCTGTGGAAGTTTCTTTGAAAAAAAAAAGTAAGTTGGTTGATAATAAAAATAGAGAGGTTTCCATAAATACGAATTGAAAATACCATGCTTTTACATTTCACCTATAAATAAATTGAAAAAAGTGCTTATTTTGTTTGCATGCTTGATCTCGATCAGGGCGTCGTAATTCGTATTTGGCGGTCATAATATTACTTTTTTAATTCTCAACGACGCCTATTTTAAGACAAAAAACAAGAACTCTGGCGGCCCTATTTCGTAAAGGGAAACGTCATATTCGCCCCGTCAATCCGTCTTCTAACGGCCTCCGCGACGAGGGCGACCGACCCCGCCACGTAACCTAGAAACAAAATGGCGAACGCACCCTGAAGATGGTGCGCGTTGAGTGGCTTTTGGTCGTCGTCGCCGTGATTTCGCCGCACCGCCCCCTTGTGTATGTATTTGGAGGCGAGTTTGCCGACGACGCCGCCTTCCACCATTAGGTGTTGTATGACGTCGTTCAGCCTTTTCCTCAGGTTGTGCCCCCTGCGCATCATCACGCTTATAGTCTTGGACATGACCTTCCGCGGTACGACGAAGACAGTCGGGTTACCCCGGGAGTCTGTCACCATTTCGTTTCCTTTGGCGAGCAGGTAATGGACGGGCGTCTTATCGGTGATGGTGGCGTATTTTTCCCGCGTCACCAGGCCCAACCAGTAGGCGAATGTGTCAATTTCTTCTTCGACGGTCCTGTACTCCGCGATAAACTTTTTCACGACAATATCGTCGCTATCGTTGGACGCGATAGCGCGATACATGGACGGACCGCCGAACTTCAAATCGGATTCGACAATTTCCCTCCCCGTGGATATCTGATGCTCCCGCACCGGGTCCGTGAGATACTGTATTAACGACGACGTGTACACCGAGTTTACGATGATGCCGAACACGGCACAGCCGATGAAGAAGACGCGCGTCATATCTCCATTTGGTTGCTTCCAGACGGCGAGCGCGATGAGCACCTCGAAGGAGGTGCCCACGCAACGCTCCAGGCTAGAGTACCCAGGAACCGCCTCCTCGTGTAACTTGGCCGACGCGTAAAATAGAACACCGAACCCGAAAATCGAGCAAAGGCAAACGGCCCACATTTCGGGAGCGAAGATAACCGCCAGGACCCTCCACGGAGGGATAATCCGGGCTCTGGGTGCCACCCACACCACGTCTTCCGAGAAGTACGCGACCGAGTACGCGAAATCTTTGAGGTAGCGCACGTCCGGCGTTAAATCCCCGACCCCCAAGTACCTAGAGGAGTGCAATTTCGAAACGAATCCGGTCCAGGTACCGTCGGGGTTCGGGTCACCGAGGCTAATGGTGGCGTTGGGTGTCAGTTCCACCAGAAAATCGATGTTTAGCGCGCGGCCTACGACTCGAAGCATGTCGATCTCGAAGCCGCTGAACTTGTCTATGACGAAGGGCTCGAACGGCTGCGCAATCACACCCAGCTCGCACAGTTCAAATTTCAACGCCGAATTGTCCCTGAAGAGGTTATTTTTGGCCACCTTTAACTGTCCTGAAAAGTTTTCGCATATTCATTAGGAGTTTTTTTTCAATGTTGAAACATAAAAATCATAATCCTTATTATTAGCTAGCTTAAAGGTTTAAAACTAGCCAATAGAAAACCCGTTTTCCGTATACCCTACAGTATAATGCGTGCGTACCTTGCGCGCATTTGTTAACATTTATCACATCCGGCTGGCTGAGGCAACAGGTATTCTTCTCGTTGCGCAAGCGCAGCTTGAAAATGTCGAAATCGGTCAGGTTTTTCGGAATCAACACGAGTCCCCTTAAAATAAATGACCCGTACATTGCCAAAATAATGCTTTTGGCGATAGATTCGTAATTCTGCGTTACATTGGCGTAATAAACGAGGAACAGACTTCTTGGATTGAATGTGCTTAGTTCTGTCAAATTGCGTAGCTTTACGAAAAAAAGTTCCATGGAATCGACGACGACGATCGTGTAATGCGACTGAAAATCGACCACGGGACTTCTCTTACAGCGTCTGTCTGACGCGCAGAGGTCGTGTGCCACGAAACCTAACCTCGCATTTCGAATAACTTCCAAAGACCAGCGCGTTTGTTTGGCGGCCATTTTAAGTGCCCCCTGTTGGACTTTATACGCCGTCGAGCTCAGGTTATCGCTCACGATTGCGGTCATTAAGAATCGTTCGTAGTAGATGTATTTCGCTCGGTTAAAATTATACGCGTCTTCGTTGATTTTGTCGATACATTGGAGGGCGTAGCCGGCATGAGAAGGGCCCTTGGGTTGGATGACGAAGTTAAACGAGCGGGTGAAGACGCACGCCACTGCGATTATGTTCGTAAACCTCATTATCTGTGCTTTGACTGCTATAGACTGCGGTTTTCGGGACGCGCGTACGGCGATTAGATTGCGTCGAGATAAAAAAATACATGAAAATTGTTTCACATTTAGATTTGACGCCGCCCAACTTGCAACGATAACATTTACCAATGCCGATGTTATCGTTACGTCACGCGTTTCGTTACGCACGCAAGAAAAATATATTTGGGCACGGTATTCGTTATTAAAAAAAAACCAAACGCTCGTTGATTTCTCTGGTCTGAGTTCTGAGAAATTGGTGGTTACCGACGTTTCTCGCGGCGCCACCTGTGGGCGACGATACGGAAACGCATGCGGTTGACAACAAAAGACGTTTTACCGCAAAGGCAAGTTGTCGATCGAAAATCCATGAAAAAAGCGCGTATTTCGGCGCCAGCTCCGGTAGAGTGAAGTGTTGTGAATCGTTGTGTTTGGTTTCGCGGTTCTACATGAAATTATGAAGAGGCGAAATGTTGAACTGGCCAAGATGAGAAGACCCATGAAACGAAGCAAAATCACAGAAGGATTTTACGGAAGGTACGTTTCCGCGTGGGACTGTGAAGCACTCATGCTACGTTCCTCGCTTCCGCGCACAGTCTAAGCGTTCGGATCCCATATGTGTTTCAAAATGGCTGGGTGGCCCAAACAATTTCGCGTTTTCGCGATATTTCTGACCGGTGCGGGGTGGTTTTCGCCACGCGGCGGCTCGGCCGCTGTTTCGCCGATTAATTCGAATCGTGCGTTGCGAAATATGTTCCTCGTAAATCGGGTTAGGTTATAATCGCAACTGTCAAAACAAATTTATTTTTATCCCGCTATCTAAAAATACACCTACATATATTCGTTTTAATAACTATGCACGCGCGTTACGGGTTTCGCGCCCTTTCGCGGAAAACACTGCGGCACGGTGTCTTGATTTCAGCACGCTGCTCTACCTGAAATTCCTCATACTTTGGATGCTGGTTATACTGGCCGATTTCATCCTCGAGTTCCGATTCGAGTTCCTATGGCCTTTTTACCTGCTGATCCGTTCCGTTTATGACTCGTTTAAGTACCAGGGCCTGGCGTTTTCGATATTCTTCGTGCTGATAGCCCTCACGTCCGACATGCTGTGCTTCTTCTTCATACCGGTGCACTGGCTGTTCTTCGCCGCCAGCACTTACGTCTGGGTGCAGTTCGTGTGGCACACCGACAAAGGTAGGTTTTCGTCGGGCGTTTTTGTTTTTTCGTTAAAACCATAAACGCCAATTAGGTATATGCGCGCCCACGATCGTGCTGTGGATACTGTTCGTCTACCTGGAGGCGGCCATCAGGTTGAGAGACGTCAAACACATGCCCGGTCACCTGGATCTGTGCCGGCCGTTTGCTGCCCATTGCATCGGATACCCCGTGGTGACGTTGGGCTTCGGCTTCAAATCATATGTCGGCTACAGGATGCGGCAGCGCAAGCAACAGCACGTCGCCAAAGAGAACCAGTTTTATATGCAACTGATGCAACAGGCGCTACCCGCGGACACGCAGCCCGCGGAAGTCGCGGAGACGACCGCGACGGCGTCGGCGTCGACCCCGCCCACTGTACAAAATAATAATAAGCTACCGAATAGCGGTCACCTTAGTAATAGCGGCAACAGTAGCAAGCAAGAGAGGAACGGACATGTCGCCAACGGCTCCGCCCCGTCGTCCTTGACCAACGGCCTGCCGCATCGGACGCACAAACGCAGGGACCACGACGACGTCCCAAAACAGAAATCGAACCAGCACAGTAACGGGTCCATCGTGGCGGCAGAGGGATCTACGACCACCGACGATGCCGCCGAGTCGGAGTCCAAACCGACGCACAGTGTAAGTAGTGGAAGATTGACCGTTGGTTTTCATGTTGTTGTGGTTAGATTGATGTCGGGTGCCATCTCTCATTTTTTGTCCACCCCTCCCCCTCAGATTAGCAAAATATTGCACTGCGCGACGCGGAGGCGGGAGAAACGCGAGCCGGATCGCGAGCATGAATACCTGCAGCGGCTGGAGCTCGAATCCAAACGGCTGAGGACGGAGCTGCAGCAGAGTCGCGCGAGCGAGCAGGAGTTGCGCATCCAGGTCGCGGCGCTCACCACTAGCGAAAAGGGCACGCGGGGCGAGTTGATCCAGCTGCAACGGCAGCTCGACGACGTACACGAGCGCCTTCAGAGCGCGACGGCCTCCAAATGCTCGGACAAACAGTCGATCGGCGCGCTCGAGCGGCGCGTAAACGAGGAGCGACGCCTGCGCACCAGTCTCGAGTCGCAGCTGAACCAGGAGCGTAAGATCAGGAAGCAAGAAGAGGCGCGACTAATTGCCGCGCAGCAACAGCAGCAGCAAATGGCGCGCGCGGCGGATTGCACGGACGCGTGCAAGTCGCGACGCAGGGACCTCGAGGCGGAGCTCGCCGACTGCCGGCAGACGCAACGGTGGGCGGAGGAGAGGTGCAAAGGGCTGGAACTCGAAAACCGCGAGCTGGCCGAGCAGCTGCGTGATCGGGAGCGCCTCCGGTCCGCCGTCGCCGCCCTGCAGGAGAAAAACGCGGACCTGGAGAATTCACTGTCGGCGGAGACTCGGATTAAGCTCGACTTGTTCTCCGCTTTGGGCGATGCCAAACGACAGCTCGAGATACGGGACAGTGAGTAACGCGTCATCTTAAGGGGCGTTCCCGTCGGCACTGACACGCGGCGTGTTTTTTTTTTGTCGATGCAGGCGTAACGCGGGCTCAGGAAAAGGAGATTGAGGAGTTGAAGGGCAAGATCGCGCAGGTGCTGGCCGTGATGCCGAACGATACGTTTGGGGCGGCGAGCGCGGGGGGCGGCGCTACGGTATCCCGCGTCTGTCTTGCCGACAGTCCCCAGTCAAAGCTGGACCCGAACGCGACGGCCTACACTCCCAAAGGCTCGCTCATCGCCTCCACGGAGGCCTGATTCGTCGTCTTCGCTGCGGTTGCGTTTCACGCCCCTCCGGTTTAGAGCGGCCGCCCCTCTTGACCGCGAAACGATCTCTTCACGACAGACAGGGATTTTTTTATTTCGTTTTTTTAGGGGGGCGTCGCGTGGGGTAGTGGCTCGAACTTACTACTCTAAGGAGCGCTTGTCTGAAAACATCTCGACGGTAGCGACGCCTGGTCAGAGTACCGGGGATACATATGGAGGATCGGATTTTTAGGGAGTGGAGTATCTGGGGCGCGGTAGTTCAAATATACCGCTTCGATTTATTGCTTCGCGCGTCGAGGGCTCATTTAGTTCGAACCTGCTGCTGGTGCGGGGGCCAGCCGCGAAACCGTCCTCCCCGTTTTTTACTTTAATTTATTTTAGTTTTAGGTGGTCAGTTCCTTGAATCTTAACGGAGACCAGCGTTCTTCATTTTTTTTTGTTTTTTGGTGGCGGCTGCGTTAAATTTCGAAGGTCTTTCGAAATTTTCCGCTTTCCGTCGTGACGTAATGCGTGCGCGCGTTTTAGTCGAGAAGCACAAAGCCACGCCCACGTGGTACACTACATGAATTAATGATCTCTTATTTTCTTGGCGGGACAATTGCGGGACGGCCCGTTGCGCGAGAATGTCTTTTGTGTTTTTCTTCTTTTTCCAGGGACGAGGGGTAGCAGAATTCGAGTTTCAGTTTGTTATGATTTGCAGGGGGGGCGAGGTGCGATGAGAGGCCGCTTTCGAAGCGCGCGCGTACTTAATTTTTGTTTTTCGCCGGGGGGAGTGTTCAGTTTTGGAAAAAGCGTTTGGCTTTGGCTTTTGTTCTCTTCACCTTTGCCATATTTAACATTTTGTAAATACTGTGCGTTAGTATTTAATTTTTTTTTAGTACTGCGAGATGATTGATGATTATTTTTTTGATGAATAAAAAGGCGTTTTTCGAAGACGCTGGTGTCTTTTTTAACTTTTCACATATCGGAACCCGAACATGGTGATGGTTGTGATCTTGGGCCTTTTCAAGGAAAAGTGAAGCCCAATGCGCGGAGCTTAGGTGCAAAGAGGAAGGAGGTCGGAACACAAACTTTCCCACCACCTTCTGTCAACTTTGACGAATTACTTCATTAGTACGAACTACATTTAATATTTGTAACTGCGTAAATTCAAAAATTAAAGCAGACAATGGTTAAAAAAAAAACGCGTCGAATTTGCAAAACCGATGCAAAGCTTATAAATATAAATATAAATAATTTTTTAATAAAAAAAAACTATTTACCTCCGCTCATTCTCTCCTTAATTTCATACTGTACGGTAGTTTGCTGGTCTGCCCTACTTCAAAAGGACTAGGTTAGTCTTCAGCGTCTTCAGAATACCTATCTCCGATTCAGATACACATTCGTAAATTTCATGATACATCTACTAGCCTAGAGGATTCTCGCTGGCTAACATTACACGAACGTTTTAAATCGCAATTTTTAGTCTTAATTAAAAAAGTAAAATCTCTCAAAAACTCGCTCATGTATCAGTGTATTAGCGCAGTTTCCCGTATAATGCTATCAAGGCTTTCAACAAACTCCCTATCCAACTAAGGTCAATCATCAATCATAATAGACATTGATCATAAAACTAGTAACTCTTTTCTGAATACACTCTAGTAGTGTTAAAGTTATTAAAAATGTTTTTTTCACAATTTAACTCTACCACTTCGAATGAATGTCTATGTAATTTATATGCTAAAATTTATTTTATAAATAGTGACACGTGCTTCTTTTAGAGGGTTGCGTGAGAGCAACGATGTTTAATGCCCCTCTACAGTTATATATTTTTGTAAGATATCTCCTTCGAAATCGAAAAAAGACCCTTTATTATTATTATAATAATTATTATTATTATATGAAATATTTTCTTTGCATAAAAAAAAGCAAAAACCAACCTTCAGTAATAAAACTTTCTGACTTCGAACCTAAATGGATTTTGTTAGAACCGCATTGTAACTAAACCGAGCTGTTTGATGAAGCGGCGGGACACAAACCGCCATGTCGGGTTAAATGCCTATACGATGTTTAATTGGTTTAATAATTAATAGGAAGGAGGTTATTATTTGTCAGTTTACATAAAAAAACAGCTGATAACCGTATTATATCTTTATAGGTTAAATTTAGCCAGCGACTTAATCAAACTTAGGCAGTCCAACGCATTAACGTATGCATGAGTTTTGAATCCTTTGAAGTCTCTCTTTATCCCTATCAATTATAGCGACCCAGGTAGCAGAGTGACGTAATTTTCGAGTTATAAGTGGTCGCTACTTTTCAGTGTTCCGAAAAAACAAGTCAAATTGACGTCAAAAAAAGGATGTCTGATTAACATCACAAAAATGATTTGATTAATTCAAGATATGGACTTAAAATTTAATAATTCATTTAAACTATTATCAAATTCTTCTATTTAAAACCATTATGTAGAAGAATATATTTAGAGGGTATCCAAATAGTTTTGTTTTAGAGAAAAATAAATAAACAAATTAAAATTATTGGTTCATAAACATGTGCGAACACCCTGGATATTATGACATTATAACTCAAAATAATGTTGTTATAGTCTGTCTTCGGATTTATGGCCATTTTTTCTTCAAAAATTCTCTGTGTTTAATACCGTATATTTTTGACGCAATTTCGAACAGCTGTAATTTTATTATACCAACAATGTTATAAAGTGTTAGTCATTTATCCTATACTTGTCTTGAAATTAGTTCGAATGGTTAATACAGGGCGAGTCAAAATGAAAAATATTAATTTTCGTAAAAAAATCAAATGGACGACCCTGTATATCATACTTCCATTATTATTTTTTTAAAAAGGAAGGCTCTTGTTTATTCTTCACCTATAATATATAATGCAATTTAAAGCTACAGTTTCTGTGTAATTTGCTTTTCCCACTGCAAAAAAAAAACAATTTAAATATTTTGGGCCGTAAAGACCAAAATCACCACAAAGACATCACTTAAATGACATGAGACATTAGTAGGTCAAATTTACGTCCTCCCGACGTCATATATAAGGTAATTTTCGTCATTTGATGACTAGTTAATGATATCATTTTGACAACCCTCTGCTGCTGGGAACCTATTTCACAATTGGCGACAGAGTAATAAGACCGTCCAAAATGCTTGAGTTTTTATATCAAATTTGTTTATGACAATATAGTGATTATATTATAATATTAACATATTTCTTATTGTATTTTTAATTAACGCTCGTTTCTTGTTACTTTATTTGCAAGATGCGGTTCCTTCAATTTCTCTTCATCGTGATCTTTTTTTTTTAATTTGGCCGAATCTTCGAGCCCGCGCCGGACCCCTCCTCCCCGTGCCCAACGTCGACCGATATAAAACCCGCCGCCTCGCACAACCGGCAGTCATAAACCTGCGCTTCTTCCAAACAACGATGCCGAGACTCATCTGTTTGGTCGCGGTAGCGCTGATCGCCGCTCACGGTGCCGCCGCCAAGTTCAAAGTCATCCGCGAGTGGCGCTACATCAACTTTACGTGGCCCGCCTCCGATACTTACGAAACCGCAGTGCGTCGCGGCGCCTACGTCCCGGAGAACGTCGTCGTGGCCGGAATAAAGTACCACGACGGTTTCTACTATCTGACATTGCCGCGTATGAAAGAAGGGGTGCCGGCAACCCTGGCGCGCGTCCCCGCCTCTGCCCCCGATACCGCGCCTCTGCTCACCCCTTACCCATCGTGGGAGATGAACGCGATCGGGGACTGTGACGCGTTGCAAAACGTGCAAAACGTCGAAATCGACCCTAACAAAGGTCAGATTTGGATCATAGACGGGGGCAGGACGGAGACGATGGGACTAAGGCCCGTGGTCAAGTGTAAACCGAAGTTGGTGGTGTACGACGTCGCGAAAAACGACGCCGTGTTGACGTACAGTTTTCCGGAACACGTCGCCAGCGTGAACGGGAGTTTTTTGTACGACATCGTCGTAGATAACACCGGTGACGGTTACGCCTACGTCACGGACAACAGCGGGCGGGATCCTGGTAAATGCGTATAAATCGGCCCTCAAAAGGACGTCACAAAAGCTGATGGCTAAAACAAGCACGATACACATTTTCGAAACATATTTCACCGCTTCAATTAAAACATTTTTGTTTTCCGAATAGTCGCCCTAGAAAACTCGCAATTCTATTTTTATAAAATGACGCAACGCGAGCCCTGAGAAATGTCAATTTTAATTTCTTTTTTCTTACGCCCAGCGTGTTTTTCTTACGTCCCAATTGAATTAAATTAATAACATGCGAACTTACTTAACACATTTAAACAAACATTTTACGAACGCGTCGTCTCGCAATATAAATGTTTACTTATTTGTTACTAGTTTGAAGTTAATTTAATACAGTTTTTAAAAATAATCTGGTGACGCAAATGACCGAGCTTCGGAACTTCTGAGCTGTTTTCCCTGTAACCGTTGAGACACTTCAGGCGACTGTGGCATTTTTGTAAATTAGAAAGGAACGCACCTTGCGTCCTTAACTGGCTTTTTAAATAAAAATTTAAAGGGATCTGGGTATATTTCGAGAAACTAAAAAAATATAAAATAATAGCGAAAAATGCCACATCAAATGTTTATGGTTGAACGCTGCCGTTTTATTATTGAATATATGAGTGAAACGTGCCTGTACTATCAGCATAGTATATGGGCGCAGCAAAAAAAAATTTTCACAATATTATACAATAATATATCGTTATACATCATTCTCCTTAATTCATTCGTGGGCGTCAGTTCTATAATAGTTTACAATGGTTTGTTTCGATACTACAGCGTGAATGTAGGGTATTTTTGCCCACCAAAACATCGGAGAATTCGGATCGGATTCTATTATATAGCTACTAGAGATATAGAGGCCCTGTCTGAATCCAATAATACAGGAACTTATGAAGAAATTATGGAAATTTTTTTAGAAAAGGTCCAAGCGCTAGAACTTAAATTCTAAATGACCTTGAGGCATTTAACAACCAACATGGCTGCTGACAGATCGTCAATAAATTTGGATGCCGCATATTTTTAACTCTAATGTTTGCAAATCTTTTATAAATCATAAAAGTTCCTGCGCAATAGTGGTCTAAAAGTAATAATAACAGAATTATTTATTATTACAATTATCACAATTATTTTTCTGCAGTCGCTATCCTACTCGGCATGAAAAGTTATACTGTTTGCCACCAAAAGTTCGCTATTGTGTGCACTTAATCTGGCACACCGTGTACATACACTTTAATAATAATACGGAATTATTCAAATACCTTCGTCAATGTATTTATGCAATCGGACCTTAATTTTGTCACTGGGGCGTGGTTAAAACTAACGGGAATCGGGGTTTTAATAAGTAACACGCCCACAACAGCGCAGTTGACATATTGGCAAACGGGGCCGAGCTAGGCGACAACAATACCACTTTTGGGCGTGACTACGACCAAAGTCACGAGCCGCCTTTTTAAAACTGGTAAAAAAATTAAATTGAAAATATATCTAATTTTTTTTCACAGTACCCGATTTAACACCAGCATTTTAACGGAATATACCGAGTCATAACTAATAGATGGTGACAGCATTTTCCAAAGAAAAAAAGTTGGAAAAAATGTAGGTCTGTACTTAAAAAATTTCTCGGAAACGAAATGTAGTAGCTTAAATCTTAATGTACCATGTTGTAGGGCCTGAAAAATAAAAACATGTTCAATCTTAATTTTTTTTCTCTAAAACTGGCCGATTTTTAACGGAGCATGAACAAAAAAAGCAAAAAACTAACCAAAACGTTTATGTTGTTAATCTGAAACTATTATAAATTGGTATTTATAATAATTAAAGGACGTATTTATGTCGACCTCTACAATAATTTATTAATAAAAATACGTGTAGGCATTAGGATAGGGTCAAAATTGTTTCAAGTTAATTTCTGACAACTGCCAACACTTTTAACTACTAAATAATTATGTTCGAAAAAAACTGACGTTTAATGCATTGACTGTACAAACGCAGGCTGTTTTCAACGCAATTTTCGTCTAATTCTCGAATAAAAATCGGAAGCAGCGTTTTCCATCCACATTCGAACAATTAATATTCAACCGTTTTATATCCGGTCGTTCGGAAAAAATTGCGGTAATCGTAACGTCATATAACTCTCGAGCGTGACGCTCCCGTTTTGTGTCGATCCTCATGCAAAAATCATAAACGCACGATTGTGAGGTTAGGTCACCGTAAGTCCCAGGGGAACCTGCATCGTTCGATTCCGATTGCGGCTATCGGCGGTCTCTCCGCCGTGTCACGCCTGACGACTTTGATAATTTCAATTTCTCCTCCCGGACAACCTTTGCCTCCGCGCATTGAAAACCGCCAGTTTCAAGGTGATCGAAGTTTATCTACGCGGAATAACAATTTTTCTGTATCGTGCTGCGCCGCCGCTTTGCAATAATTAAAAACAACACGGCGCAAAATATTTTTTATTTCGGTTTTTTATCGCGAGCCGCCTTGCGAAACGGACTCGTTAATTAATTTTTGTTTAAAAAAAAATACATCGATAACAGCGACCGCGCGGGTCACCACGAAGATATCTTCGGTCGGCCTCGCGACGATTTAAAACGGGGCCCACTTAAATTAACGGTAACGATGCTTTTGTGTGCGATCCTATTAGAACAAGTTTAAATCCTTACATATTAATTGCCTAATGACCGTTATAATGTATTATAAGGTCCGCCGGATCGGCAAAGAACAATGGCGTCCTGTGTTCGGCACAATGGATAGCGTTTATTGTCTTCTCGTTTTGGCGTGGTCCTTTTGGCCACCGAAATGAATGCAATCAGGTCACTGGGGTCCTTTTCAGCTATCCTCAAGTGGGAATAAGCGAACAACGTCAAAACACTGTGTACAACGGATCTGGCGCTGTGACATAGATTCGTTTAAAGTTTGCCTAACGATATACCGTTTATACAAGTTTTTATAGTTTTGACTTCGGGATGAGTTTAAGACCCGCTTGTTGTAAACCGGAAGGGATCACACTTTTCAGCGCGTGTACCACAAGATGTTAGTTTTGGAGTTATTTCTATTCCGTCTTGTGTTTGTAATTAATAATTACCAATTTACTGTTATTCAATTGTTTTTCAAGGCTTAATGTGCTATTTTTATTGAGGTACTATATACATTTTACTACAATCTATTTCTTAATTTTGTTAGTCACATGTCCAGTCGATGTCCAGTAACGAAGAAGTTGAGATTGTGGTCGATAACGTAATAATCGTCAAATTCAAATGTCACAATGTGTTTCTCTTTCTGAATTCGATATCTGGGGATAATGGAGCCATAAAATTAACGTCCGAGATGACCAAAACACAGTACGTGATATAGTTGTGAATGGTGTCCAAGAAAGAAAAGCGCGGAAACATCGTGGGGTCCCAAAAAGTCTACTTGACATGTACCATGCCGGAACAGTGAGACGGTTGATATGTGATGCGTATCACAATTAAAGGACGTTAAAGGCGTTTTAACGATTAAAAAAAGAAATATACATGCGGGCTGTGAAGCTGGTTGAGTAGATAACGCTTTGTTGCTTTGTGCAAAAGATGTTCAAGAAGCCAAGCTGACTACCACGAAAACATGACGGCAGACATCTTTGAAAAATGATTTTCTGAGAAATTTCTTCCAAATATTCCACCAAACAGTGTTGTCGTAACGGACTACGCCAGCTACCATTCTGCCCAAACGGAGAAAAACCGAATTCATCATCGACTAAAGAGGTCATTCAAAATTTTTTCCTACCCAAAGAAGCAGTTATTGGAAGTCGTTAAGATGGCAACGTTTGATATGAAGTATAATGTGGACAAGTTGGCCATGGAGCGGGGATTCAAAGTTATCCGTCTTCCGCCATATCACTGCAATTTTAATCAGATAGAACTGATATGGGGACAGCTGAAACCTAGTTTAAGAAGACCTCGCCGAAATTTAGTTCTGGGCCAATAGAATTAATTAGATGTCAAGTAGACAAAATATCTGCTTCTAGTTGATGTGTGTAGAACATGTCATCGAAGATGGACATGTTTACAGAAGTGCCAGAGGTGCCAGAATTAATTATTAATGTAGGAGCCGAGTGTAGTGACGGTGGCGATTATTTTGATGTAGAATAATTTTTTTTATAAATATTCTAACTAGCTAAATTTACTCCTTCATTTATATTTATAATAATTATTTTAAAGTAAGAATCCGTCAGCTTTCAGCATTTGTATGCACGAAGTACCGAAGTACGGTTCCTGAACGTCATTGTGGAATTGCGAATCTATTTATTGCGATTAGACCGTCATTAAAATTTACCAAAGTTAAATACCGGATTGTGTCGTAAAAACGGTATATCGTTTGGCGGACTCTATCTGTGGTATTGGCCATTTCAAGTCACATAAACGTCCCACTAGCGAATCCCGAAGTTTTAAGGAAATTATTTTGTACGAATAGTCGTATCGGAATTCGCTCATCTGACGCTTGAAGTAAAACCTCGGCCGAACTAATTTCCCAGGTTTTTGTTGCGCGTTATTAAAACGGAATGGGTTATAATTATTTAATTTCCATCGAAACGGTAAATTATCTGCCGCCCAAGGTTTAAACAGTCGCGGCGATAAAAACGCGTACCAACGAGGCGTATGAAAAAAAAAACACGGAATATAAGTCTGTATCAGTTTAAAAGCGCCCAAATCGCAGTCGGGTTAAAAAAATAATCGCTACGGGGGTTTCGTGGAAAGTTTCTCACCGATTTTATTAAAATATATGAACGGCAAGCTTTTTCTCTCGCCAGGTATAATCGTGTTCTCGGTCAGAGACCATCACTCGTGGAAGATTCGCCACGCTCAATCGATGAAGGCGGACCCCAGAGCAGTATACTTTGCCGTCAACGGGGTCGCCGTCTCGGCCGCCATCAATGTCGCGAGCATCGCTCTAGGTCTTCGGGACTACCCAGGCGTTGAGTCGAGGCCTGTCTTTTACGCCCCCCTATCATCTCTACACCTCTACTCGATCAACAGCTCTGCTTTGAGGAACGAAGGCTTCGCCGACGGAGATTTTCAAGGTCAGGTCACCGACTACGGCCTGAAGGAGTCCCAGTCCGTCGGGATGACCATGGATAACCGTGGAGTGCTATATTACAGTTTGTTGGGTAGCAATAGCATAGCTAGGTGGAATTTCAGCACGCCGTTCGTCACCGGGCAGAAGATCATCGCCAAGGACGAGCGGTACCTAGAGTGGACCAACTCGTTGACGTTCGACGACGCCGGAAACCTAACCCTGCTGGTCAACAGGCTCCAGAGGTTCATCTACGGCAGACTGGACCTGAGGGAACCCAATTTCCGACTGATTTCTGCCAACGTCGGTGCCAAAGGGTACCTGTACGACGATCAACTCTACAACGTCGCTACCAGTACGACCACGAGCACTACGCCGGAACCCCAGGATACGACAGACCATTCTGAAGAAGATCCCGTAGCGTTACCCCCAGGTAGCGATCAAGACCCGTACATGGCGCCCCAACCTGTCCCGGAGGAGCCTCAACCGGAACCGACGACCTCGCCAGAGACGGAACCCACCGCCGAACCGGAACCTTCTCCTACGGAAGCGGTGGAGGTCACGGGGTCTCCTAAGGCGCAGGTGTCTGCAGGTGTGCGGGCGACAGTGGGCCCGTGGTTTTTGGTGGCGGCTGTGGTTCTGGGGGCGGCGTGACTCGTGCGATGACGTACGGGGCGGAGCAGTATGTAAATAATATCGAAAACGGAAGGGCGGTTTCGTCGTAGACGCGTGACGATCCAGGTCCGCTCTCCGATGTATATTGTGTGATAAATATATGGTTGTTTTATGTCGAGGGTTGTGTTTTGTATTCCCAGGGATTAGGGGAAAAGAAAGCGCCGGGATATCGAGAAAAATTAATTTCGCTACCGACAGGCTTGCTTCTTGTAATTCATTTAACTCGCAATAACATTGTGGAATGACGTTACCGCGCGGGGCAGCGTTGCCGATTAGGGCATTTTAACCTTTCGACGACTCGTAACGCGGGATGTTACGGTATTAACCGTAAATCCAGCGCGCACGACTTTGCTTGCCTCGTTATGCGCGCAAGCTAATTTAACGCGACTTAATAACCGGGAGATCACGACCCGCCCGGAAAGGTCGCTCTCGCGGTACGAAATACACAAAAGTCTCGCCCACGGACCGCGCCCAGTAGTAGTAGGCTTTGGCGTCTTCGAAAAATGGAAACGCGGCATCTCTGTGGGAACAATCCTCGTTCCGAAATGTGTTGCAACGCGCGCGTTTGCAAGCGAGTTAGGTTTCGCAACGCCGCCTTGTGATATCGATGGTCAAATAGGCGACGAACGCTGTGTGCCGTCTTGTTGACAGGTTGGTGGCGCCTTGTTAAATCGATCGCTATTCTGTGAGGCTACCACGAAACCTCTTAGGCGTAACGTTAGTCACGGCGTAATGTTAATCACAACTCGTCGAAAGAGAAGGCAGAAAAAACATATAATCATAAATTATATAATTAAATATAATTGGCTGCCGTTAAACAATTACGCTATTACGCAAAATAAATCAACATATACGGCCGACATTATCAAACCGCGGCGTGTAAATATTGCAAATGCGCCGGTTTTTAAGTACGTATAAATATTCGATTGCCGATGTGTACGTGCGCATCATTGAGGTTTTATTATTGCTTTTGGGATTACCCAAGGAAAAATCGTCGCCCAGAATTTTAAAAATGAGATTTTCCAGGTGGATTTAATTCGCAAAGCGACAGCAAAAGATAAGACACGTGTGTCAACTAAACGTGCGGGCGCCATTATGATAAATTAGCAAAAAAATCGTAAATATGAGTGGTGACGCGATGTCCGAGCTAACACGTTCGACCTTGACGGTTTATTGTATTCCGGCCAGGTATTAATTGGTTGTGAAAACAAGAAACGACAAAGTTGTTTTTGCTGGCAATTACGCCTCCCGTAATCTTATTAAACCTAATGAAATGCAAAGTGATACAAAACGCTTCTTTCGAAAACATGTGTCTCTTTAAAAGGAACATTTCGTATCTACTGGTAAACCAATAAAGCCTGTTGAATATCCCTTGCATATCACGAGGTGAACGTATTTTGTTGCATCGTTTTAGGCTTTAAGATATGACCAAAAAACGTGTGCATTACTTTATTCTCTATATGAGGCATCTACTGATATATGACGTAATCTTCGACGAGGGGTCGGCACCTTATGGTATTTGCAACTACCCTATATACAAATGTTCGTATGAACTGAAATAAAGATCCCCTGGGCAGTATTCATTTAACAGAGATCAAAATGAATACGTTTGGAGCAAATTGATCTTCTTGGATCCTACGTCTCAGACCACAGATGACAGAATTAACCTTTCATAATCGTTGCTAAGCGACGAAAAGCGTTCGTGCGTCGACAAAAACAATGCGATAACCTTACAAACATCCAAACATGAGCTTGTACATCGAGAACCCGGTGCGATTTCCTGAATCGGGCTCGATTTCTGTAAACACCGTTTGGCACGGGACCGCTTCCCTCCTCGCAGCCGCCAGTTTCTCTCCGGACCGTGGCGGATTCGTCATTATTTTCGATGAGCTGGTGAGTCGATGTACGCTGCTCCGTCGAGTGTAACGCGAAAAATAACAGGGCGAGAGTCTCAAAGACGTCAACTACCCGGCCCACCGGAGCTATCAAGTCACGGCGCTGGTATGGCATCCCGAGAAAACGATCCTGGTCAGCGGCTGGGAAAATGGCAACGTCAAGGTGTGGAACGGCAACGATCGGGACTTTATCGACGTCGCGGGACCTCACAAATCCCCAATTACCCTGTTGGGATTCAGCGAAAAAGGGGGCCGGTTGGTGTCATGTGATTCGGTAAGTTAAGTCCACATAAACTCGACTTCCCGACTCGACTCTTGAACGCATCACAGACTGGCTCGGTCGTCGGTTGGAAAGTCGATTCCAAAGGTCAGACGAGTAGCGTGTTTCATCTCGACCTCAAAGAGGCTGTCACCCACCTCGTGTTTCGACCGACTGCGAGGAGCGATTTCGACGTGGAGGGCCTCGCTAGGGCGGCAGTTGACGGCGACGAGCACGCGTTGGACGTGTTTAGCGATTGGCGTCCTAAAACAACTGCACGAAAGTTCAAATCGCGCGACGCCTCGGACAACTGGTCTTTTTTTATCGGCTCTCAATCAGGATCCATTTTTTACATCAACGCAGGTGGCTCTTGCGCGGAAGTCCTAAGTACGGACGGACTCGGTTTGCTCCACATGATCTTTCACCCCGCCAAGGATTCAGTTATTGTCGTCATGGAAGGTCTAACAATTGGACATTTTTCTGTTGATCGGCTCGGTCATTTGACCGAAATCGCCAGGGTCAAGCTAAGCGGACGAATGCAAGCGAGGTCGACGGGAGGCCACGGAGTGGCATGGGCTGGCAACTCGAGCTTGGCCGTTCTGACAGGTTCGTTGGCGCAATAATTCGAATGTACTGTTCAAATAAAACAACAGAAGGCGCGAGAATCAATCGTTATGAACGGGTTGTTCAAATGTATCCTTGAAATATTAGTAAAGGTCACGAGTCAGTAGTTCAAATGTGTCTTTGTAATAAAGGCATAAGCCGCGAGTATCGGTAATTTGACGAGCCCGTCGAACGACACGAAATTGTCGGTAGTTCAAACGAAGCATTATACAGTTAAATCTCACGCTATAGATCAAATTAAGCAGAGCAGGAAAAAACGCCCTTAGGATCGGTAAACCGATAGCATACATGTCCCGTTCCTCATTAAAACATCACATTCGTTGCGTTATCTGATTTATTTATTTATTGTAACAAGTAAATTAATATTTCAGTACAGCAAAGCCTGGTAGACTTGTGGGCACACATAAGGATACATAAACATTAGAGAAATTTGTCCTTGCAGGCTTTTGTAAATCACAGAATTATCACATAAGTAAAACTAACTAGTAAATGCATTGCAATCTAATAGCTTAATATTATATTGGATGTAATGTATGAAAGTTAATGAAATCATGCATTTTAGTTAAACTTGTATTTTTTAGTTCTTCTTTAATTTTAAATAGGTTAAAGTTACTGTTTTTAACTAGTGAATTAGTGTTCGAGCACTTAGTGGGTTAAAATTTTTTATTCCTTGAACATAATTTGAATTTGGAATGCGACTTGATCTAGTAATGTAGTAATAGTTCTAGGTGTGATCTGGTACACCGTACGTTTATCATACATAGATCAACCAAGTCTTTAAATTGCTTACAAACTAATGCCCTCCAGAATCCATAGTTTATCTCTGGAATTTTTAGTATGTTACTAGAAAAAAAGAGTTCATTGGTGTGCTAAAGCCTGGATTTGAAAGTAATTACTCTAACAAAAGCTTTCTGAGTGGTGTTTAGGGTATTTAAGGTTGTTTTTCCACACAACAATCCCACACGAGTACCGAGGAAGCTAATGTGAAGTACAAGAATCTTAATTTTTTGTTTTATCAAACAGTTTTATGGCATATTTTCAAGTTTTGGTCAAAGTATGCTCCTATCTATTGTTTGCTCTATAATTTAAAAGTCGTAGTAAGAACTATTATTTAAGTCTGTGAATTCTTATAGGCTGTTGAAGTGAAACCATTGTTTTAGGTTCCACAACACTTTCGACCGAATTTAGAGTTGCATAAATCGCTAATGTAAATATTAAATAGCAATTCCCACCTCAACAGTCTGTCCGTCCATTACCGAAATACTTTTTATGATCTTCCTGACAGATGAACAAAAGCACTCAGGATTGCCTCTTACCCTAATGTAGTTCAATGAAAGTCTGGTTACTTTTTTGTTATCATTAATGTCCATAAATTTTATTTGAATTTTTTTTGGCGTTAAATGTGGTCCTTTTTTTTAGAAAGCCAAAAAAAAAACTTAACATTGTTGAAATATGATAAAAGGTGTTCGCAATAATTTTTTCAAGAGTTTGTGCAATAATTAGTCAAAAGATGCGCACATTTTCGCTGCGTAGTTCAAACGATTACGATTTGCCGTCAGGCGACCTGACCGTTCGCGTATGGGACCTGGATACCAACGATAACTATGTGTTGCCGACGGCGTCGGGCAGCGGAGACGACAGGGCCGTGTCCGTGAGCGAAATGTTCACCTGCATTGCGTACTGTAAACTGAGTCAGACGGTATGCGCTGGTACCAACGTGGGTCGCATCTACTTCTGGACGAAGAACCGGACCGTCGAGTGCGAGAACGCCGAAGACGCGTGGGAGTTGACCAACGTGTGCTCGATTAGCGGCACCATCAAGCAGCTAACGTGGGGCTCGGTGATGGCGCGCATGCCCTTGCTGGGCGTTAATTGCGTGACGACTGTTTACGTGGTCCGCGAACAGAACGTGTGCAGCGCGTTCGGCGCACGCATGTGGGCGGTCCAGAAAACGGCAACACAACTCCTCCTCGAGACGACCAAGGGCGGGCAACTGCTCGATGTTGACGTCCAGGTTAGCGACGTAGCACTCTCCGACAGTTTGCTCGTCGTATCTGACGGGAGACGCGCCCTCATCTATGCCGTAGTGTGGAAAAGCGAGGAGAACGTGTTGCGTGACTACGATTTCGGTGAACACGCCCCCTTATCTCTCCGACTGTAAGGTGTCATGCCCCCTCACAATGATTCCAGGCCAGAATAAATGCGACTTTTCGGTCAAGTTTTCAACGAGTTTCCGCTGCGACAATGACGGCGTCTCTGTCCACGATAAAACGGTGATCGCACTAGGCACCCAAAAGGTGACCCTGTACACGGAGGCAGGTCACGTAGTGGCGTCGATCCCATCTAGCCACGCGGAAGGCGACACCATCGGGATGGACGTGACCGCCGGCTATCTAACCATCTTCACCGCCGAGGGTTTCTTGAAGGTGTACCACCTAGGAGACGGCCAACCGAAAGCGGTCGCGCCCGCACGAAACGTTGGCGACCTAGTTGACGATTTTGGTGAGGTTATCCAAGCGAAGACGAACGCCGCTGGCGCCAAGGTTGCGATCACACTCGCCGCCGCGGACCTGGTGCCCGATGGGCGTCTCTACGTGTGGGACATTGAGGACAATCAGTTGACGCGATACGATTTTCGAAGGGGTGTGATAGAGACAGCTGGCGGCGTGTTTGACGAGGTGTGCGCGAACCGCCTTCCTCTGTCGATGCATTGGAGCGAAGACGACGCTAGACTCCTAGTGTGCGATGCGAGGCGTTTAAGAACAGCGGGCGGTTCGCAGAAGAGGTTCGCACCGCTGATCCGGAGCCGTAAGCGATGTGCGCGTGGCTTAAATTGCGTTTCCAATATATGTGAGTGTTTCTAGAGGAATCGAAAACACTGCTCAAAGATGAAGACCACGTAGTGGTCACGATGTTCGTTTCGGCGGACAATGCGATCAAAATTCATGATGTCCGCGCTCTCGACCCCGATGCCAAGTTATTAGGAGTCGCGATACCGTATATCGCGACACTTCGTAAGGGGGGCGTGGTCCGAGACGTGGTTAACGATTTTGTTGGTCTAGAGTCGTGCGACCACGCCACCAAGAGAGCGGTACTCGACTTTAGCTTTCACCTAAGCCTGGGCAACATGGACGCGGCCTTTAAGTCCATCAAGCTGGTGCAAAGTCACGGCGTGTGGCGCAGCCTAGCCAAGATGTGCGTTAAGACACGGCGCTTGGACGTCGCGGCGGTCTGTTTGGGTCACATGGGCGATGCCAGAGCGGCGAGGGCGCTCCGTCTTGCCGTCGAGGACTCCACCCTTCCCGTCGAAGCCAAAGTGGCCGTTTTGGCCATCCACCTGGGACTGCTGGTACAATCAGTTCCGATTAGGTCAATTATCGGCACTTACTGGGCGGTTCTGACAGGAGGAGGCGGAACGACTGTACGCAGAGTGCAACCGCTATGACCTCATGATCCAGCTGCTACGCGCGCAGAACAAAATGGAGGCCGCCCTTGCGGTGGCTGAGAACAAGGACCGCATCAATCTGCGCAACACACAACACGCATGGGGGCGGGCGCTCGAGAGCGATGGTGACCTGAAAGGGGCGGCGGCCCGGTATGAACGGGCCGGTACTCATCGTTACGATGTGCCAAGAATGCTGGCCGACCATCCCGACCAGCTCTGCGGTTACATGGCCAAAACGAAGGACAAGTGAGTGAACTTTCACCCCGCCGTCGGTATTTTTCCTTGTTTTGCGCTTATATTCTGCTCATCGTATTATATTTGGTTAGGTCGCGGGATAGTGTAAACATGTCTTATCAAAGTAAGAATTTTACTAACCAAATCTAAACGATATTATCTGTGCAAATGAGAATGAACGAAATGTATGGTAAATTTCTACTATGCTCATGCTCATAACATATAAAAGGCAGTAGTAATATGAACATTTTTAAATCCAAACTAAAACTTTTTCCCCTACAAAACTGTTTTTACAATTTAAAGGAATATTTTACTTATTAATGTTTGTTATCACTGTATTGTGCGCTGTCATATATATTTATTATATATATTTTTAATGGAATCTATATTGTGTACCAAAATCCAAAATACACTGATTGTATTCTAAATATGTGGGATAATAAAGATATTTATTATTATTATTCCTAAGAGACCTTCTCAAATGGTGGGGTCAGTACTTGGAGTCTCGTGGCGATATGGATGCCGCGCTCAAAGCGTACGCCGACGCTGCCGACGTCTACTCCCAGGTGCGTGTGTTGTGTTTTTTGGGCGAGGAGGGAAAGGCAGCCAATCTCGCGCGCTTAACTTCCGACCAAGCCGCCCACTACCACCTGGCGCGTCGCCACGAAGCCGCCGGCAACGTCGCCGACGCGATGACCAGCTTTGCGGAGGCGACGGCGTACTGCAACGCTGTCCGGCTTGGTATAGAGCACGGCCTGTCCGACCAGCTATGGGCGTTGTCGTCGGCGGTACCGAACGAGGAGAAACTCGCCCTGGCGCGATACTTTGAGGATAGCGGTGACCTGGAAAAAGCGGCTGCGCTGTACTACCGAGGGGGCGGGCTCCATGACGCCCTGGATCTCGCATTCGATGCTCGTCAGTACGACGTGGTCCAGGAGATCGCCGCCGGGTTAGACGCCGCGTCTGACCCCGCCCTCGTCGATAAGTGCGTCCGGTACTTTGTCGGCGACGAGCAGTACGACCGAGCGGTCGACCTCCTCGCGACGGCGAAAAAGTACCGAGAAGCGATCCGCCTGTGTTCCGAGAGGAACGTGCGGCTCTCCGAAGATCTCGCGGAAAAGCTGACGCCGGACAAGGACATCTGCGACGAGGAGCTGCGCCTCGATGTGCTGCGCACCCTCGCCGAGACGCTGACGTCGCAGGGCGATTACCGGCTGGCAACGAAGAAGTTTACACAGGCGGGCGACAAGATCAGCGCCATGAAGGCGCTGCTCAAGTCGGGCGACACCGAGAAGGTGGTGTTTTTCGCGGGTGTATCGCGTCAGCGCGAAATTTACGTTATGGCGGCGAACTACCTGCAAACGCTCGACTGGCAGAACCGGCCCGACGTGCTGCGCCACATCGTAGCGTTTTACTCAAAGGGCAAAGCGCTCGATCTGTTGGCCAATTTTTACGTGTCGTGCGCGCAGGTAAGCAAGAGGTGGCCGAATGGAGCGCGGTCACCGCAAATTTTAATTGATCAAAGACCCCAACCGCAATCTATAATGACGGATTCTTAAAGTAAAAGGAGAAGTACGGGGATTTTGCAAACTTACTGGAAGACCGCCCTAAGTATCCCATTTGGAACCTCGTTTATTTGTCGTTGTCATTAAAAACATTCTTACCAGACTTTTCGGATAGTTAGGCGTCATCTCAAACCTATTTATACGAATTCTCTATATCACGACTAAACATGGGAACGAATAATGAAATTTTATTTAATTTCACAATATAACTCAAATCACGATTTTATCGCGTTATCTTTTTTTTCCTAACTTATAAAAAAAAGTTTAATTAGCGGATTACCTGCGGTTGGGAGAGCGAATCTAGGTGGAAACTTGGACGCGGTATTTGCAATTTGCCAATTAAAAATTCGATTTGTCATAGTATTTTCACCCAGGCCAAAGTTCTTATCTTATTCTATTTCCTCAGTTTGGGGCTCCGAATTTTGGTCAGAAAACGCCTCTGTGTCTTAGGTGATCTAGAGTTCTAGTCATTCATTCATAGTCATCTTTTTATCTTTAGGCGTTTTTTTTTGTCTCTCTTTACGAGAGCCCGTAGTTTCAGTCTGCAAGGTTTGCAGAGCCATCAGCCCCGCGTGACCAACCGATTCAACAAAGATAAAAACCCTCTAGGGGAATAAAAAGACAGTTTGCGAATCGTTCTTATACTTACTATGCACTCGGTGTCCATGATTATATCGTAAATTCTATAAACATTACACTTATTTTGTTTCTTTTATACTTTAATGTGTGGTTTTAATTTCAATTTCAACAGTTAAGATATGATCTAGGTTTAGATGAATATTATTAGCCAATCGCAGCTCTCTAAAGGTACACCAGGTTTATTTTATTGCGCGACCTTTCAGAAACGTTAACATTGTTAATGTTAACTGAACCTCATCAACCGTTCTATTGCCCACTGCATAGCCTAATTTCCAGTTCCGGCCGAGAATTTTAGTGTTTCTTTTTTTATCCCAGAGTTTTGCTTAAAGGGGAGTGTGTGTAAGTGCCCCCCCGACTCCACTGACTAGGTCGGCGCATACTTCTATGTTAGTAACAACCCAAAAGCTAGGGATAGTGTGACGTAGAAGGGAACAACAGAATTTCCCGGGCCGTATGCACATTTCAGGTGGAGATCGACGAGTTCCAGAACTACGAGAAGGCGCTCGAAGCGTTGTCGGAGGCGTCCCGGTGCCTGCAGAAGATATCCGGTTCAAAGGAGCCCGTTCAGATCCAACGAGCGTCGGACATCGTCCGGCACCGACAGACCGTCGTCAAAAAGTTCGTCGACGCTCGGAAATCGTTCGAGAGGGGTGACGGTGCTGCTGGTAATGCATCCAATTCGACGGCACGACGTCTATGTTTATTTCCGTTTTTGCTTGTAGCGATGGCGCAGTGCAGGCAGCTACTGGCGCTCGATGGCGACGACCTCGAGGTCGCTGTCAGACGGGGCGACGTTTACGCCGCAATGATACGCCACTGCGTCGAGTCCGGCGCAGTGGTGGAGGCGCGACAACTGACTGCAGAGCTCAGACAGTTTCTAAGCGCCGACGGCACCCCGCTGACGTACTACCTCAATAGGGAGTCGGTCGAAGCGTTGGCCCGTGTCCTCGGGGTTCCGGTCGGCTCGCTCGTGCCGCAGAAGCTCACGCGGGAGGCAGAGCCGGACGACGAAGAGGATGCCGTTGTGGATGAGACGGTCAACAAGTGAGCAGAGGAGGGGGAAGTGTCGAATAACACGCAGCTTCGAATACAACTAGTTTTTTTCTCTCTTTTTTAATGGAAAAACAATTCATATATATATACGCTTGTTGTATTACAAAATAATCTAAAATTCGATGGGACCGCCACGACATCACGAAGCCCTCGCAAATATCGTATTTACAAACCAGCTTTTTTTTAAGCGCCGCGCACGCTTGCTTTACCATACTTAATGTACACGGGGACGGGGCCCCCGTCTCGTCAAAAACCGATGGCCGTTCATACCTAGCAATTAGCCTAGTTCAAATGACAGCCAACAACCAACAAAATATATTTACAAAAAAGAAAATAAAAAATCGGCTCTTCCTTTACTGTTTGCGGCCTCCCGACAGGTTTTGTTACGCGCTATCTATTTACAGGGCGTGTCGGGCCGGGGACGGTGGTCTCCACGCCACCGCTGCCCACTTCTATCCATAAATGGAATTGCTCCCCTTGGCTTTTCTAAACTTTGCTCAGATTTCTCTACGACAGTGCACCGCGGCAAGCGCTCACCCAGTCGAAATTGAACTACTCAAAATGGACTTCGTCGGAAGAAAAAATCCCGATCTCGCCGGCTCAGTCCTGGAATTATTGGTCCGCTCTTTTGAAATAATTTAAAAATTCACTCTAAATTACTCTAGTGCTCGCGTGCGCGCGACCCCGGAGACGCGCCGAAATCCTAGTAGTTCAATTGTTCCTAACGTTAACCACGCGCGCATTTTCTGCCGGGAGCTCCGAGCCATAATGCAACGAGCACTTGTAAATTTTAACGTCTTTACGGAAAATTTTCACATTTGACCTCAAAAACGACCACGATTCCAAAACTGATCCGATTAATAGCTTGTCAACACATTCCCGTTCGCGGTCGGCACGACGACTGAGTGGTGGGCGGGCCCATGCATCATATGCCCCGCACTCTGCTGCGACGCCTGATTGACCGGTATTTGAACGCCCGCACCGGTGTTTTGTTGACCCTGCTGCGGGAGTCCGTTCGGCTGGCTGCCGCCTCCGCCCATCGCTTGGGCGAGGCTTGACGCTTGGGTGGCAGTAGTCCCGCCTCCGCTGTCCAACGCATGTTTCTTCTGGTGACGCAGCATGTTGCCCTTCTCGACGAATGTTTTGCCGCAGTCGGGGCACACGTGCGGCCTCTCGCCGCTGTGCGATCGTCGATGAGACACCAAGTGACCCTTGCACATGAAATCCTTCTCGCACAGGTCGCAACGGAACGGCCGGTCCGCCTGTGCCCCCTTGTTGTGCGATCGCTGGTGGAACAACAGGTTGCCTGCAACAATGTTGGGGTTCGATAAGTAAAAAAGTTCATGCAGTTTTTTCCACTTAAGATGTGTGCACCCTTGTAAAATCTTTGTTTACGGATTGATTTCGATTTTTTTTTGTTGGATAGATATCTAAAAAATGTACTAAAACCTTGTTTTGATTGTTGTTGTCATGGCCAACTGGGAATATTTAACAAAAGAGAGTACTATTGCTAAGTACTATTAGAATTTTTTTAAAAATGATTTCTTATTCAGAAATACTTAGAACAGTTATGGCTCAAATTTGATAATTCTTTATTGCTGCACAGATCTTACTAAAGAGAAATGAAACGGTTCTTTCCTATAGGATCGATTAAAGCGATGTCTAACTGACACAATTTATTGAAGCGGAAAATGGAGTACTTTTTGAGATTGAGCAGCCAACAGGATGATTGGCGAAACATCAGCAAGTTCGACTCAGCAAAAACAGACGCAGGCGAAATCCATAAGTTTTGTAGGTGGTTGCAAGAAAAACTAATCAAAACTAACCAAAGGCAATTAGTTAATCATAATTAATAATACTATAAGGATTCAAATAACTTCAAAGCCAATGTCTCAAAAATTATTACTTCTACAATGTTACAAGTGTTTCGCCCACACGGGCATCATCAGACATATAAAAGCAATTTTTGAAATAATAAAATAACTTACATAAATTAAGCATACGCACATACAAAGACGTCAACTCAAACGTACTCAGAAAAAAATTAAAATTAGATCGAATCCGTTTCAATTGACGTCTTTGTGCGTATTTTTAATTTATGTAAATTATGTTATTATTTAAAAAAATTGCTTTTATAGGGATCATCGCAGAATCAGGAAACGACCTTCAAAGGCAACCATTCCAGTTCTTCCTAGAAAGCCGCCAACTTAATATGAACATTTCTATCAGCAAGACCAAATGTATCTCAATCGCGAAGGATCCGCTCAGATGTAAGCTGGTGGTGGAGGACAAACCCATAGAACAAGTGATGCAATTCAGATATCTGGGCATAGATATATCAAGCACCCACGACCCAGTTAAAGACATAAGGAGCCAGATTAACAAAGCATCCCCACTATCAGGATGCCTACGAGATATAGTCTGGCCCAATGCGTACATGCGCAAGGATAGCAAAATTAGAATCTACAAGACTTGTATCAGACTCATCATGACGTACGGCACGGAAGTCCGCGAAGACACCAACCAGACGAAACAAATGCTAAGGGGTAGCACAAGAACAGACAGAGTAAGAAACACAGATGTCAGAGAGCAGTGCGGGATACAAGATATTGTGAGATGGGGAAGACAACGTAAGAGGCAGTGATACAACCATATAAGACAGATGGACGAGAACAGACTTCGGAGAATAGTCCTGGAAAACAACCCGCCCGGCCCAAGACCTCTTGGGAGACCACTTAAAAGGTGGAAAGATAGTTGGCAATCTACATCACAGGAAAAGATGCAGAGGCAGCTTCAGAAGTAACAGATCGACAGATCTCCAAGAAGTAGAAGAAGAAGAAGCTTTTATAGGTCTGACGAGGCCCCTGTGGGCGAAACACGTGTAACATTTTAGAAATAATAATTTTTGAGGCGCGACTTCAGAGTTTAATTGAATCCTTATAGTTTAGTGAAACCAGGTAGGTCTCTTTGAGGATGGGCGATATGGTTTGTAATCACCATAAATTCATGATTAAATATCTTGATTACAATAGGAATGACGGAAAAACGTAAAACAATCAAATAGTTTACCACCATTCTCTGGGTTTTGACGTGCATTTCTTGTTGTATGCGTCATATATTAGTAAATAAAATATATAAAAACACATCCCGGTGGAATAGGTCAAACGCTTCCCACGTTTTATTAGAATAACAGCGTCTAGCGCGAGCAGATCAAAATGAACTGCGACACTTGAAGATATTGCGAGTTGTAGCGCGAGCTTTCGCGAACGTCGAAGCATTCCCCTTCCGCAACCGACTCCATCCACTAATAAATCCAATCGTCCCTTACCTTTGAGGGGGAAGGACTTGCCGCACTCGTTACAGGTAAAGGGTCGCTCGCCGGTATGAGATCGCATGTGAATGAGCAGGTGCTCCTTCCGCGTGAAGGGTTTGGAGCAGACGTTGCAGCAGTGCGGCGTCTCGCCGGTGTGTTGCCTCAGATGGTTCGTCAGGTGCTCCTTCCTCGTGAAAGTCTTCTGGCAAAACTCGCAACGATGCGGCGACTCGCCTGTACGAGACGCGAAGGGTTAACGTTGCGGTAGTTCGAACGTCCCGCGCGTTTAATTACCGGTATGTATCCGCACGTGGTTCGTCAGGTGCTCCTTCCTGGTGAACGACTTGGAGCAGTAGTGGCAACGGTGCGGCGACTCGCCCGTGTGCTGCCTGATGTGGTTGTTGAGGTGCTCCTTGCGCGTAAACGACTTGGTGCAAAAGGTGCACTTGTGCGGCGACTCGCCCGTGTGTTGCCGCACATGGTTCACCAGGTGATCTTTTCGGGTGAACGCCTTCGGACAGTAGGTACACTTAAACGGCGTCTCGCCAGTGTGCTGACGCACATGATTGGTCAAGTGTTCCTTGCGCGTGAACGATTTCGCGCAGAACGCGCAGCGGTGCGGCGATTCTCCCGTGTGCTGCCTCACGTGGTTCAACAGGTGCTCCTTGCGGGTGAACGTCTTCGAGCAGAAATCGCAGCGGTGCGGCGTCTCGCCCGTGTGCCACATGATGTGGTTGGTGAAGTGCTCCTTGCGCGTGAACGACTTGCCGCAAATCTCGCACCTGGAATGTGGAGAGGACCGCGGTAGTTCAAATGTTCGCCACATTTTTCGAGCGAGACTCGTATATCGAATGAGTAATACCGCGACGCGACAACAGTTTCAATGTCCCGGGAACATAAAATTATATCGTGATTACACCACCGAATCCCGCCCCGCCTGCTGGTGAAATCGGGCAGCGGTAGTTCAAACGTTCCGGCCACTTCCGGGCCGGCCGTCACCTGAAAACGCCTACCTGCGCATGTGCTCGCTTGTCGGCTCGTTCTCCGACGCTAAACCACAAATCTTCGTGGTTCACATTCGCAAGTGGTTCAATCGACCTTCGGTAATACCTAAATTATATTATCCGCGACAAGCCCTTTTGGTTTTTTTGTTAAATTTTATTTCGAAACTCTCTTAAAAAAACGCCCCCTCGCCCGGTAACGGCGTCGAGCGGTACTCCTACCCGTTCAAAGCGGCGGGTACCGCCCACCCCCGCGACCTATAAACGTCGCGGGAACGCCTACCTGAAGGGCGTGTCGTTGGTGTGACTGCGCATATGATTGGACAGATGCTCCTTGCGCGTGTACTTCTTGCCGCATATCGTACAGCAGTGCGGCGTCTCGCCCGTGTGCCACATCACGTGGTTCATGAAGTGCTCCTTCCGCGTGAACGACTTCTTGCAGATCTCGCAGCGGTGCGGCGTCTCGCCAGTGTGTTTACGCACGTGATTGACCATGTGTTCCTTGCGCGTGAACGTTTTCGCGCAAAACTGACATCGGTATGGCGTCTCGCCCGTGTGGTGCCTGATGTGGTTGTCGAGATGCTCCTTGCGCGCGAACGTCTTGCTGCACGTATTACAGTGATACGGTTTGTCTATGGCGTGACGTTTCATATGACGCTCGAGCGACGCCGCGTTCGCGAACACGTGGAAACACACGGTGCACGTGAACATGCTGCCGCCCAGGTGACATTTGCCGTGTCGCGCAAGTTCCTGATTGTTCGAAAACGCTTTGCCGCACACTTGGCACGTGAAGGGTTTGCGTTGGGTGTGGTAACGTCGGTGCACGATCAGCTGGTACCGGAACTGGAATATCTTGCCGCATATATCACAGGAATGGTTGCCGGTGATGACCGACGCGGAGTTCGTCTCGGGGGTTTGGCCGCCCCCACCGCTCGTCGACGCCTCCTGCTCGTCCTTTGCAACGATCGCGCCGGATGCTTGGTTCGTCGTGGAAGCGACGCCGCCAATACCACCCGCGGCACCGTTCTGCGACGTGGGAACCGGCACATCGCCTGAAAGTAGTAGTTCGAATGCACCGCCGGAATCAACGCGGCAGACGAGCAAATTATGGTTACACATGCCGTACAATTTTCAAGCGAAATAAACCCTCGGAACTTAAAAGCTGACGAAAAAAATAACTAAAATGCGGACCAAAAATAATTCGCTTAAAAAAAAAACAACGAAAACGAAAAACATCGAAAAAATAGTTCAAGGGGTCGAGTGGCCCTGAGTGGTTCCAATATGGGGTTCCACTTTAAAGCGAAACAAACCGAATGAACCTAAAAGCCGACAGAAAAACAACTTTTTTAAGCTATATAACAGTAACATCAAAAACCAAACACAAAAATAATAAACGGGGCAAACACATGGATTTTTAAAATCCTGTTTTTGGAAATGAAACAGAAAAAACAAGTTTACTTGTAAAAAGCAGAGTCAGTTTTTTGTCTACTACACAACACTAGCTTTAAAATTTCTTGTAGTATTTCAGATACACCATACCGCTTTAAAGCGAAATTAATCCCATAAAGGTAAAAAAAACAATTCAGGTTGTTGAATCAACTTTTAAAACAACTATTTCCCTAAGTAGTTCCAATACACACTACCATTTCAGAGCCAAACAAAGCTAATGAACATTCAACCTAAACTGACTATGATGGTTTGAATCACGCTATGAAAAATGCAACCCAACTCACCCTGGCCCTGGAGCTTGCCAAAAATCTCGTGATATGCGAGTAACTGGTTGAGGTCGTCGACGTTAACCTTATACATGTTTTGCACCATCTCCACACCGAGTGTTTTTGCGAGTTCCTGTTCCTGTATATTCGTCTGGATCTTCACCAGGGTACCGTCCGCGGTACGAACGTCCATCAGATTTCCTTTGAGCTCCTGGAGACCGAGCTGCGCGGGCGAGACGAACTTACAGTTCTGCATTGATTTCTCGTCCTTTACCATGTCAATACCGTCGTTGATCGTGCCCTGCTGCGCCCCGTGCTGGGTCGGGTTGCCCTCGACCGATGAATCCATTCGAACTGAACTGCCGTCCAGAACCTGTTGGACCTGAAGCTGTTGCAGCTGCTGCACCGTAAGCGCTTGTTGGGTGAGTTGTGACTCGTTAAGTTGCATATGCGCGGCCTGCAGGTGAGACTGAATCATGTCCTTCGGATGTTCCTTGTTCTCGTCTATGACGGAGACCATGTTTCCCTGTACTTGCACCTGGACAAGATTCTGTTGGCCATGATTCTGCGAGTGAGCCATCTGAAAACGGAGTCGAGTTTTCCCTAAGCAAAGGCCGATTCGGAATTGGATTTACCCTCAATTCACGACCCATATGGCCAGGATCGGACTGCTGCGACTGTTGCTGCTGGGCCAACGGGTGCCCGTTGTCGAGATGAATCGGCCCGCTCGGTATTCCTACATTTCCCTGAGAAATGCTGACCGGGATTTGGGGATGCTGCTGCAGGAGTAACTGATCAGCCTGAAGCAACCCGGCCGCATGCTGACTGAGCATCGCATCCTGCAACCAACATTTAACTCACCTTGCACGTCAGAGTTAAACACGAGCGAAGCTAGGTGGTACCGTACCTGCGTGAGCTTGCCTTGCCCTTCCCTGCCGGACAATCCGTAGACCGATACCTGGGGTATTGGTCCAGGCAACAGGTTCGTCAACACCCAATATTTCGCGACGCTACTGAGGGCGACGGCATTTAAAGCGGTCGTGTTGACCCTCAGATCTGTCGGTACCGACGTCGTTGGGGGAGGTCTTTGCGAGCTACCCTAAAACGGGTACAACATCGCGTAAAATCCTGGACGTGCAGTTCCCGAATATTCCGAAATTGTACACTGGCCCACAGTCTCGCGTACCATAAAAGATTTTTGAAAAAAAATGTGGCATGCGGATTATGGCATTTTCCATTTTACGTCATAAAAACAGTTGAAAAAAATAAAATTAAGATTAATTACAGATATTATATTAAAAGTTAAACCTTACGTAGAATAGTCAACAGCAAAATCCTTTGTTTTAAATTACACTGATTAAAGACTACTTCGATGCAGCTTTCTCTTGTACTTTATTAACAGCACTATTAACAAGATGATTTTCTTTAGTCCATTTTAGTCCTAAGGTAAGATATGTTATCGCATCCATTAGTCTTTTTGAAGCATTATTGACGTAATAGACCTATATGACCACCCCCGAACTTTTCAAAAATCGCTCACATTATCCACGAACAGAGTTCAAAATCTCGGCGAAATTTTGGCACGGAACTCGACCGGCCGCGACGGTTTTTTCTCCAAATGCATTGCGAACTTAATTAATCGCCCGCGCCTGGCATAAATAAATTTCTCCCCGTCAAGTTAAATAACGCGTTCAAATTTTTCACGTAAATCGTTGCACCTGCGACGCCAAAAACCATCACGCGAAAATAAAAACAATCACAAGTTTGGTTATAGCTTTTATTTGACGCAACAAACACCAAAACAAACGAACTGACGTAAAGGAGAACAACGTGCGGCCGTTCATCTCCCGTGGAAACTCGTCATGGCGCACTTACCTCGCCGTTCGAGCCGTGACCGCCCTGCAAAACACCTTGAGTCTCGTTATTCATCGTTGCACTTCACTAAATTCCCCGCGGAAAATTCGCTTTTCCGCGTAAATCGCGCCGGCCTCTTTTAAATCCGTCACGCGAAAACATATCGGCTCTCTCCTCCTGTCACGGCCCGCTGCGACGCGGGGACGCGAGAGAGGTAGCCATTACAAACTTGTCGGACGCGATTCCGTCCATTTTACGGGATGGCGTTCAGTCGCCGGACCGCCACGTTTAGCGCAAACCAGTACCCAGATTCCTCACGAACGTTCCCCGCACTTTATCGGTCGCGCAATTTCCTCGTCAAACCGAAAATTTCGATAAAGGGAGCAGCGGGCGAGGGGCGCCGCAAACTATAAACAGACGCGAAACAACATGGCCGATTCTGAGCCGCGGACGATGCGTCATCGGGGAAAACAAAAACAAATGGGCGACTGGAGGCGGCAGATTTTGCGTTGCCACAGAACGATCGGCAGAAAAAAACGACGGTGAATTTCTACGCGGTACACTGCAGTTAACCCTAGCGAATAAACGGATTTTAAACTGTTTTAAACGCGGCTCAGAACGTCCATGTTTTTTCCTAAGCTCCGCCTGTCCGCCGCGGTCGGTAACGCAGGCCGCGCATACGGCAATGACGACGGTACGCAGAGAATAGTTTGAACGCGACATTTAAAAAATACTCGCGTTCACCGATCTTTGTTTTGCGCTTCGATTATTGCATGTTTTTCACTAAAATCAAGGCCTATTCAGCATCATGTCAAGTCGTTTTCGTCCCCGATAGCTCCGCAGTGGCGCTGTTGGTTTTTCAGTCCCCCACCCCCCAAATAACGTAACTATTGTCTATGGCCTTTAGCATTCTATTTAAAACTTATATTTAATCGACTACCGTAACTTAAAGTACACGCGGAAATTGTTACATCGGCGCCAATAAAACTACAAATGTCGTACTTCAAGAATTTAATTATAAAAACCGAAGGCTTGCCATCCAAGCGTGAACTAATAAGCTGAAATAGAAAATATAACGTGTAAATCAGCGATTCTCCATAAAACTAGGCAGTTGTCGCTGCATCTTCACGAAATAGGCATAAGCGATGTGCGTAACCGAGGTAACGCACGCATACGCGGGTATGCGGTAATGCAACGGTATTACTCATTCGATTTGGCGCTGGGGCGGTCCCGGGCGACCAGTCCCCGGGAAAAAACTACATCTCCAGTCCACGTTAGCACAGGTTTATAATAATTCCTGGCCTACACTCAAATTTATAGGTTAACTTACCGGTTGTCTGGCGGACAGGGGCGCCGTCTTTCCGTTTTCTTGGGAGGGTTACTATTTGGCATTTGGTCGACCCCGAAAGCGGCAAGGCACCACAAATTACGACACTCGCGAGCTCTACAAATATCTCGGACACAATCGTATATTGACATCTGGAAAAAAAACCACGGACTAGAAAATGAGAGACGGGCTAGACAAGACCGAATTCGCACGAACTCACCAGAGATATGTGAGGTTAGTTCTACGTCTGGATCTCCCTTCTCCTCGTTCTGATAGGCAATTTGCCGCGGTCAACCGACCAAAGTGGTGGCAAGATTTTTAAAATAAAAACGAATTAAGTGGTTTAAGATGCCTGTTTAAAAAGAGGGTTAGTGTATGAAATTTGGAGACATGCATTAATGTCATAGCAGTCTGGAAGCATCAGTTTTTTACCAATAGCTATAGAAAATATAATGTAATACAATGTGTTCCAGATTCGATCCTCTAATAACGTATTATACCTACAGCAACGGTTAAATGGGCAAAGTTTTAGAGCAAACTTAGCCTAATAATTAAGACTTAACTTTATGGAGGGTGATACAATCTTTTTTGCACTTTTGAGACATGACTGAACTTAAAATTTTACGCTCTTTCCAAACATCGAAAAATCTAATGTGGCGATCATAATAAAAATGAAAGTTAAGTCAGGAAGTAAGAAAATACGTTTGAGACATGTTATCCGCTATCTTATTCGTATTAAAAAAAGCTGAACAATGTCACATTTTAACAGCTGTCTATTTAACCGTTTTGGATTTTCTTGCGAAAAATGAAATTCGCCATTTTCGGTTTTTCTCCGATATTTCTCAAACCAATTGACCGAAGGTAAATCTAAAGCCGGTTATCAAAGCCACTAAGTTTCTTTTAAAACTTTCCCCATTTAACCTTTGCTGTAGATTCTGAGGTGGAGTCATTGCATATATCGGTTTAACCTCCGCCAGCTCTCGTTTTCGTCCCAAAAAGCTTGAAATCGGTCTTTTTTCGTGTTACTTTTCGGAAGTGTTTGGTGAAAGTTTTAAAGTGTTTAGATATTCCAGGACCCGCTGTTTTTCCTGTTGGAGGCCGGATGGTTCGCGGTCGAAGCAGTTTTTTTGGGTATCTGTCAAAGAACAAATGTTGGTTATATTTATTTTTTGCGCGTTAGTCTGTAACCAAAAGGAAAAATTACTGGACGGATGTCGGTAATGGGCGAATGACCCACTATTTGTAAAGTATAATTAGCAAAAATCCCTTTGTAGAGAAAAGAATCTGGGACACCTTCTATATGTATAATTCATGCTTAGGAGGAAGCATTGATATTTTCGTAGAGAAAGCGCACGCCTCTACATTTCACCCACTTTCTAAACTGTACTCTAAATCGGAACCCCAAAGTTCCGGATTCGTCTGGACAGATTTCATAGCTTTTTTTTTTCGTCGCTTACAATAGTCCCATACGAAATGTGTAACTTTCTAACTCAGATTATTATGCCTAGTTTTTTAGTCTTTTGGCATTAGTGATTTTCCGCGCATGCCTCATTTCACACACTAACCTGTATTTTGCGCCATATTCGTTCGAAACAGTGATTTCCTCACACTTAACTCGTTTTCCGAGAACATTTAACGGCGTATTTTGCGAAAATACTGCTGTAAAAATGCCGCGTCCAAACTTATTGACGATCTGTGATTTTAAATCTCGCGTATGCGCATGCTGCATGGACTTTCTCAAAAAAAATCGTGGTTGAACTGAGGCAGCTTTTACTTTTTTACTTTTTTAAAATTTATTTATCAAAATAAATAAGAACTAAAAGTGCAGATTTTCACTAAATTATATATTTTTACATGACAATTGTTTCGACAACACCGTGTCTTTATTAAATGTCACATTTGATGAAGACACGGTGTTGTCGAAACAATTGTCATGAAAAAATTTATAATTTCGTGAAAATGTGAACTATTAGTTTTTATCTATTTTAAAAATTCATGGTTACTTCAGGTTCTTGTTCTACCGGCATAGGTATGGCCCCTATATCCCCAGTAACTATGTGGTTTTACCGTATTAGCCGACCATATATTCTCTAATACCTCTATGGGTATAACCGTGATCAGGGTACGAAATAAAAGGCTGACTTTGTGTGAAACCAAGCAATTTACTTACTTCATGTTCTTGTTCTACCGGCATAAGTATGGCCCCTATATCCCCAGTAACTATGTGGTTTTATCGTATTAGCCGACCGTATATTCTCTAATACCTCTATGGGTATAACCGTGATCAGGGTACGAAATAAAAGGCTGACTTTGTGTGAAAACAAGCAATTTCTTTACGCGAACCGCAGTTAACAGAACTTGGTCAGTTTTCATCGAACCAGCCGCGACTCCGAAACTCGTCCACGACGAATCGCAATCTTCGCTTGTGCGCGTCGTTCCAGAGGCATCGCGCGTCGTCCGCGCCGCCGCGTTCCTCGATGTAACTCAGATCGACGAAGTCCTTTTCCAAAATGGGGGGCAGCATCAGCGCGATGTGGTAAAATTCGCTGTCCAAGGCTGCCCGTTTCAATTCCTCTCTAAAATCTTCGAAAGAGAACTTCGACGTATCGATACCCAACAGTTCCAGTCGATCGACGAGACATTCGTGGTAATGAGCGAACAAACTATCGACGACGTTTCGCGTCAAAACGTCACTTGCGACGCTAGTGAAAACAAAAAAAACGACGTCGCGGGCGGGCGACTTGTAACCGATCAGTTGAAAATCGACGAGGACTGCGTGTTCGGGTCTGCCGTCTGCCGCGTATTTCACCAAAAAATTATTGACCCAGCAATCGTAATGAATAACCGCAGACCACGGTTCGGGCGAAGACGGGTCGCTGCGTTTCCGCATCAAGTCGGCAGCGCGTCGGACCACGCCGTCCGGATAATTCTGTTCCGTCAAAAATTTGGTCAGTTGACGGGCCACAGCCACCTCGTACCGCGGGTCCTCTTGGAAGTCCCACAGGTACGGTCTGACCGCGTCGTCGAACGATTTCGGCTCATCCAGTTTGAAGGCTAGCGTCGCCGCGTGGAACTTGGCCAGCGTCGCGAGGATCAATTTGGCACCGTCGAAGTCGAAACCCGCCAGTTTGTTCACAGTGACGTACCCTGTTAAACGAACGCCGACTGTACCAATTAACGCATCGTTTTGGTATTCGAACAGATCGAGTAATCGTAACACCGATAGTTTTTAACGCTGGACGTCATTTCACGATTTCGAAGCGTATTACAAAAATATCGCGAATTATACGGGACAAGGCGACAGTTTACTCGTCCGTGATTCTCTGTGATCCGCGAAGCGAAGTAAGTTTACCTAGTTTTTTAGCATTCTCGAGCACTAAAACGGCGTCGTCGTCGACGTTTCGGCTATCCGGGTCGAGGCTTAAACGACTACCGTAACTTTTGACAGCGAAGTTTGCGCCATCCTCGACGCCCTTTTCCAGAAGGTAGGCATGCAGTTTTTTGACGACGATGTCGTAGAAACCGACCTCGTTCCTAAACGTGACCGGAGTGTTGAACATTTGCCTAGCGTATTCGCCGTCCGGTACCAGCTTTATAACCGTGCTTAGGATCCTGCGCGAGCCGTCCGTTGGGTTCTCCACCGTAAAGTCCACGCTGCAAATGGCGTGCGTGAAATAGGCACACGAACTTTTGATGTTTAGGATGATTAGTTTAGGAATCGTTATAGTGCTTCTAAACTGTTTTTACGCAATTTTTTGAGGAAAAAAAAGGACACCCGATTTTATTTCTGAAACGTTGTGGAATGCGGTTTAAAGTTGGAATGAAAAAAATTAAAATCTCTCTCTCCACTCGCCTTAATATTTCCGAGCCGAAATTTTCACCGGGTTTCGTCAACGGAGCGGCTTCGTGGCTGACGATCTTTTCGCCGAGGTCTAAATAGCGAATGATCAGCTCATCTAAATTTTCGACTTTATTTGTCATCGCGGGACCGTCTGGATGCAATTTCGTTTGTAATCTCGCGTAGCCGGCCCAGCATTATCGCGCGCCAACAAGAATACTAACCGATAAATATGCCCCGTGTTGCCTTTATACTCTTATTATTACGACCAAGTTTAAAAAAAAGGGAACGTGATGAAAGCGAACTACGTTCTCTGCAAGGACGATTCCCAGCGTGTCGTTATACAGCGCGCTTGTATAACAAATTTTTCTGAAAATCGGTCATTATGCACACACACACACACACACACACTTATGAATAATTAATCGTTGTTGTCGCTGGGAGTCCAAAAAAAAAACAAAGCCGGCTGCGTCTTACACTAGTTTTACATTGACAATTTCCTCATGAATTAACCCACAAAGTTGGTTAGTTTTTGTTTATTATTCAAGAAATGGAACCTATTTTTATCAAAATTTTCGTCAATATAATACTAACGACTGAAATAAATCAAAAAGTAAAATTATGTTATTATTACAAACCAATAAAAGCGCATCTAATGTTACCACAGACTATAAAACAATTATAATTAGTCACGGAACAATAAAAAAACAAATTTTATTAACTCACTTCTAGAAATTTGTCCAAGCTTTTGATACGAATACGGAAATAGTGATATTAGCAAGCTGTACATTCAGTAAGTTTTACCTGTGGCTATTAATCTTAGAGTTACCGCAAGTTTTTTCTGCACTTACGGCATCTCGAAATTTGCATTCATTTTCTCTATCTTCACATGACTCAGTATTTTATTAAATCTTTCTTTTGATATCCTAAATATTCGTTTAAACTGTTTAAGATGCTTTTTAAACTTTTTCAAACCAATTTTAACCTGTCTTTATTTTCTAGCCAAAGTCTCATCCACCATTTTGTATCGATGTTGGGAAGTAAAAAATTATTAGCAGCGATGATAAGAGCAAGTTCTTTTTCTAATTCTCATGTCTTCCCTGTGCGTTTTTTTGACTTTGCTCTAGATGATTTCGCGCAATTTGGGTGTGTGCTATCGGCGTAGGAAAACTTTATGCAAGAAAATTATTTTTGAAACCTATTGTAAATACGACAATAATAAAAAGAGACATGTATTTACCGTACACATAATGTTTGCAGTATTATAAAATGTTCCAATAATTATCCACTGTGAGTGAAAAAGTCAACCGATATTCCCGAATAACTGAAGTTGGAAATTACACCGTTATTATTATTATTGCAGGTCGAGTGAAACCTTCCACGAAAAGTTCTGAGAGACCAGTAAAAGTCCTTGATGAACAGTTTATTCTTTTTATTTTAAAAGATGAATACCCTTCTTGGATAAGATCTGAATGGAGCTTGGTCAGGATGATAACCAGAAATTTTTGAGGGACCACTTTCAAAAATATCGATTCTGTCTGTAAACCGCAAATCAGTACCACAGAAGATCTTTTATCTTGATGAGGCTTGGTTAATAAAGGTTATAAAGTAGCAAAAATGTGGGAAGTCAAAAGTATAACTAATGCTTGCCAAGCATTCTTGAAAGTCCTGTCAAAGGATGTTAATGTGCTTTCTGCAAAACAGAAAAGACTAATAACTTTAATAATTCGGATGTTTTTGAAGATTGATAAAATAAAAATAAAAGATGGTTAAATATACTCACGATGCATAGAGAAAATTCCAACTTTATCTTGTTCAAGATCATCATCATCATCATCATCATGGGTGAACTACCAAAAATATCGTATTTAAAGATAATTTGATCAAAAAAGGAACTATTAGATATTTTATTAAATGCGGCGTGGAATATACATAAAAAAAAACGTGTAATTGCGATGCTCACACTTCTATGAACGCAAGTGAAAGCATCGAGTGAGTGTTCACTTTTCTCATGTATGTGTTTTTTAAATATACCCTAATGCATTTAAATCAGCTTGAAGCATTTTAAGCAGCGCCTAACTTATAATCGAAACGCCGAAAAAATCCTAAAATTACTGGCGGAAACCCGACACAAACGAAAAAGTCTAAAAGGTAAATAGGACAATGGCAACGTCGTCTCTTTTTAAAAAACGAAGCGAGTGCGGTGCGGTGCGGAGGTGTCAGGGAAATGTTTTTATAGAAGAAAAACGCGAGATTGCACAATTAATTGCGCGCAATAGTCGTAAACCGTTGTTAATCTTTACGGCTTGATGACGTGATCATGTTATTCGAAGCCTTTTGGCAATTTACGTGCCTGCACACAAAAATACATTTGCGATATTACCCCAACTTTGGGAACACTATTTTCTCCTACGCACAATTCGCACACAGTACCGTTAGAACTTATGAACATTGGCAACATCGCGTTTACGATCTGACTCGAATGCGCACCATTGCAGCGCCGTTTGCAGCCGGATTTATTTAAATGGCTACCTTTTTTTTGTATGTGTTTCGTTAGTGTTTTTGCAATAAACCGACGCACTGACACGAAAATTTTAAGCCCTGAGTACATGCGAAGCGTTTGCAAGATATAAAGTTGAAAATGGCTTTATTTCTATAAGACTTGAGATACAAGTATTGGACATTGTCAGTATAATACAAATATAAATAATATGAAATTATTTTATTATAATGAATTAATTCATAATAATAATAATTATTAATGTTAGATAAATAACAAATAAATAGACAAGAACAAACCACGAATACATATTAAAAGGTATCACAAGAAACAAAATCCTTAATATTGTAATAGGCGAAGCGTAGCAATTTATTTTTATGAGTGTATTTCAATATGATATAAATTTTTAAGGTCAGAACAAAAGGACTATTTGATGTAAGAGACAGTCGGTGTTTAGGTATTTGTATGTTAAGATTAGGTCTTAAATTGTATTGAATATCTGAGTTTTATGCAATTATCTATTAATTAGAGTTGCTTTTTACATAAGAGACACAATTTAGTATGTACATTCTAGGGAAGTGTTAATAAAGAGTGTTGAGGAAATAGGTCTCGACATGAAAAATTCCTCGGTTTAAACCGTATAGTCCGTAAAATGCGTTTCTGCATCCTAAAGACTTGCTTCGCACGTGGGGAACCACCCCAACAAATCAAGGCGTAGTTAAGACTAAGACAGGAATAGACATAGGAAAAATACATTTTACCCACGGGAAAAGAAATTTGATGGCGGAGCCTCCATATGACAAAGCAATAAACAGAAAGTTTTTTGAGAATGTGATCCACCTGTTCAAACTAGTAGAATCTCGAGTCTACATAACTCCCAGGAATTTTACAGCATTTTTTTGTTGTATTGCGCTTTAATTGAAGCGTACTAACAAACTCTTATTTAAATCCCGTGTTGAAAAGGCGATCATGTTAGTTTTACTTTGATTTAGTATCAATTTAGTAATTTCTGCATAATATTTCATTTGCTCAACAGTTGTCTTGGTTGCAATGCTAAGTTGCTCAGACGATGTTGCAGAAAGGGTAAAAACTGGATCATCCGCAAAAAGGGAAAAGTAAGTATGGGAGAAAGAAGAAAACACATCAATTATAAACACTATAAACAATAAAGGACCGAGCAAACTTCCCTGAGGTACACCGCAATTCACAGACCCGAGGTCAGAGACGTATTCAAATCCTATCTCGCAATTTGAGCAATTGAACGCATGCTGTTTGCATTCTGAATTCGGCCTTTGATATCGAAAATTATCGCACTCGTACGAATTTAGGTTATGTTTTGTAGCCGTCTTACTAGTGAACTATAAAAAGCTGTATTCTCGCGACATTTCGTTTTTAAGAGATGTCTTGGCGAAGTTTTATGTCCTGGCTTCAATTTTTGCCTCCAAAATTTATATAATCATGCACGGACGTAATGATTTAAGGTAGATTTGATGTGTTTTTCGCACGTTGAATGAATCTTTCGAAGGCTATCAAATCTTTTACATAGTGCAGGTTAGTGGGTGAAATATAGTGGCATGCACATTATCTACGAAAATATCAACACCACCTGCGGCGCATTAATTTTTACTGTATAATCTAATACCTATACGGTTTTGATATTACGGAAAACTTATGGCGCAGAAGTGGTAGCGCGCATGCGCATTTCTCGAACCGAATTGACGTTTGCCTAAGGGACGCATATAAAACATGTTTAAAAGTCACCGTTGACAGCTTCCAAATCCAAAACCGAATAAAACGTGAAAAGATGGCATCCGAAGAAGGAGAGGCCGCCGGTGCCCTTGACGAGCAATACAAGAAACTGCTCTGCGTAATCCGCAACCATATCCCTTATATAAATTCCAATACTTATCTGAGCCAGTGCTGCCTGTGGCTGGAGAAACTTAGCGACCCATCTTCGGATAAAGCGAGGAGAAACTTATATCTGTCCGAACTTGCATTTCAGATCCGAAAAAGGCAATTGATGCCCCCATTTGACGAGGCGCCGCCTCAAGGCGATCTCGCCACTCTAGACGACACAGATTCGTGGACCGATTTGACAGACAGCGGTTCTGAAAGCGAGGTGGTGGTGTCGCAAATGGCAGCCGCTAAACCCATTGGCTGTGGAGGCAGGGAAATTGAGAAAATAAAGGTTAAAAAATCGGGAAACCCGCCGCGTTTCATCGCCGAAGACTGGAAGACTACCGTGAACGCCCTCCAGTTGAGACTATCTGAAACTACGTACCAGAACAGGGAGCTGAAGGCGAAAATCGAAAGTGACACGACGACATATCGCCAGAGGGAAGAAGATTGGTTGCGACTGGTTGAAGAATCGAAAAGGTCGCTCGAGCGGTGCGAGAACGAACATAGGCAAACGTTGACGCAAATAGCGGAGAATTACGAACGAACAATTAAGGGAAAGGATGGGGAGGTTTTGCGGTTAGAGCGGATTTTGAGGCAGAGATGTGCAAGGCAAGAAATTATACTGTTCCAACGATATACCGTTTTTACGACATAATCTGGCATTTAACTTTGGTAAATTTTTATGAAGGTCTAATCGCAGGCCTACCTCGCTTGGGTTTCTCTTTGTAACCCTCAGTACATACATTTGCAATTCCACAATTACATTCCAGAACCGTACTTCGGTATTTCGTGCAAATGCTGAAAGCTGACGGATTTGTGTAGAGTTTCATCATTGAGATTCCTCAATTATTATTGGTCCATGCAGTGCAAAAAACCATTCTTACTTGAGTTGCTGAGTTACTTAATCTTGAAAAACAATTGAATAACAGTTCATTGGTAATTACTAGGAAGATTTATAAAAAGCATACTACTAAGAAATAATATAAAGGTTTAATCAAAGAAAAGTCCCCTACTCTTAATATACAACAGTCCACATGGCAGAGTTCTTGTCGGCTAACATCTCAAATACTGCCTGGCTTGCGGTACACATGCTAAAAACAATGGTTCATTCCGCCTAACAACAGGCGTGTATTAAATTCATTCCGAAGTCAAAACCATAAAAGGTTGTAAAAACCGTTTATCATTGGGAATAGTATACCTAATAATATTACACTGATGTCATTTTACTTGAAAGACTAGCAATTTTGACTACAAACCATAGACCAGAGTTGTGATAGTTGTCAACCAAAAATTGCCCTCTGTGTTTTGTAGCGGTTGGAAACAGTTTTGCATTGTTGTCGAATTTGTTTTTTTTTAATTTTATTTATTTTGCAGTAATTTATTATATTCCGTAGCTTAAAAATAGTGGACCTTGTTTAATCGTTTTTTGTGGCTAGTTTGGAGAAATTTCCGAATATTACATTATTTTTTGAAATTGTTAAAAATCAATTTCCACTAACTAGCATGGAGGACGAAATATCGGCCCTGCGGTCCCATATATCACGGTGTAGCTGTAACCAGAAAATGGCTCTGCTTCGAAAATGCGTCTCGAAAATGGACAAGCTATTCCAAAGGTCACAAAAAGAGTCCGCGAAACAAATTGAAAAACTCCAAATGGAACTTGAAAAAAAGAATCACACCCTGCAGGTAACATGGCCAACATAATTTATTTGCTACACTCCCTTCGTAAAACAGAAACCTTTGGAATCGGGCTAGTTACCTCCCTCCGGGAGCAAACTCTCATCTGTGGCAGGTTTCTGAAAGTTTTTCTTTCTTTTCTTTGTTTGGAATTTCTTTTTCACCGTGTCGACAACGGTGGAATACTGGTTCGCCATTTCCTCGTCGGTAATGTCCTTTTCTTTCTTCGCCTCCGTTTGGCCCAGTTCTTTGTAATAATCATTTTCCATTAGCTTCTCGATTTTGGGGTTCATGCCGCCAAACGACAGTCGTCCGTCCATCAGCTGCTTGCACACGGTTAAGCTGACCTCTCGAAAAATAATATTATTTGCTTTTTTCATTTCTTCTGTTATCTCGTGGGAGTAAATCTCCTTACTCTCCGCGTCTTCTTTGTCTTTAAGCACTTTTTCCTTGGTTTTCTTCATGAATTTCATTTCCAGAACGGCCTTCGATAAAGCTACGTCTTTATTCATTTTTTTTTTTGAGTCGAGGTACTCGATATTTCGCGAAAATTAAACCACCTACACACAAAACATGAAATGTAACAAACAGTAAGGTTATACTACATGGACGACAATAAGGCATAGAATAACGAAGAGTGGTAATTTAATCACAGATCACAAAGATGGAACACTAAAAAAAGTTTGGCTATAGTTTAACGTTGGTTGTTATTTAAAATTAAAGTTACTCCGGGATTTTCCTAACATTTGTTATATCCAGAGATGTATGAAGACACAGAAGCTGGAATTGCTGTCCAGATGTAGTCCAGACCAAGAGGAATTTGAAAAAATTCTGAACGGTTTGGAAGCGAGATACAAACAAATTTTGGATTTGCGCGAAAACGAGGTGGTGACTAGACAGAACGGAGAAGTGATCGTTTGATGCAATTTATCGTTCTCAGAAATGTGCGAGTGCAATTGTAAATCAATACGTGAGTCAATCTTAAAATACACTTGAATGTTGGACAGCAACGATGACTTTGCTTGATAATTTTTTACCATGGTTTTTACTTTGCCTAGTCTTAGGTTTAAGTAAAGTGAGGTGGCGCCACGGTCGGCAATTAAAAAATGTGAATAAAAAACCAACATGGCGAGGAGTAGACGATGTACAGTGATGTGTTGACAAAAGTTTCCCGTTTTTAAACATGTCTGGCACGCCATCGAGTCGTCGGAATGGTGCGCAAAAAATCCGGTTGACGAGTAAGTGCAGACGTGGCTCACCTTATTTCGTCCCATGCCCCCGGAACGGGAAAAAATGTAGTTATTTTCGACCTGTCAAACAATATGGCCTCAACGGGGGGACCTCCCAAGTTTCTTAATTGATTGTGATGTAATGAGACTAATTAAAGTGTTTCTTTTGCAGTTCTTTGCGCGAGGAATTTAGTGCGGAAGGATTTGTTCAGTAAGTACGCCCGCGGCGCGGGTTCTGTTGTCCGCGAAAACCGTTTATTATCGAGGAAGATACATTTCCTGTCAGGTTGGTGTGTTTTAGGGCTTCCAGATCCGTTCGCCAAAATTTCGGTGGACGGAAGCGGGCAGTGTCATTCGACCGATACTGTGAAAAACACGCTGGACCCCAAATGGAACTCTTACTATGATTTGTACATTGGCAAAACAGATACCATTACTATATCAGTTTGGAATCATAGAAAAGTACATAAAAAGCAAGGAAGCGGGTTTCTTGGCTGTGTTCGTATCGTCAATTCGCTAATACAGCGTTTGAAAGATACCGGTTGTAAGTAATTTTTGGTTTGTTTTGAACTTCAAGAATATGTAAATAGTTTATCTCAGCTTTGTAGCCTGCTAATTAACAGTTTTCTTGTGTTGTTTTGCTCTATTGGCATTTAAAAAATTGTAAATGTAGTGTGACAATTTCCAACAGCAAACAAGGGAGGGCTGTTTGCAGTTTCCATATTTTGATCTTTTTGAGAGATGTTTTTTTGACACATCACCATCCCATTTAACGAGTTTATAAACAATCTGACTGTTTTTGCGACACGTGTTTTTATTAAAAAATTGGCTTGAATAGTACAGATTGCGGCTCCTCAAGGTTAGATTGGAAAGCGATTTTAATTAAAGAGAATAAAAAAACCCAGCGATTGTGTAAATATATTGTCATCTGCATCTGTGGTTACACAAGCATTTGGGGTTGATTTTCCTGTTCATGGGCTAAGTTATAGCGGTTATAGTTATCCCAACCTTAGGTATATTGTGTTTTTTTCTATATTGAATTGCGCAATTCTTGCCGATTTCACTTTCCGTGTCGGGTCTGTTAAGTTTCCGGTCTGTTTAGCTTATTGTATTCCACAATATTTTTCGAAAATTATGTATTGCATTGGTGCGTGATTGAAAAAAGAAAATACTTATTAATTGTGAAGTATTGTTGTCACACACACCGCTGCCAATTTACTTTTGACGTATAACGAGGATTCGTTTAATTTTGCGTATTTGTTTGCCTGTAGTAAAATTTAACAAGGGTTGTAAAAAGATTTGTATTGTTATCAAACAACTTTCTTCTTTGAGGTATCGATGACGATACTAAATGTAATTATTTTCTCGATTTGCGGATTTTTTAAATTTTTACGTATTTTCGGGCAAATTTTCAAAAGTCGTTAAAAGATTGACAATGTTGTCAAATTTTATTAATCTAGCAATTCCGGGGGATAAAAATAAAGAGATGGGGGTAAAAACATCATGGTTGTTTGGACGTCCTTTCCTTTGAGGAAACGATAACGTTGCCAAATTTAGTTATTTTCGCTCAAAACGAGGATTCGTAACTTTTGCGTTTACATTTATAAAATTTAATACATTGGAAACATACATTGGTAGATACCCGAAGGTTGTAACAATGCGTTGTTATCAAATATGTATTTATTTAGAAATTTCGTGGGAGAACCTGGGTGCTCTCAGTTGTAGGTAAAGTTTTATTTGGTTTGTTTGATTTGACGTCGGTGTACGGGGTGTAGGAAAAACTGTGTATTTTAAAGGCGCCAAAAATTTAAAAAGCAATATTTGTTTTGCGTGCTGTTTTTCGATAATTATCGAGACAAATGACGGAAAAAATAATCGAGCGAATTTTACACCCGCAGACCAGTGCCTCGATTTGGGCAAGGCGTCGCAAGACGACACCGAACCAGTTAAAGGCCAAATCATCATTTCGCTACTTTCTCGGGACGGTCCGTGCGGCGGCACGCCTCTGGCGATCGTTAGCCCGCTGGGCGACATCCGCGGGCCCGCTAACAACCATCATCCACTGTCGTCTCCCGCGAGCGCAGATGACCCTAACCGCAACAATGAGACGACCATAACGACGATGAACGGCGGTGGCGGCGACTCCGACTCCACCCCACTGCCGTCTGGTTGGGAAGAGCGGCGTACGTCGAACGGACGTCTCTATTACGTCAATCATTCGACCAGGTCGACGCAGTGGGTGCGGCCACAGGCCGGGGCTAAGCCGAAAGGCGGAGGTGGGCGGATCAGGGCCGCCAACAATAACAACAACATCGGGGGGGTGGTGAACGGCAATGTCGAAAATAATAACGTCGACGCAGAAAGGTGACTGCCGTTGACGCCATTTTTTTTGTGAGCCTTTTATAATTAACTGCTTTTTGGTCAGACCCGCGGATCCGGCCACTCTGCAGGAGGATGGCTGTCCGCTTTCGCCCTGCGGTTCGAGCGCGTCACCGCCGCCTGCGACCAGCCCCCAGCAGCACAAAGACACTTCGAGACAGAACGCCGCGGCTTCTCCCCGGAGTAACTGTCCGCCTCCCACCAATGGCGGCATTCCTTCGTCGAGCGGGGCGGGCGTCACGTCTCCGACGAACAGCGGCGCCGCACCTCAGCGGCCACCCACGCGAGATCGACGTCCTCGCAATGGTGCCGAGGAGAGGCGGGACGGGAGCGGGAGGCGTCGATCCGCCCGCAATCGGAACTCGATCCTGGCGCAGCAGGTGCAAACTGCCGTCAGTCAGGCGGCCGCCACCGCTAACGGGAGCGGCGGAGGGGGCAAGTTGGATTTGCCACCGGGATATGGTGAGTATGGTTATCAACCTCCGCCTCCTTCCACGATTCAATGTTTCTTCTGTGCAGAATTGAGGACGACGCAACAAGGCCAAGTGTACTTCTACCACATACCGACCGGCGTGTCGACGTGGCACGACCCCCGCATCCCCAAGGACCTCGCTCCCAGTGTCAGTCTCGCTCTCCTCGTCGGACACTTAGGCCCGCTGCCTCCCGGCTGGGAAATGCGCCAGACGACGTCGGGCAGGGTGAGTTTTCATACTTTTCCTCGCGCCGTCTCTTTATTTACGCGCCCATTCTAGATATACTTCGTCGACCACAACACTAGAACTACGCAGTTTACCGACCCGCGTCTTAATTCGCAACTCCTCAACAACATTCTCAAGAGGGTGAACACTACCGCTACTACCACCACCACACCCACGACAGGCCACGGAGTCGCTGTGCAGGCGACGTTGTCGACCGCAACGACGACGACGACTACTACTACGACGACTGTAGCCGCCCAACAGCCTCAGGCTCCTTTGGTCGCTAACCCCTCGTCTGTTCCATCGCCGCGCGCGAGGGTGACGGAGGAGCTGCCCCAAGGTCTGCTAGGCGAGCTCGACCACCTGCCCAAGTACAGGCGCGACCTGGTAGCGAAACTCAAGGTCTTAAGGGCGGAGTTGACAGCTCTCCAGCCGCAAAGCGGTCACTGCCGCTTAGAGGTGGCCCGGAACGAGGTGTTTGAGGAGAGCTATAGGTGAGCACTAGGCCTGCTTGTCCGTCGGGCTTCGTCCTATCGAACCTCTCTTCTTTTTCTTCTTTCAGTGCCATGCTCTAATGTAGGTTGGTGATCACTTCTCTAAATGCCTCTTTGTCTTTTGCAACGTGAAACAGTTTTCCACAATCAACTGAGTCTAGTCTCTGATGTTTCTTAGCCTGGATTTCTTCTTTCTTCCTATGCCTTTTCTTCCATCCACTCGTCCCCACATGATAGTCTTTAGTAGTTGGTACTTATTATTTCTTAGAATATATCCAATATAAGCTGTTTTTCTTCGTTTGATCGTAATCATTAATTTCCTTTCTTGTCCTATTCTTAACACTTCCTCATTAGTATTTGTAGCACGGTATTTCTAAGGTTCTGCGATACAGCCAAATTTCAAAAGACTGGTTTCTTGATTGTCTGAGCCTTGAGAGTCCAAGTTTCTACTCCATACAGTAGTTGTGAGCACACGTAGCACTCAATAAACTTGAATTTTATTTGAAGGCATAGATTTTTGTCGCTGAATAGTGTTTTAAATCTTAAGAAAGACCGCCTCGCAATTTCAATTCTGGTTCTTATTTCGTGATCTTGGTCTAGGTCTGAAGTTATGTAAGTGCCTATGAGTTTTCCTAGTATCATCAGCTAACGTGACAATGTTTTTCGAGACAATCATGAATTTAGTTTTTACAGTATTTTTTGTATAACCTCCCTTCTCACAGACTTATAATGAAGATGCGGCCGAAGGACATGCGCAAACGCCTAATGGTCAAGTTCCGCGGTGAGGAAGGTCTCGATTATGGGGGCGTGGCGCGCGAATGGCTGCACCTGCTGTCGCGCGAGATGCTCAATCCCCAGTATGGGCTTTTCCAGTACAGCCGCGACGACCACTACACCCTCCAGATCAACCCGGATTCGTCGGTCAATCCGGAACACCTGTCTTACTTTCACTTTGTCGGCCGCGTGCTCGGCATCGCGGTGTTCCACAATCACCAGCTGGAAGGCGGATTCACGTTGCCCTTTTACAAGCAGCTGCTCAACAAGCCGATCACGCTGCAGGACATCGAGGGCGTCGACCCCGAGCTCCACCGTAGCCTTACATGGATGCTGTGAGTATGGGTGGAAGTTGGTTCGCCGTTTAAGCTATAACCACGGTCACCTTGGCGTCAATTTGACGATTTTGCGACGTCGCGTGACGCTGACCTCATTTGAATGTTTATCTGACGTAGATTTGACGTATGTCGGTTGGATGGTTTTTTATGGTTTGGGTGGTTTGGATGTGCCATTGACGTCAAGGCAAGTTTTTAAAGTGACAAACTTGGACTACCACGTTGTTGAATGGATCGCGAGTTTGAGCGGGTTGTTTTAAAGTCGTATTTAGGTCATTTTCGACAACACGTTGGGAGTGACTGCCAAAGGGGATTCGATTTGATGTTGATTTCTACTAAAACTGGGTAGACCTTTTATATGTCAAGCGGGACTTAATTTTCACGTCGCAGCGAGAGACAATGCACAGAGGTGATTTATGGTAATTTAGGCCCTAATAAATACAAACATGGAAATATTAAATTAAAACTAAAGATGCGTAAATAGCTTTTAGATATTGTTAATTATTGTAAGTTATATTGCAGGTCTTACTTATGTGTTTATAAATATTTAGGTTTCTATTATTATAAAGTAAATTATACAATTAAATAGCCTAAATATTTCTACTTTTAAACCTATTTCATTTGTGTTATTTCTATTTAAACAAAAAATGAAATAAAATACTTTTATTATATGTACAAAAAAAGGCAACTCGAATTCAGTAACAATTACTTTAACTAAAAAATTATTGTTCTATTGTACAGTTGTAAATCAGAATTTTAGGAACTTATTAATTATTATAAAAAATATTGTTTTGTAGGGCTTGGTACTTCCTGGTATCCAAAAATATTTGCTTGACAACTATCGTTGAATATTACAATTCGCAGCTTTTAAAAATTAATGCATTTTTTTCGCTGATATTATTTAAATAACTTTATGTGCAATGTTAAAACCCTTGGATTGCTTTTTAAGGTTACAAAATTCCAATTTCAATACTTAAAATTAGAAAAGAGAATACATTTTACAAAAATCACAATATAATATCAGAATCTAACGTTTGTAGCGAGTAGCGCCCAGCAGCTTTTTATTTTAAAAAGAAGGCGTTTCGCGGTGTCTTGGCCTAGAGGGACGCATTCTCTTTCTATCGTTCTCCTGCGGACTACTATGGAATTTTCACAAAATCGATGTAATTTAATTGTGCACGCATCCTACATAAAGTGCCCTTCATATCTAGTAGAACTTCAAAGTCACGGCACACTCAGGTAAACACAAAACTTTGCACAAATAATGGCGATTTCCAGTTATATTTTTTCAAATACCTTGCACACCCTGTATGATACACGAAACCTGAAACTCAACACAATTTGCGATACTGTTGAGAACAAATGATCAAATTACAGCGCCGGATGTCCCACGTACCACGGTTCCAAAATTTTTCGGATCGAATAAAAGGGTTTGGAGGAAAACATATTTTTCGGCAAGCCGAAGTAACAAAAAAAAAATGCAAAATATTTTAAAAAATACTTTGCGGTATTTAAAGAATATAAATATGGATCTAAACTTCTACCTCTATGTCAAATCTGAAGTCGCAAGTGCATATTTGGGGTACATATTACGTTTCTTAATATTGAATCGAATACGGCGAAGACCAGGTACAATAAGCGAAAAACTTAAATACAACAAATTTAGCTATCTACAATCTATATCGTAATGTAAATGAAAATGACATCTGAATCATAGTCCTTCAGTTATATAGTCATTTTTAAATAATAGGGGGGCCATTTTTCAGTTTTTTTGAATTTGCGGGGTACCCTGTACATTTTAGAAATATAGTCAGGAATAAAAGTTTATGGAGCCGAATCTTCTGCACCTCTTTGTTCAAGAATTTTTTCGGTTTCGTAAACGGTTTTTGAAAAATGATCGTTTCCTTAGACCCTTGCACACGCAATTTTTAGTCGTTTAAATACTTCCTTACCCTCCACCCCCAATAGGTTTCGTCACTGGACAAGCTGCATATATGTGTCAAATATGAAGTAGATTGCTTCAAATTTCGAATACTTATCGTGTTTCATAGCAATGTTAAAAACAAAAAATGGATGCCGGCGTCATATCGAGTCCATTTCTTATAGACTTATGTATCTCATGGAGGGTTAAAAAGGAGATAAATCTAATTTTCGTAGCCCAAACGGTTACAAAGTTATTCCGGAAAAACCAAAAGACGAGAACGGAGAACGTCCAACAGAAAAAAAAATTTTTTTTTCGACCTTGATCGTTTCTGTACCAACGACAGTCCCGTAGGACCTACCGTCACCGAGATATAAAATTTTTATACGAGCGTAGGATACTTTCGAAAAATTCGATTTTATCGATTTTCGAAAGTAACAAGAGCTAAGGACTGCTTTACAAAACACAGTTTAACCCTTAACGAATGGAACACACTTTCTTTAATCTTCTCTCAAAGGCACATCAATGAAGTAAATAATGGGCACAGTGCAAAATTCTTGGGGATTCTAAACTAATTTGGTTACACCACACAGACCAAGTGGTCAAAAAAATTCTCAAAAACCATTTTTCTAACAAGTAGCCTAAAAAGCACTGTAGATTATAACATATTGATAGTATGTGTTGCTCTAATTGGCTCCCACTTGCTTTATGGTCTGATAAACTGGGGCCAGTCTCCCAGTGGGGCAGTCTTTGGCCTAGAACGTAGGATAATTAGAATAATCACAAACTTCAAATACAAAGAGGATTTTAAAATCCTTACACTGCCAAGTGCTTATATACATAAAAGTCAAGTTTAAGCTTAAGAGAATCAAACAGATTTTTTACATGTGAATGTGACAACCTTAGATCTGATTTCCTTCGTCATAATGCTAGTAGGCTAGGTTCAAATTACTATTGCATCCATTTTTTAATAAACTTAAGCCCAAGAAAAAACAACCCGCAATAAACAGGTTTAAAAACTTGGTCAACGCAATCGTTTTACTGCTTGGAGGAGTTTATCTTTTTTCAAGATATCAATAACTATATTTAGTCAGATGATCGCACTTCAACTCCCCACTTTCGGTGATAAATTTCTGTGATAATCTTCGTTCACCTTTAATGTATGTGCAGATGCCTACAGAGCTCGTAATGTTTTAAGCATATATTATGTTGTAAAATTGTTATTCCATGTTATATTTATGATATATAATATATGTAATAAATGAAATGAAGTGTCAGCCAAAAGGCACGTTCAAAAATATCATTGGGGATGTTTTCCTTAATATTGCAGCATACAATAAATACAATAATCTCTTAAAAAAATAAAATCACCTCAGCGCACGCGTCTGGTTTAGTGATTTCAATGTCGGCGATATTGGTTCTAGGGAAAACAATATCGGCGGCGTACTCGATACCACCTTCTCCGTCGAAAACAACAGTTTCGGCGTGGTGAAGGTGCACGAGCTTAAACCGGGCGGTTCCGCTATCGCCGTCACCGAGGAGAACAAGCGAGAGTACGTGCGCTTGTACGTCAATTACCGGTTCATGCGCGGCATCGAGCAGCAGTTCCTGGCCCTCCAGAAGGGGTTCGCGGAGCTGGTGCCGACCGCGTCGTTGAGGCCGTTCGACGAGCGCGAGCTCGAGCTCGTGATCAGCGGCATCGGATCGATCGACGTCGACGATTGGCGCGCCCATACCCGCCTCAAACACTGCACGCCCGAGACGCAGGTGGTGCGGTGGTTCTGGCAGGCGGTTGAGTCGTACTCGGAGGAGATGCGCGCGCGTCTGCTCCAGTTCGTCACCGGCAGTTCCCGCGTGCCGCTCCAGGGATTCAAGGCGTTGCAAGGTAAAGTCTGTTCATAGATATAAGAAAGTGACTAACTGATACGAATTAAGGAAAGACCCGGGCAAGCTGTAAGAATGAAATATGGCCGAACAGGTCCGTACTTTGCTTAGAATTTATTTTTTTAGGGTTTTGTTAGGAAAGATACGGGTTTTGTTAGGAAAGATACTAAAAAATATTTATTTATGTATGTATTTATGTTAAATCTAAAATAAAATTACAAATTATTTTATCAGTATCACTATTGCTATCATCGCCTTTTCTAATTATTATTTGTTCTATATTATTTGCAATACGGATATACGATTGTTCTGCTTTTTTTATATGTTTAACATAATTTGTCCAACTTTGTGAAGGGATGTTAAAAACTTCGGTTTCTATAGTGTGAGAACATTGGAGTTAACACGGGGAAAAACATATGTGTGCCCGATGTTGAAGATACATTCTCTTTTCCGCGTCTAAATTGCGGTCTGGGACATCTTTCTGTCAATTTTATCCAAGTTGTAATTCTTAAAATTATCCATGTTTCCTTGCTCCACTAGTTGAATTTTCGTTACTTTAGCAATTGGGTAAACGTCTTGTGGAATAACATTATTATTAAGGACCTGTGTAACAGGTGCTATTTGTTTTCTAAGTCTGGAAGACGTTAATCATGGAGGTTTTGTACCCCAGTTCTGCGTACTTTCGTATAGCGGTACACCCATCTATCTATCTTGATGAATTTGGGAATGTAACAAAATATGTATTTCCATTCAGGAGTATTTGTTTTGATCTTGTAAATGGTTTGATAAAGCTGTTGTTGCAATGTTTTCTTCTTCCCTTTCGTATAGCAGTCATGCGTTTATAATATTTAGTCAGCAATTTTTCATTTTCAGATAGAGCCATTGTCATTTCGATTTGAGTTGACAGATCCACTTCATTTTCTATTTATTCTCTATAAGAATTCATATCACGTTTTCCTATTATCAAGAATTGTCTCTATTAGTACCGCTTCAGCCAATATTTTTCAGTCGGTCTGATTTATTATTATAATTTATTATTATTATTTCTTTATTGCAACTGTTTCACGATCTTTTTCCTGTACAAACTTACGCACAATCAAACACTGTTAGTTTGGGTTTTAACGCAGTGAATGATTTTAAATTTTAAATTCTTTAGAACTTCTTCAATATTGCTTTTTGTTGGGATTATAATTATAGTTGTTCCAAAATGTAACGCTGGGGAATCAGCTCCAAACATTTTAGTATCTGCGTCGTACCAAGATATGGCTTTTACTGCTTCAACTACATCATCGGAGCTTTCTGGTTTTAATGCTGAATGCATATCGGTATAATTACCGGGCTTTCTAATTTCTTACAAAAATCTAGCTTTTTCTCGAAATTTACATGGAGCGCAGCATTTTTTTTGAGATCTTCTCCATGGCGAGCTGTCAGAATGTCCTTAATGGCTGTGTTTTGCTAAGTATTTCGTTCGCTACTGACATCTTGTCTAAATATTTGCCATACTTTTTTTGGAAGCAGCATAAGCGCTTGATTTACTCAAATGTCTATTACTTAATGACCAATTGGACTTACATTATTGGTTGTTAAATTTAAATTTATAATCCTACACAAGTTATTATAAATCTATTACTACCTGTTTATATTTATAGGTGTCGGAATATTGTCATATTTTATATTTGATAAAGGCACGGTGTGCCGAAACAGCTGTCATAAATCATTAAATAACTGAAAATAGTCATAAAATAACTAACCTTTACAAACCAACAAACTTGCACACAAATAAGTGTTTGCGTGTAGTCCATGATTGCGTTACATTCAATGTAAAAAGTGCTGTAGTATTAGCTTTAGTCGTGCGTTGAGTATAGTTCACAACCGATATGCCATTCATGAAGTCGAGATCGAGGCCGCCACTAGCATTAAAGACTTGGATTCTAAACTAAGTTTTGTGACACATTTTCCGCAAGTGGTAAACAGCTCTTGGTTTTTTTGTACTCGATAGTAACCAATTTACTCCACATTGCTTTAGACTCCTCTATATTTCTTTGGTTCGGTCAAAGGCGCCTGTGATGTCTATAATGGATCACCTACAGGATTATGACTAAGGCCTTCAACATTGATACTCTTCAAACCAGAAGATCCAGAGTAATTTGTTTTTTTCTCTTTAAGGTTTTGAATGGTTGGTATTATTGTCCAGATCTTTTACAAAGGATAAAATTTAACGCATATTACAGAAGCTGTGATAACTCAATATTCCGGATACTTTACCTTATAAAATAAATAAATAAATACATAGTATATAACATATAAGCATATATTATATTATCTATATCATTCCTTTGAAAATAGTAATAATTGAAACTAAAATTATTAGTTAATTTTAATTAATTAAATAATAATTAATTTTTCTAGTATGAACTCCTAAAATTGGTGCCCGAATTATTTCTATATTGTCTATTAATAATTATTGGTCCTAAAAATTTCTTATTTTATTTTTGAGATGTTTCTATTTTCTAGAGCGGGTATCGGTATCTTATTACTTTCTACGATCTTTTTTGTATTGAAATCTCTTCATTAAGTGTCAATATTATCTAGGCTCAGACTTTTATTTGTGTTGTGTTACGTGCTTAAACTTTTATATCCACAATTAGAAAACTGGTTCAGGGGGTCGCCAAATAAATCTGTACAATGGATTCATTTCCTAATTGTGATAAAAATCAAAGATCGGATCAAGGAGGCTTTACTCATTTTGTCAACACGTGATAGTACATATGAGGAAATCAAATGTCATATTGTTCGTCCTAAACAGAACGTTTTGAATTATGAAACAGTTTTACTTTTCGAAATTAATTTCATGACGCATCTCACAATTTATTGATCTCAAGAAAGGAGAATCAAAAATACAAGAGTTTATTTAAAAAATTAAAAGTTGACAGCATATAAGGATTTTAAGACCCCCTGTATATTTATCTATTTTTTTGAAATATAAATTTAAAAATATAACATTTGCAGTTTTTTTTTCTTTAATGTTCTGTGTTAAATAACTGAATGAATAATTGTTTGCGGAAAACGATTGTTCTTTGGTTGTCTAGAGCTGTCGCTTTATTAATTTCCTGTTAAACCGGAAGATAGTTCCAATGAAAGTTGAGCCAGGAAAGTGTGATCGAGGTCTAACAGTTTCAGCTCTACAGCCACAGAATTTAAAAAAAAATGCAAAGTAATCATTTTCTACTGTTTATTACTCCAAAACGGTTTTGGATATAAATTTGTGTAACCTAGTAAATATATTTAAAATGAAAAAGGAATTACCCGGTATATTAAATGCCTCTCGCCTCGGCACAATCAATATCTTGCACGTTATACAAAAATAATTTAAGATATTTTTGCAAAAAGATTTTATATTCTGTAAACTACTTAATATTTTATGCATAACAGCTAAAATGTGCACCGCAAGTTAATTTTTCTTTATTCCCAACATGAACACCCAGTTTAAAAAAAACGGGATTGTTTTAACATAATCATCGAGTTTCTATCTGGTTCTATCCGAATAACGGTGGTTGTTTGGATCCGCAGGGAGCACGGGGGCGGCGGGCCCGCGTCTCTTCACCATCCACTGCATCGACTGCCCGCCCCAGAACCTACCGAAGGCGCACACCTGTTTCAACAGGATCGACGTGCCGCCCTACGAGTCCTATCAGGCGCTCCTCGACAAGCTGACTCAGGCGGTGGAGGAGACTTGCGGTTTCGCGGTTGAATGATCCGCGTAGAAATAGGTAAGCGAGGCTGCTTTCTTTGCGCAGCCCTGACCATGCGTGCACAATGTTATCACAGATAAATAGTTTAAGATTTATTTAATGCAATAAAGCTACAGGCGCCGGCCCCATTGTGTAAAGGAGTTTGGTAATAAACATGCTGTAAATGAGTAATGTAAAAGATATGGTGTAGGGTCGGACGGCATTTTTTTACCGCTACGCTATAAAGTCTTTTTTGTGGTTAGTTACCATTCTTAGCAAGGGAAAGATCTATATTTATAATGTTGCCTTTAAATCCCGACGCCTTCAGGATAGATTTAGCAGTGGCTGAGGTTCTTTTTTTTAGATGGGAGACCGGAAAGTAATGTCGTTTTTGCGCACGCGACCATTTGTTCATCATTTATTGTATAACCGTACACTTTAGAACGTCGTTGATATTCATTTAAAAGTAAGAGTGACTTATTGACTTGTGATCATTGCAAAAAATATTACTTTAAACAATTTTAATAGAAACGCCAAACGAACTACCCGACGAGTTGCACATTCGGGTAGGCAGTAATGCAACAACTGCTACAAAAAAACATTTATGATTTTTACCCAAGTGCGTTAGATGTTCGCAAATGGCAAAAATGGTTTGCAAAGTTTCCGACTCACCTCGATCCCAAAGACTATAAACTTTTGATAATGAACTATTAAAGGCGGAAGTCGAAGCAGACAGTTGAAGAGCTGTCAAAAACCACAACCTTGGTCGACCATTGAAGAGCATTTGGTATTCAAAGCAGAGCAGGTGTTTGGGTTGCGCAGGACTTACCCGAACTAAACAAAGCTAATCGGGCTGAAACTTATTGCTAGAAAGGCACAAAAGCGCTTGATTATAGGGGATGGGAAATAGGTCTTATATAATAATCCGAAACGCAAAAGACAAAGACTGTCCCCAAATAAAACACTAAAACCGACTGCGAAACCGGGGCTTCACATAAGCAAGGCGCTTTTGTGTGTTTGGTGCAGTATTCGCGGTATTGTACACTTTGAAGTTCGGGAACCTGGACAAACGGTCGATGCTGACCTTTACTGTCAACAGTTGGATCGTGTTAACCTATCTCTGACTAAACAATGTCCAGTTTTGGTAAACAGAAAACTCACCAGGGCAATACCAGACCACATCGCGCAAAGAAGCCTGTGGAAAAAATTAACAATCTGCTCACCTGACATTGCGCCATCTGATTATTATTTGTTTAGATTACTACAAAGCTTCCGAGCTGGAAAGAAATTTATCAATCAACCAATTAATTAAAAAACGACTTTACTTTCCTGTTCCCCTTATACAAGGTACACAGAATGACGTAAGTGCGTTCCAATACCTGTTCTACTACAACCGTGGTATTACAGTGACATCATAACACACCTTTTGTGCGATACAATTCATGATAAATAATTATTCTAAGTTAAGAGAGACAATACAGGCATGAAATGCTACAAATTATAAAACAGAATAGACTATTTTTAAAAATAAAAAAATATATACGTACAATTTCTAACCTTCGAGGTCAATTTCTCGAACTGCCGACGTAATTGTATCGCGGAGCGTCGAATCACTTCGCACCAGTGTCGGGAACGCTTATTCAACGTCTAATGGACATTGATTCGAAGTTTGTTTCTTAATTTCGACGTCCATTCTACCCAAGAGGTACTTTTATCACCTATTAATCCACGTTAAAGTCAGGCGGTCGCCTAACAGTAGTTTCGCGACACGAAAATTCGACCTCATTTGTTTCAGGGGGCGCGGCTTGGAACACCGGGACGTCGGACGGATCAGCAGCCGCGCGACGTTGCCATGTTTCGTACATTTTCTGGTCGTCGCCGGTATTACCGCGTGATAGCGGTTAGACAGGGTTGAGGGAGGGGTTTTTTTTTCGCTTAAAAGACTGTTACAAGTGCCTTTTTCGCGGCGCACCTTTCGCTGTTATGTATTTTATGGCGGTGTCGGTCCATTTCGAGACCCCCAGTGTCACGCGCGCGTTTTTTTTTCTGTCCATATCTCCGGTAAGTACAAAATGACCTGTTGTAATTTTGAAATTTTAAAAATCGTGCCCGTTTATGCAAGAAGGTGAGATGGAAGCTTTAGGTAAAATTTCCGTAACGAGGAACTTTTACGCGGTTTCAGCCCTTTAAGGAAAATGCAATGTACCCGTTCGCGAGTAGGAAATAAATAATTTGAAGCTGGTTTTTTTTGTTGCTAAAATTATTAAAACGTAAGCTTTAAGAAGGGTGGTTTGTTGGCGGATATCGGTTTCCTGTGCGTTTTTATAAAGAAAAAGGATCGTTTCACGTAGACATTCCCAAATTTTAGTCGCCGGGTTCGGAATTTTTTTTTGATATTTTGGAGGTTATTGATTTCTCGTGGCAACTTTTAAAATAATATTGTTCCTGCCAGTTTTGCACAACTTCCCGAGATTTATAGCCTATATGTATCTAGCACATAATTATAAATTTCAAAACAATCTAATTCCACAGTATTTTTATATCAAAAAGATTAAAATTATATAGATATTTTTATTAAAATTTAAAAATCAAATAAATTTTATATTCTAATAAATTTTTTTCAAAAATTAACGCTACCTGGAAACGCTACGGAAAAATTGCTGTATTTGCTTTCGGCGTATTTTTTTTATAAAAACAATTACAGCATTTTTTTTATTTCGAAATTCTTCATTCTTCATAGCTTAAGTAGAAAAAAACACTCCCGAAACATGTTTTTCCCTGGAAATTTTGCAGAAGGTGGGATAGGCGAGAAGACACACAGACATCTAGCAAAATGTACGCAAAACATTCCAGTTGTAAAATGAAATCCGAATGAAAATATCGCTTTGCCGTTTTGCGTTTAAACGAAAGAAAACGGCCACGCAACTTTAGTAATTAAAAAGAAATAAAGGAAAATTTTATATCTAAAAGGCGGTCTCGACACGCTCTACTTTCCTGAAAATTGAAAGGGATCTTTTCATATTGCAACAAAATACTGTGCAGAAAATGCCACTTCTAACCTACAATCTGCCGAATTGAAGAACTGTCAGCGGCCAAGTTATTCGTTGAGGGCAAATTTAGAAATGCGCACACGTATATTGAAAATGCCTGTCTGCGCAGTTTTACTGTGTAACATTTATCCGTTGTTGAGGTCTTGGGGGGAGGGGAGGGAAGCCGGGGGGGAGAAAAGCGGAGTTGTGATTCTTCTCTTATAATTATGAGCCTGTACATACGCGTCGCGTCAATTATTACGTTGACGAAAGCAAAGAAAAGTAGCAATATATACACAGTGTTGGGTCCTAAATTGTCTGGAATTTTATTGAACACCTTGTATTTTTGTATAATAATCGCACCACGCCGGGGCGGGATCCGATCGATTGGGTCTTTGTTATATTTTTACACTTTACATTTTTTTAACGTAGTCACGTTTTTTTATACATATTTTATATTATATATTATTACGCAACAGAATACTCCAGTTATTATATTGTAAATATATATATAGGTGCTGCGTGGACGCTCGTTTTTTAACAAAGCACGCCGAAGTTGAATTTATTTGTATATTATGTAAAATTTAAATATATTTTGGAACAGCGAGAACGTGGACGTTTTATTTGAAACCTATTTGCGCTAATATAAAGCACAAGGAGGCGATTTGTATTAAATAAATTGATTTAAACCTGATTTAAGTAAGCTGTTTTTGTAGCTGACGTCGAATTAATCCGATTTGGTAGGTATTATCGCCTAATTTATAATCACATTATTTGACCTACGATTGCATAGTTACTAACATAGATCTTCGAACATGGGACTAAAGTACATATAAGGTGCGTTTGAGTCATAAAAACAAAGCTGGGGTGGTGTGCGAGTAGTGTTCTTGGTCACGTGAACTTGCGAGTTTTTTTCCTGTATCTTTGGCGCTGCTGCTAGGCGGCTTGCCAGCACGATTCGTATTTTTTCCATGGCGACGGTGGGATCATACCTACAACCCCTCGGCGCGGAGTTTATAGAGCGAATAATATATCCCGGACGCTTCTGTAATTTTGGAGCAGAATATCAAATAGTATTGGTGTTATTTTAATTTTATTAAATAAATCAATCCATTTGTTCCTTTGATTTATTAATTTCTAAACGTAATAACTTAAAATTGAAGCCGATAGGCAAATGCGACGTTTGCTATAGATTATCACCATCGAAAGAATGTGTTGACAAACATTGCAAACCAAACGGGTAAATTCGACAGTTTCACACGATTTCCCGTGTCCACGCTAACCAAAACTTAGTTCGTTTTTCTCTGAAAGTTTACTTTACTGTCCAGTAGTTCAAATTTAAGATACAGGCGGCGGAGCAGTAATTTGACAGCAAGTTTCGCTAAACTCCTGAATTTTAAGTACAATTGCTGCTGGTGTTTAAAAAAGAACGGTAAAAAATCGTGTTTAGGTTTGGTTCCGGGGTGTAAAATAGGTTATTTCGACCATCACAAAGTCAGAGAGCCTACCGGGCTTGGTATCTTCGAAGAAAGTAATGTAAGTAATACAAATTTTATATATTATTTTCTACAACTGCTTTTCGGGTAGCTAATTTTGATTGCATTATTTTTTAATTTTTGGCATTTTATTTACCGCTTAGAATGGGGCGCTCCTAGCGGTGAATTGGCAAAGCTCAATTGCAAAAGCAATTTCTGACTCATGCAGCTTAACTGCGCTTATAGGAAAACGCGTTCCAATCGAAATCACATTCCAACTGTTAAACTTTTGTTGACGATACACAAAAGTTGGCGCGATTTACAAGCAAGGCTCCGGAAAACACTAATTATCCACCAATAACAAATCCACATTCACCGTTTCGCTGACCGTTGTAGGTAATTTTAACGTTCAAACTCTGCTGCCCGGATTCGGTAGATGAATATACAGGATGTGCATTATCGTCGAATTATACGTTTCCGGTTCGCGTACTTTGATCGCGATTTTTTCCTTAATTGCGAGCGATTATCCGATTGTTTGAGACGAGGTTGCCGATTATCTCGCTAGATTTTCCGGTTGAAATCCGGTGGGAAATTGCGCAGCGCTGAAAAAATTAATCTGTCGGCTCGTATCACACTAAATTCGGCGACGTAGGCCTCTCGTCCACCGTAGATTAGGTCGGCGACCTTTCAAGTCAACAACTTAACGAAAAACAGCGGGCAATTGGCGCTAATCAAGTGATCAATTGCGAAACCGTCGTCGTGGGTTGGCGGGCGGCCAAATTTTCATACGCTCGACCCGCCCGTCGCGGTATTTTGTATTTCTCGGCTCGCAGAACTAAAATCTCGCGTGAACCAATTTCGGCCATAGAAGAATGCGGGCAACCATCGATACACGATAGCACGCGCTTGCCTACGTCACTGGCCGATATTTTGACTTTAACAAATCAACCAAAAAATCCTGACAGAAAATAGCGCGAGAATGAGTATATCCATTGAAGAATAATTTAGAATATCTGCCTTGTCGATACTTTTTCATAACAAATTCTGTTGCCGCTAACGGGAGATTTGACCGGGTGCATTTTCGTCGTAGGCGGCTGTGCCGGTAAAGCGCAGACCAAAAAGCACGGGAATTTGACAGGCGCCGCGGGACGCGCGCTCGTCTTATCAGCGAAACGGATCACTCAGTCATGTGCCGGCGTAGTTGCGGGTGAGATCGGGTGTCAGTGTGTGCGGAGAGCGCGGAAACGATCGCGCGAAATTCGAGCCGCCGAGAGGCGCAAGTTTTTCGTCTGTTTTCATCGGCATTGATGAGACTGTTTTTGTGCAGGTACGTTTTTTTTTTAGAGCGTTAATCAGAGACGGGCGCGCACGGTACCGTTTCCCGTTTTGCGTCGCGACTTTTAACATGTCGTTTCAATTGTTCTTCGAGGTGTAACCTTGTTAACGAGTTAAATTAATGCGTTAAAGTTTCGACACATGGATTGATGACGTCAGGCGGGATAACTGCGGGCAGGGTATGTTGGTACCCCCGCGGTTGATAATGCACCACCATGATAATGCGTCCGCGCGTTTTCTAAATAAATCTCGGCGCAGGGGGCGAACCGACGAGGAAGGAAAATCTCGATGGAATGAATTCAAAACGTATATATGTCGGTTGGCGCGTACATATACGTAGGCGGCCGTGATCGCGTTCTGTCAAGTTGCTATCAAGTTCTTGCGCGTGGTTTTTTGACAGAGAAAAACGTGCTGCCCTTTGTAGACTAGAGTGTGAGTTGTTAGCGTCCTAGGGGTCAAGTTCTGCTCAGCGCCCGGGAATTTCGTGGCGAGTAAGTTGTTGTCTAAAATTCGAGTTTCCGATTTTTGAATTTTCGCCCTACCAAGGATGGCTCGATTACAGAGCGTACAACAAAAGCCTTTCGAAATTGTGTGCTAAGTTCATAGTGATTATTATGCATTTCGGGCGTTTTAGAACCCCATTGCGCGGCGGTCGACCTCGGGCCGGCATTTTTCCTGTGCGCCAGTACATTTTCACCTAGGTGACGTGTATGTATATTTATGCATTCGTCGTTATATAATTTGTGCCAGTCTATAATAATATATGCTGAATGTTTTTTTATTGATATGCCGTTAGCGGTTTTCATTGCGGAATGTCGCGTAATTCGTTCGAACGGAAGTTTTCAAACTTTTTAGGTGCGCGCAAGGGAGCCTAAATTATCGGTCGTCCGTGGACGTTGGTTTTTGTTGCAGGTACGCGCGATTTGTCGGTCTTTTGGGGTTGTAGCGACGTGGATAACGTCTGCCTATAACGTAATTTGACTTTGTCATTTTTTTCTGAAAAATGTGGTTGCGGGTTGAGTTAAGCCGCCCGTTTTGGAATTTTTCTGGCACGCTCGTCGCCGCATTATGCAATTTTGGCTGGCGCTTCTCGCACAGGTTTATTTTTGTGTCCAGATGTTCTTCCAATCGGTATCAGGTCCTATTTCGTTGCAACTGTATGGCGCATCTCACTTGGACTGCAAGTAATAAAACGCACGGATGGATGGCAGAAGCACAAATCACAATCATAAAATACCTAAACTAAGTTTACTTTTGGTTGGTGATTGGTTAGCGACCGATGAGGTATGCATTGCTCTTTTTCCTTTTGAAAATTCAACCTTAAGGTTGCTTTATTTTAATTAATGAACGTTGGCTCGACCTTTTCAATGTTGCACGCTCTGTTGCTCTGTTTTCTTGACGTTCGGTTAAAAGCTTGGGTTGCCCCTTTTTTTTATCAAACCAACCACGCAATGAAGTTCCAAGAAATTAAATCGTCATTTTCTGTAAGGCACACCTTAATTATCACTTCTAAATAGTCACTTAGGGATCTTATTGCAAAACTTTTTCCATGCATTATCACCACACCACATTCGTTTGCGAATTTTCGCATTTTAAGAAATTGAAAAGGTAATCTAAATATACATACAAAAAATTACACTCAACCAACTATATAGTAACTATGGACTATAGAAACGGTTTCTGTAGTTGTACAATTGCTTGGAATTCCAGTGCCATGGACTTCCTCAAAATTTTTTCGTAATTCCTTTGCCGGATTAGAATTAGTTTGAGGGTGTTTTACCATGAGGTTCGTTCGTGTTCATTTTTATCGTTTCCGCCGCAATTAACACACATTTCCTTTATTTTCCGAATTGATCTAAATAGAAACGGCAAAAACAAAACTTGAAATACACAAATTCACTATAAGTGAGCAAAACAAAACGAAGGCCATTTACTTTGTTGTGTAAGAGGGGGTAACCAGAACCATAAAATTTGAAGTTGAAAATGTATAATACATATACTTATTTCTTTTAATGTATAATTATTAAGTTTTTGGGTCTAAACGAACGGTGAATAGGCCATCAGCGAGGTGACAAGGTTCGCATCTGAAACTAAAAAAAATATCCTGAGTACCAAAGATAATGCAGATTCATGAAACAAACTTAATGTTACTTAATATCACCAGACATCACAGATAACAGATATATCTTGCCTAAAATCTGGAACTGAATTTACGTTGGTACTAAAGGCAGAACACACATAGATACTAAGGGCAGAGACACGCGATGTATCCTGTCGCAAATAACCACACCGGCAGAGATACGCGACAGTGCAATAAAAAACAGGTCTGAAGGGCAGAACACGCATCAGTATATTGGTACTAAGGGCAGAGACACGCATAGTACCTCTTTCATTCAATAGTGCTCATTATTCCGATCGTGAAATGGATACTAAAGGCAGAGACACGCGAAGTATCCTGTCGCAAATAACCACACCGTCACTGAAGGGCAGAGACACGCGACAGTGCAGTAAACAACAATATTCTAAAGGGCAGAGACACTCGGCAGAAGCCCCGACTTTAACCAACAAAGTAACAACGTTTAAAATAGTTCAAAGGGAGAACTCACTAATATTTAATCAAACTCCTTGGGTATTTTTTTATAAATTAAAAACGAAACCGATCAATATATAGATCATAGAGAACCTTTCGCCCAACCTCATTGGTTTTCGAATACAAGAGGGATTAAAATTAGTTTGAGGATTTTACCACAATTTTTAGCGTTTCCTCCTCAATTAAATACACTTTCGTTATTT